GGATTGAACGAGATCTAGGGACAAACCCTGCTGAGCTAGCGAGGTTGCCAGGGCTGGGCTCTGCAGGCCCTAGAATGCCAGGCCAGGTGGCATGGACTTTATTATGTGTGGTGGCTGCATTAAGAACTTATGGCCAGGGGCCAGCCCCGTGGCCAGGTGGTTAAGTTTGCACATTCCACTGCGGCGGCCCAGGGTTTTGCCGGTTTGGATCCTGGGCGCGGAAATGGCACTGCTCATCAGGCCATGCTGAGGCAGCGTCCCAAGTGCCCCAACTACAAGGATGCACAACTAAAATATGCAACTATGTACGGGGGGGATTTGGGGAGAAAAAGCAGAAAGAAAAAAAAAAAGGACTTATGGCCAAAACTAGGCATGTTGATGGCCAATGTAACACGATTCCTGCACTCCGTAAGCCACACACATCCCCTGGTGGCCCATGTTCCACTGAATGACAGTCTTTGGCCTCCTCTACTAGCCCTATGATTTCCTTGAGGGCAGGACAAGGGTTTCTCCTCTCTGTGCCCCCCACCCAGGGTCAGGCACATGGTGTGCATCAGTGTTCATTACATACATGAATGATATGAAGAATTCCCTGAGAATAATTTATTTTAATAATGATGTGTTTTATAAACTATTTTCTCTCCACAAGTCAATTAGCAAACTACAGACCTTGAGTGTGCTTCTACTAGGTGCCAGGCTCCCTGCCCAGCTGAGGATGATGCTAATATGGTAGAAGCAGCAGGGGAAAGCAGGTGTGAACTCCTTGTGAACAGGACCAGGTCAGACCTCACTGGGGAACCCTTAGTGCTGAGAATCTGGAACAGAAGGAAGTGCTCCAAAACTGTTTGCTGAATGAATGAATAAATGAATGACCAAACTCACAGCTGTGAGTGACTGGTTTTGTGGAAGATGTTCTTCTCTGAGGGCGAGATCCTGTTGTTTTATTAGAGCTCCAAGTTTCCAGTCTCCCAGTAGGCTGGAATCTCTGGCCAAGCAGAGCAGAGAGGAGGCCCCAGTCAAGGTCCTCTGCTCCCTGGATGTTCTGGTATGGTGGCCCCATTCCCTACCTTGGCGTAGCTAGAGTCCCCACTAACCACTCATTGGGCCCCAGGATTGGCTTGGGGAGGGGAGTGCTGTGGGTGAGACTCTACTTTGAGCCCTTAGTGTTGTCCTTCAGGATGCCCAGGGGTGATCCCTTATCATGGCTCAGCTGCTATAGGAGCTCATGGTGGGTGTGGTCATTCCCGAACTTAGTTCCTTTGTGTGGCTTGGGGTCTGTGACAGGCAGAAATGGAAAGATGGAAAGTGCGTTGGGACAAATTTTGAGCCCTAAGCTGAGCTATCTATTCTGAGTCCCAACCTGTAATCTCGGAGCCTGAAGGATTTCAAATCCCAAGAAGTCCCGCCTGTGCCTATTCACCTGCTCTTCCCAGAGACACCTTTCCTCTCCCAACAGCTGGTCTAGGCATTTGGCTGAGGAGTGTCTGGAGAGTAAGGGGTGGCTAGCTTCTGATTTGCCATCTCTCCATTCAGGCCTGCATTTTGAGACAGCTGTCTCCTGGGACTTTAGAGCAGGAAGCCAGGCCAGGATGGTGCCATGGAGGGAGCAATCAGCATCTCAGTTTTCAGACCCAGGGATAAGAAAATCTGGGTTGGCACTTCTTGGGGCCAGGAACAGACCTAGTGATTGATGGCTATTGGAGGAATGAGAGAGAGGACCAGCAGGCCCAGGTTGAATGGGAAGCAGGCCCAGGTTGAACAGAATCCACTAATCAGCACTGGGAACCCTGCCCCACTCTCAGCACACGGCATGCAGCCTGGCCTATCAGCGCAGGAGGTGCATCCCGAGGGACCGAGCAGAGCTCTGTCCTGCTACAAAGCTCTGTTTTTCCCTCTAGCATGGGGACTGTTGTTGGGGCTAAGAATCTCCAGTCAGGCTCCTCCTGACCACTAACCCCTACCCTAGCCTTGGCTATAGACCATTCTAGGCACTGACTGCAGACCCTGCCAAATAGGCATAAGGGCGACTGGGAGGAACAGTGAGATTGGACAGCAAGGCCACACAGCAAGGGCAGTCAGAGATGGGGAGGAAGGTAGTCAGAACTGGGATGGAGAGAGCAGCAAGATGGGATATGGGTCAGCAAATGAGATTTGACAGGGAGGGTGACCAGAGCCCAGATGGCAAGGTCCTAGAGGTCAATGAGGGGAAGGCAGTTATCAGCATGGAAAAGGTGGACTTAGCTGGGACCCATCCAGGTCTGCAGTGACCCTTTGACTTTGGAAAGGGCAGTGCTTATGGCCCCAAGAGCTGGGGCTGCATGAAGCTACCTAGACTCCAAGACTCTGCTTAGTGGCTGGAGAACTTCAGTGTTAATGGTGACAGTACCTTCCAGCAGATGGGTTGGACGTGGTTCTCTAGGGGACACTTCAACTCACCCATGCTCATCTCCCCACCTTGCCTGCAGCCTGCCTCGCCTCAAGCCTGAGGTGGTGGAGAGAAAGGGAAGATGGGCCTTCCCCTGGCTAGCAGGCTGGTGGGAGATTTGGGTACGTGTCCTTGATCTCCTTGCCAGAGGTGAGACATTAGGGCAGGCTGTGACCTGTGAAACCCCCTTTTCCATCTGGACTGTAGTGTCCTTTCTCCTCCTCCTCCTCTGCCTCCTGCTTCTCCTCCCCAGGGCAGCTCCTTGAACTCTCACAGAGGCATGCCTGGTCTCTTGGCTTCATGGGCATACTGTGCAGCCCCAGTGAATAGTAGGAAAACCTGAGGAGGGAGGCAGCAGTGGACTGCCATCAGAGATGGGCATTTTCTTTGGGCTGAGAGGCTGTCAAGGCCTGTTTCCCTTGGATTTTAGGAGATCAGCTGAGCATCCACCAACCCTCCTATTGGTTCATAATTATTTCCTAAGTGGTTTTGTCCTGGATTTCCTCTCAGGCTAAATGATCATATGTGTGTTTGAGGTCTTGCTCTGTCATTGTCTCCTGTGAATGGGAATCTGGGCAGCATCCACGCCCCATAGGGGAAGATTTATGCTGTGGTTAATGGACAGCTCCTGGTGACCCTAAGGTGTCAGAAAAGCAGCGTATCTGGCCTCTGAGAGTCTGAACAAAATTGAAATGTGACTTTGTCGTGGTGCCTCTGTGAGGATGGAGTGCAAGCCCTGGAGGGTCCCAGAAGCTAGTGATTGCGCGCGCTGGTCTCTGGGTTCCTGCAAACGCTACCCGTAGATTGAGGGCACTGGGCAACAGCACTGTGTGAAGCAGGAGGAGGATACATGTGGCCTCCATTCTTAAACGTCTTCTCCATGCACTGCAAGGTCCGGTTTACCATCATGATTTTCTTCCCATTTCTTTCTCCATGTTTATCATCAACACCATGACAATACCAAAGTTCCCCCATACAGAAAACATTGCTACCTCAGACCCAGCCATTACTATTTTTGTAAAGGACAATACCAACAGAGCCTCAGGATGACCAGTCCCACTTCTGGGTCCCCCCACCTTGGCCTGATGCAGTGCCTTCCTCACTGGCCACAGAGGCCTCTGAGTCCCTTTGGAAAGATGATGACTTCAATGAGAATCCCCGTGGTGGGTGCTCTTAGTGGGTCAGCGTGAACAACGTCCAGCAGCCTTCCCAGGCCAGCCAGGGCCTCGCTTTGCTTTGGTCTGAAAGAGATTTTTGTTTTCCAGTGAGAACAGCCCCAGCCTGGCCCAGCGCCGGAGCCAGCAGCAGGAATACAAACCGTTTCATGTGATGGGGCCCAGAGTGGAGAGATACCAGCCTGCCAGCAGCAGGCCCTCCCCTGCCGCTCCTCGCTCCTCGGGAGGCAGTCATTTGCATATCCCCCATTCATCCTGGCCTTGAAAAGGAGGTCTGAGTTCTCAGTGCTCCCTGCCCAGCTGAGGGCTAGGCTGCTTGAGCCTGGCATTAACTCTGTGGACACCATGGGCTCTCACTGGTGGCCGCAGGGCAGTGAGAGGCAGCAGCTGCTGTGTGGCCCTGGCCTCCAGTGGGATGATTCACAAGGTGGCAGGGTCCTGTTGACAGGCACAGCCTTCTGCTGAACTGAGTGAAATTAGGATTTGTTTCTTCTTGTGGCTTTCAGAAGAGGAACTTTTTCAAAGTGTGGGGAAGCCAGAAAATTAAGCTGTTTATCAAATCTTCTGTAAAATTGACCTTTCACCAAAGGCAAAACTCTCTTTTCTGTTGATTGTCTATTCTGTGAAAAAACAATGACACTGGGAATGGTGAGAAAAGGGGCCATGTTGGCTCCTGGCTGCAGTATCAGCAGGGATTGAGGGGCACAGCTTGCCAGGGACACTTTGTGTCCTAAAATCCCAGGGCACTGTGTCAGATGAGCTGGTGGGCGCCATTAGCTTGTGGCTGTGACTTCGAAGGCATGAGGTATATATATAGTACCAATCACAATCTTTTTCCTTCTGCAGCTAAATGCTCACCTTCCAGCCTTAGCTTCCTGCCCCAGTCCTCAGTGCAACCAGGCCCCTGCCTCCTTTCAAGAGCCTGACATCTTACAGGCTCTTCCTGTGACTTACAGACCCACTTCTGTCGCTCTGTCCCCTCCTCAGAACACTCCTTCCCATCCTGCTCTGATCCTCTTCTTGCTCCCCGTCCCTGACTGAGGACGTGGCTCAGCTTCTGTCTTTTGTGCATTTCTTCCTAAGCAGAATGCCCCAGGTGCTCTTGAGTGAACAAGCGGGCCAGTGAATCCCTCCTTTGCTCCCCCCACCTCAATGACCCCAAGCATATCTTAACAAGACCCTCCCTACTTCAAGAAGCTTCCCCCTAGCTAGAGCAGGTCACATCCTGTCTTATTTGTACGCTAGCCACCTGCAGTTGAGCTCTGAGAATGTGGCCCTGCCAGGAGCAGCCCACATCCCCTTTTCCCAGTATGTCCTCGGTTTGGGCCAGTGATGGAAATGGATCACTGCTCCTGAGCCAGGACACTGCAGTCCTAATGTGGACTGGCTGGGAGGGGAAAGGATCATGTTGCAGCTACGGGATTTGGCTTCCTTGACAGTGGGGCTTGGCCAGAGGGTGTCCCTCTGCTTGTGTGGTACTCTTGGCGCTTGCCGGTATCCTTAGGGTTCCGCCCACTGTCCCCAGGCTTCATGGGGAAGGAAGGACGATGAGGCTGAGGCTCATCCACACCGTCAGTCCTGGTCATCGTACCCTGTAAATATGTCCAAAGGGACTGCTGCCAGTTTTAGCGTCTCCTGCCCCTCTTTGAGAACTTCGTCAGGCCTGATTCACGGTAAGGACAATATTTATCTCAGAGCTTGTGAAAGACACTGTGTTTCAGTTAGCTCCTCTGTTCTCAAGGCTATTTGTATTTTCAAGTTCCTGAAAGTGTTATCTGAGCCTGGCTTCCCGGTGCTATCGTCAGGAATGTGGGCCCGTGTTCCCTAACTGGGCCTTAGGGTGAGTGAGATTCTTGAGAGGTGCTGGCGTGAGGACGGGGGGCAGAGGGCAGTGGAGGCTGCTTCCCACACTGAGGGAATTGCTAAAGGCAGCCATGTTTCCAGTGAGTTCGGGCTAGTTGGGACAGGTGGCCCTGTGCAGTGGTCAGGCACCGCCAACCGTAATTGGGCCTTTCCACATTCAAGAGGCTTAAGTGAACCTTCAGAGCTATAATCGGGCTCCTTGGGGAGGCTCGGCAGGTGAGCCTTGTGTAAGCGTGTAACCTAGCAACTCACATCACGGCCTGTCTCTCAGGGGGGATGTGCAGTGGGTCTCACCTGGTAATTCCTCAGTCAAGGAGGCCCTGGGACCCATCTCTGCCCCAATTGTCTATGGTTCTGTGCCTCTAATTAAAACCCAAGAGGAAGATGGAGAGAAAGCCCCTCTCTCACAGCAGAGACAAGCATGAATCCCTGTGTGGATGGGGTGGGTGCCGGGCCAAGTTTAGGCGGCTGTGTTTGTTTCTCTGCAGGTCAGGGTCACACAGGTGTGATGGCGAGATTTCTGCTTTTCTTAGCCTAGCAACTGGGCCACACATGTCTTGGGGAAGAGCTGCCGCGGGGGCTCCATGCCTCTGGCATGCTGTGTGGTTTTCCATCAATCAGGACCTTGGTTGTGGCCGCTGGATTTCCTGCCCCAGAAGCATTAAAGGAAGATTTTCTCTTGTTTGAAGACATCTCTGAAGATATCTAGGGGAAAGTAGGGCCTGCCAAGGAGGAAGAAGAAGGGGCTCTGTGGGCTGTAGGTGGGTCCTCAGATATTTCTGCATTTTAAAGCTTCCTCCAGGTGGATTAGGAGAGGCAGGCTTGTGCCAAGTTCCAGGTGAGGGCTGCTGAGGCAGGAGACTCTCCCCATGCCCCTGCCACCAGGTGATGGGGTGAGAGGTAGAGGCCATATCAGCCCCAGGGAAGGTGTTTCAAGGCCTTGTGGGCTCTAGAGCTCCTCAAGAGGGAGCTCAGAGCACTGGGCTGTGGCCTGGGACAGTCTTGCTGCTAAGGAGGTCGGATGGGTTTGGATGGACAGTAGCCCCATCCTGGTAGACTCGGAAACCCCTTGTGGGGCCTGGGAGGTGGTGATCTGGGTCCTGTGGCCCGAACTTGCCTTTTACTCTCTAGCAGTGGCTACCATGTGCCTACTGTGTACCCAGCTGCATGCTGATCACAGAAGTAGGAGTGACAAAAGGCCATACCTGATCCCCTCCCCCACCCCTCACCTTGTGGACAGACTCTGCAGGAGTGAGGCCATGGGAGGCCCTGGGACCTCAGTGTCCCAGTCTGTCTGCCAGAGGTGCTGAGGGGTTTCAGAGCTCAACTTTGATTCCAGCAGGCCAGGCTGTGGATTCTGGCTCCAGGTTGGCCATGCCCTGGAAAGCTAGGAAAATGTCACTCAGGGCAGGCATTAAGGAGCGGCTGGTGTGCTGCCCTGGAGTCTTGTAGACAAGATAAACCAGTATCTTCCACCTACTGACCCTGGTCTTGGTCCGGAGTGTCACCACTGCCCAGAGCACCTCTGAGCAGGTGTTTTATCTGGGACTGTGTCCAGTTTCCTTCCTCCTCCCAAGTAGACTGGTTGTAACTTTGGGAAGGGAGTGGGGCATGGAGGCGGAGTCTCCTGGGCATGAGTGCAGGCCTCCCTCAGCACCAGAGATCTGCCATCCCCACCACCCTCCCCACTTCCTACTACCCCCATCACTCACTCTGGCTGCAGGTCCCCAGCCCAAGGCTGAGGCTCTGGAAACCTGGCAGAGTGGGGGTTAAGGCTGCGTTGCTTGGCTCTGAGCTGATCTGAGCCAGCCCTGCACAGTGTGCAGTTGGAGGGGGGGCTAGTGGGGGCCTTGTGGGTCCAGCAGCTCCTCATAGAGCTGTTCTGCACCCAGGTCCCTGCCAGACCTGCTTCTACAGCCGCCAGGGAGCCTCTGCCACCACTGCTAACACCTCCACCACCACCCACTTCTTAGAGCAGGCTGCCGTTGCCATCAGCTGTCCCCGGGAGGGTGGGTTTTGGGGCGGGGCCTTTGCCACTTTTGTGCTTTGATCAAGATGTGGTAAGCTCTCTCCGTGAGCCCCATACACTCTTTATAAAGGGAGGCTGGTACTAGTGGAACCAGCTCAGCTGCCTTCCCAGTGCCAGAAGCCCGCTGGAAAGGTAGGGTGTGAATGCATGTACTTTTACAAGTTGTCTCTGAGCCCTTTGGTTGGCAGAGAGATGGAGCAACCACTTCAGCTAACTGCTGTCTGCTGAGTGTTTCCTTTACTATGTGCCTGGCACCGTACGCTCTGTCCACGAGCTTGTTTGATATGAAGCCCAGAGGGCTGAAGTGACTTGTCCAAGGTCATACAGCTATCAAGAGTCTGAGTCAGGATTTGGACCCAGGTCAGTCTAGCACCAGAACTCCCCTCTGGGCCTTTTCCAGAGTTTGTTTGCTGGCGACCTTGGGCCCTGGGAGAGGTTGTGATTTTCTTTTTGGAGCCCTTCACTGGGAGTTGAGGAGGTTTTTTAATGATCTGTTGGCTTGCTTGTGCTTCCCCACCATTTCTGAAAGCCTCAGAGGTTTAGAGAGACCCAGAGCTCCATCACAAGAACCCCACCCCACTCTAGGCTGATTCTGAGGGGAGGGAAGAATCTGAGGATCACAGAGGGCCTCAGTGCCACCAGAATGACTTTGGACTTTCATCCTAAGCTAGTATAGAGCCAGATAAGGTTTTTGAGCAGTGGCATAATACAGTCACATCTGTACATTAGGAAAATAACTTGGTTATCAGTATAAGCATGGGTTAGAGCAAGGACACCTGTAAGGAGGCTGGCATGGGAGTCTGGACTACACTTGCTGGTGGCTGGACCAGGCCAGAGGCTGTGTGGAGGGAGAGGAATGGTCATGTTTGAGGGATGTTTAGGAGGTAGTCCTGACAGAGCCATCCAGCTAGATTGTGAGGGTCTAGAGTGTGGAGTTAGGGGGCTGGACCAGCAAAGTGTTCTTGGAGTCGAGCAGTGGACCCCAAGGCCATCTCCACAGGGACTGTGGCCTGGGCTCTGCCTCTGCCACCCTGCCACCTTAGAGCCAATCTGCTTCCTACCAGGGCTCCCTTCCTCCCATTCTCCCCCTTCCTGGATTTTGAGAGCTATGCCTCTCACCACCCACCTTCCACGTGCCCTGAATCAGCAGAGGACATGGTGAGGTGGGGGACAAGTTCCTTCAGCCTGTGCCACCACATGGTATTCTGAAATGGTCTGTGCTGGAGGGGAGAAGAAGGCATAGGATATGCCAGAGGAGAGGAGGTTAGTTCATGCTTAGGGCTGGGTCCTCCTGCCTGGTGAATATTTACAAACACTCACAGCTGCTCACTTGGCAACACTGGCACCACTGATTCCCTTGGGTGCTGGCCCCCCCACCCCCTGTGCCCCAAGCTGCTGCAATCAAGAGAGTCTCCTGGGGCATGGAAGGCGGCAGCCATGGCTGGGGCCCCAGGGACTACTGAGTCCCACTGTAGGTTGACAGAGAGGGAGTGGAGGTTAGAGGAGGCCAAGGCCCTGTGAAATAAGGAGATGAGACCAGACTCCAAGGCCTAGGCTCTGCCCTGCTCCATGCCAAGGGTTTGATGGTGCAGGCTGGCTCTGAGGCCTGTGTCTTCAGAGAATCTGAATTTGCAGCTCTGTCCTGCAATGGCTTCCAGGTCTGAAGGGAATCTCAGGGTAAATGCAAGCAGCCCTGCCTCTGTCTGAGAAGGTCCTTGAGCCTGGAAGAATGACACCCTCTGGCCATTGCCCAACCAGGGAGGGATGAGTCTCAGTCTCAAGGCCAGAGGAGCTGCAGTCACTTCAGATGCCTCCTTAGGGGTGGGCACCTGAGGAGAAGTGGGAAGGCAAGCCCTTTTCCCACCACCCTCCATTGTCCCAGGTGAGTGGGCTTCCTGGAGGAGAAGGACCCAGCCAGGAGAAGATGGCGAGTTCTGGGTGTGAGGCCAGGAGGGAGCCCACCCGTAGTGTGTGCATGATGAAGGGCAAGTGACTGGCCTGCCTGACTGATCCCCACTTACAGGCCCTGGTGGCCTGTGCTGCCCTCCACACTTTGGAACCTGGGCCTGGGCTCTTCTGAGCAAGTCTGGAGCTGCTTTTCTGTGGGTTCAGCACCATAGCAAAGGAGAACATGGATTGTAGCTATGGATGGTCCAGTGTTGGCAAGGGGTGTGGTGGTGATACAACACAAGGAATGGTTTGGGAGGCTATCATCTGGTGCTTGAGTCCTCCCTGACTAGCTCACTGTGTACCTATAAATGACAGATAATTTCATTAGTGGAGTCTCTGTGTTCCCACCTTATAATGAGTACATAGAGCTATTGGAGGATCAAGCAGTGCAGTCTGTCGGCAAGGGCTTCCCAGGCACCAGGAATTCAGGAAATTTAGACAAATTCTGTCCTTCCCTCTCCCGGGGCCTGTGATATTTTGGTGACTACCGAAAGCTTGGTACATCTGGGAGGCCAGCCTCGCAAACTGGTGGTGCTGACCCTTGCACAAGATTTCATGGACTCAGGACTTTATTTCCTGAGTAGAATAGTCAGTCTACTAAGTGCTCCATGGTCTCTCAACTCCAGCCTTTGTGTGCTTGCTTCCTTCTGTTTGGGCACTCTTTCTTCTTTATCTCAGCATCAATGCCACTTCCTGCCAGGAGCCTGCCCTGACTCTTGCTACCTGAGTGGGGCATCTTCTCTGGCTCCGCATACCTGATCATAGCCCAAACCACGCTGCACAGCACTGCCCATTCCCTCATGTGCCTCCCTCGTGTTTCCCCCATGGAACTGAGGATAGGCCCACATCTGGCTTGTGCCAGTGCCCAACACTGAGCTAGATGAGAGCAGAATGTGAGGGTCTGCTAGGTGAATGGGTGAGTAGATGAGTGAGTGGACGGGTGGGTGGATGCACAAGTGGATGGGTGAGTAAATGTGTGGGTGAATGGATGGCTTGGCTTTTCTAGGCTGTGCTGTATTAAAACCTCAGCATTGCAGCAAATGCCCACTTTCTGCTGCAGCTTAGGGCCGGTGAGCAACTGCCAAGGACCAGTGACTGGTGGTAATGAGGTATCCTTCCAGGATTCTTTCTAAAACTTTTGGGACTATATAACTGAGCCCTTAGGGACTGGGCAGGAGCTTCTTAGGCCTTGGCTTCTCAGACCATTGAGTCAGTTCAACCCATTAGAGGAAACATCAGTCAGCTCAGAGCCTACCCCAAGAGCTGGTGGGCATATCTGGATTTTCCACTATGTAGTCAGTCATATATTTGATGGGGCTGTCTGTGACTTGGTCTCTCCATCTGCACCTTAGGGAAGTAAATGTCCCAAGGAAGCAGCCAACTGGCTGCCTGTCCAGGGTCCTCCTTAGATTGGTTTCCCTTGGTGAGTTCACTGGGGTCCATAGCTGGGGCTCTGCTTTGCTGATTCAGACCTTCATTTGATCAATATGCCCAGAGTAGTTTGTTCCTGTGGGATAGCCTCAAACTGATTGAGCTCAAGGCGGTTACCAGCAAAACTGGGTTTCCAGCTTAGGAACTCAGTTAGAATGATCTGGCTGGCCCCAGGGAGCACCCACACCCTGGGTGGTTAATGAGTGTTCCCAGGACTCAGACAGCCTGTCAAGCCATCTGTAAAGCATAAACTCCTGTGGGGCCACAATGACTGGGCCCAGCCACCTCTGCCCAGTGTTTGGACCTGCCTGGGCTGAGCAGTCTCCTTGATCTGAGAAGCAGACCCTTTAGCCATCTCTTTAGTCCTGGCATGCCTCTAACTATGCTAGACACAGTAGAAGTACATACCTGAGAGACACTGTCCCCATTTTAAAGATGGGAAAGCAGAAGTCCAAAGGGGTAGGTTATACTCAACCTTGCATAGCTTATAAGTGAAGAAGAAGGGATTTGAATCAAGGAGCTTTACTTGCTTTTTCTGTAATGACTTTGCACATCACTGACCTCATCTCCAGTGTGATGATGTTATAATTTAGCACCAACACCATTTAGTGGGATTTCAGCAGATCTCTCCTCTCTCAGGGGTCAAGCAATTGCTATTTGGCTTATATCCCATGGTTGCAGAGTGGCTGCTGTTGGATTTCTCGTTGTTTCCCAAGAAGGGAATCCATAGCCATGCTTCCAAAGGTTGAGGGCTGGTGAGGAGTGTGCCTGTGAGTGGCACATGGCAGCCTGGAGCCTACCCAGTCCTTATTAGGCTGGCAGACCAGTAGGTGTCATGCAGTGCTTCTAGCCTCAGGTCCTACTGGGCAGTGACACCAAGAAGGCCCCAATGCGGATAAAAGCATCCAATGCTTGGCCTGCCCTTGCAGCCTTCCTCAGTCCTGGGCAAAGTGCAGACCCCTGAGCCCAGCTGGCTGTATGTCTGCCTTACCAACACCGCTTCACTTAATGGCTAATGGAGCACGTGGTAGCCCCTGGGCCCTGCTCTCTTTGAACCAAGTCAGTTACAGTGCTTCTTACAGAAATGCTCCCACTGCCCACCCCAGGACATCCTCCATGTTCCCCTGATAGGCCCGCTGTGTCCACTTGGGCTGCAGTGGGCAAACATGGCACTCTGACCACCATTTGTGTTATCACAGGAGACGCTAATTACCCCTGGAAGTACATACAACACTTTCTGAGCCCCTTCTTTCTGAGTCTTGGTTCCTTTCCCTTCCCACCAATTTAATACCTGCTCCCCTCTGCCACCTCCCTTTTCCTCTGGACATTAGCTGATGGGATCCCAGGGAGCACAGCACAGGACTCAGTTAGTGGTGGGGCTGGCTGTGCCTTTTGCTGCTTGGTCTGTCGTGGTGCAGAGCCACACTGCACAGTGATCACCAGTCTGGGTCCAGGGGAGCAGTGCCTGGACCCCACCACAGCTACTCTTGGGAACTCTGCTATTCCTCAGAAAGTTGGTCCCAGCATCACCTCTGGCCCTGGCAGGACTTTGGCTCCAACTTTTCTTCAAGGAGAGCCCATGGTGGCCAGGATGTGGGCCTGGAAGGACCCCACTGGGCGCTTGTCAGATAGGTCATTGCCCTCACATCGTGAGGGCTGGAGGTGTCTATCAGGGCTGGTCTGTGGGCTCTGCCCCCTTGCCCCTTTCCCTTCTCTGTCTGCTAGGGCTGAGAGCTTTGAGGTGGTGTGGGAGGAGTCTGTGTCCCTTCACCCTCACTAATTTTGGGCACTGTGCAAGGCATCCTGCTGCTCCTCTGTCCTCTCCACACCCCAAGAGCAAAGATAGGAAAATGCTATGACCACACAGGAGAGGCAGAACACCTAGTCCCTAGGGCTCAGGAGGCATTAACTCCAGAGCTGTCAGAGCATGCCCTGGCCCCTGGAAGATATGGAAGCAGCTGTCAACCATGGCCCAGGGCCTGAGCATATGGGTCTCAGGAAAACTGGGTTGGATATCTCTCTGCCAGGTGTGACTGCTAAGAGTTCTGGCCTGTCACCAGGAAAGGTGCTTCCAGGTAGCCAGCTTCTAGGATACACTGTGTTGCACCAGAAGACTATATGCCCCAACTAGCCCAGGGCCTGCCCTACAGTGTTTTTGGCCAGGGCTTGGCCAAGGTCAGTGTGTCACTCGTGATCCAATACAAGTGTGGGAGGACAGACCCAGGACTCCTCCTTAGCCTACTTCAGGTCTCCTTCCTCACGCTCCTCTTGTTTCCTGCAGAGTTCATCCTCTCACTTCTTGAGAAGATGCAGACACAGGAGATCCTGAGGATACTGAGGCTGCCCGAGCTGAGTGACTTGGGCCAGTTTTTCCGCAGCCTCTCGGCCACCACCCTCGTGAGTATGGGTGCGCTGGCCGCTATCCTCGCCTACTGGTTCACTCACCGGCCAAAGGCCTTGCAACCACCATGCAACCTCCTGATGCAGTCAGAGGAAGTGAAGGTGAGCAGGGTGGAAGCGGCTGGGCTGTGGAAAGTAGTGGGCAGAGGACAGGTATCTTGAAGGCAGAAGCCAAACTTGTGACTTATTTGACTTCACATGGCCCAGAGAATCTCACTTTCCCTGGTAGCCAGCCAATAAGCCCTACAGTGGCCTTGGGCATGATCTCCTACCAGATACTCTTTCTGCCTCTCACAGGAACTGAACACTGGGCAGAGCCTGACCTTGGCCTTGCACTGGGCCTCTAGTTTGCTTGCTTCTTGGGTGGGAGGCCTTGGCTCATTGGTGCCTCAGTAGGAGGCCTAAGTAGGTTCTCAAGGGGCTGCCAGGTAAATTCCCTCCCAAACCCTTCCCGTGCACAGCCCTGGTCTGGAGCTGGGACTCAGAACTGAGCCCACCCCAGGGCCCTGCCCTCCCAGAGCACACAGACTCATGGGTAGAGCCGCCAAGGGGGAGAAGGTGCAGTGGCCCAACCTGGACAGAGGGGTTCCAGGCTAAGTCTAGAAGCACCAGTGAGATTTATTTCTTTATTAAGCTTATGGAATTTATTTTGCCTTTTATAAAATTATCTTTTTTCTAAACTTTAATCTATTCATTTTGAATAGATAATATATTCACACAGTTCAAAAGGAACAAAAGGACGTATACTGAAAAGCTGCCGCCTTCCTCCCCTTGCCTTCCAGTCCTTCCCAGAGAACTGTGGTAACAGTTGTCCATGAGCAAATGTGCAGATATCCGCCCCCCTTTTTAAATGATACCATGCTGCAGACACGGCTCAGCGTCTTGCCTGTTGCTCTTGATGGTACATGTTGGTGACTGTAAGCACGGCAGAGTGTTGCCTGGTAGGAGAGGGTGCAGGTTGAGGGAGAGCCGGGATCTTCAGGGTACTTTTCCAGCAGAAGGAATGATGTGTGCAAAAGTGCACGTATGTGATAACGCACCTGGTGGCTTTAGGAAGTGGTGGTTTGTCTGGGGTGGCTGGGTGGTGGAAAGGGGCTGCAGACAGGCTAGCAGAGTGGTGACCAGAATGACCATTGGTGACCGGCAGCCCTGGGTTTGAAGGCTGGCTGTGCTTTTACTAGCCGTATGGTCCTTGTCAGTTTTTTAACTCTCTGAGCCTCGATTTCCTCAACTGCCAAGTGGGTAATAGAAAGAGTACCTGCTTCCTAGGATTGTGGTAAGGATTTGGTGAGCCAGTCTTCAAACTAATTCACACTGTTATGTGAATGATGGCTGGCACCCAAATGATTCTTAACTAGTGGCATAGCAGCAGCAGATGATGACATGGGAGACACTTTGGCAGGTTGATCCTGATGCCAGGGGGTAGCCTAACTCTAGCCAACACTTCCCACTCTGTTGTATGAGTGAGCTGTAGGTGTGTATGAATAGTAAGTCAAGTTCTGGACATTTTGTATGTGCCGACCTGGTGTGAGGGTGCTGTGTACATGTATAGGAGACCAGTATACTGGGCCTGTGTGCGTGAGCCAACTAGGTTTGAGTGTGGATACATGCAGGTCGAGTATGTACAAGCCACAGGCATGTGAACATGTGTAGAGGTTGTGTGTGTACACTCCAGTAGTGTGTATAGACCATGTATGTGGGTACACACAGAGCATGTTCCAGCCCACCTGTGTGGCCTGGGTGTACATCCAGTCTGTGTACAGCCTGGCGCATGCTGGTGCCCTCTCTTGACACCCCTGCCTCAGCCAGCTTCTCTGGCCTGTGCTTGGCTCATAGGACAGTGGTGGGGCCCGGCGATCCGTGATTGGGGATGGGCCTCAGCTGCTTACCCACTACTACGACGACGCCAGGACCATGTACGAAGTGTTCCGCCGTGGGCTTAGCATCTCAGGTTAGAGGGGAGCTGTGGGGGTGGGGAGGGACTGTGGCAGGGGTTGAGCAGGTGCAGGGGTGGAGGTGGGCCTGCATGGTACCAGGGGCATGGCAGGTGAGTGGTGTCAGGTTCAGAGGAGAGAAGCCACTCTTGGCCCTTCTACCCAATCAGAGAAGTAGCTGCGTTATGTGGCCAAAGGGCTGGCCTCAGCTCTGTTCCAGCCCTTAGGACTTCCTGACCTGAAGCCGTCCCTTAGCGCATACTCTATAGCTCTCCTTGGCAACCCCTGGTGAGCCTCCAGCTGCCAGGCCGCTGGCTGGCATGGTTTGGAACCTGAGCCTCTGAGACGTCTAGGTGACCTAGGATATGGGACAAAGGGAGGTGGTCACGGGGAGACAACCTGCCACCTGTGCCCAGTAGCTGCCAGGTCTCTGTGTCCTCTTGGGGCTAATCACACAAGTCATGGTGGGAACTGGCACTGTGTCGGTCTCCATTCCCTGGCCTCCTTGATCCCTGGTGAGATGCCATGCTTGTGTACTTTAGGCCTTCTTGGGCTTCCGAAGTTTAGATAGGCAGCTGGGAAGACAGTTCACTTGGCCCATGGACCACCCCACAGTATAGAATGTCCATCCAGGTGGCTGATAGGCAGGTGCAGGTGGCACCCCTACCCTGCCCTCCTCCCTGGCACAAGGCCTGCTTCTCTCTGCAGGGAATGGACCCTGTCTTGGCTTCAGGAAGCCCAACCAGCCTTATCAGTGGCTGTCCTACCAGGAGGTGAGTAGTAGAGGACAGGCCCCACCCTGTCTGCCCACACAGACATGGCACTTTTGGGGCTTGTGGGCATCCTTCTGGGTCTCAGAGGGTCATTTTCTCCCTGCCTGGCCTGTCTGCCAAACTCCAGGCAGCAACCTTGCAGGGCTTCCGGCATACCTGGGTAGGGAGTTGGGGAGGTCTCTCAGACCTGTAGGAATCACACTTGGGGGTCTCCTGCTCCTGCTGAAGAGTCCTTGCTTTCCCATCACTTCCCCATGTCTGTGTGCAGGTGGCCGACAGGGCTGAATTTCTAGGGTCCGGACTTCTCCAGCACAATTGTAAAGCATGTACAGATCAGTTTATCGGCGTTTTTGCACAAAATCGACCAGAGGTGAGCATCTGCCTTGACTGGTTTTGGAGGTATGAGTGGAGTGGGGGATTGCGTACCATAGAAAGCTCTGCTCCCACTGTTTGTAGGGTCTTAAACAAGAGGAAAAATGGAGATCCTTGGTCCATGCCACCTCCCCAAGTCCCTTGGCTTTGCCCTTAATCAGGAGTGGATATCCCAGCCAAGCTCCATCCACACCCCACGTCACCCCACAAACAGCTGCTCCCTGAGCCATGGGAGAGGAAAGATCTGAGAAAGAAACCTATGCAAGCCCTGGAAGTGGACTTGGGGCTGTTTAGGGTCCCAGAATTGCCAGGGACAAGCATGGTCTAGAAGGCTGTGGTGGAACAGGCTCAACTGGTTATTAGCCTGATGAATTCCTTGCCACATACAGAGGGCCAGAACAAAGCCCTCTCGGCACAAGACCCAGAGCAAGGACCCTGGTTGCCTGGGCCTATGGGCAGTACAGCCTCCTATCTATTCTGTGCCTCCCCCACCGCCGACCCATGTGTCTCCACAGTGGATCATCGCAGAGCTTGCCTGCTACACGTATTCTATGGTGGTGGTCCCGCTGTATGACACCCTGGGCCCTGGGGCTATCCGGTACATCATCAACACAGGTGAGCCCACTGCTGCCATCCCTTACCACTGGCAGCCAGCCTCCGGACCCCAGCCTCTCAGATTATGCTGATTGACACTAATAAGCACTTTGCTTCCACTCTCAGAGAACACTAGGGGCTTCCACTTTGGCCTTGAGTTGGCTTCCTGAGTCCAGCTGTCCCCAGTTGGACCTGATGGCTCCTACCAGAGGGCCTGGCTGCCAAGAAGGAGCCTCTGCACCAGCCCCCACACAGGCTGCCAACTCACTGCAGCTTGGGGTGGATGCCCAGGGGAGGGCTGGTAAATATCTCAAGCAGACCTGGGATTATGGAAGCTGAGCCTGGAACAAAGGAGTGCTTAGAATCCACTCCAGGAGACTCCCTGGCCTTCTGCCCTTGGTTCTGCCAAGGCTCCATGTACTTTCCTCTGCACATGACACATAGCCCACATGGCCTGTCTTATGTATTTATTTGCACGCAAACTTTGGCACACATAGCTCATGGTTCTGCTGCCCAGCACGTGCTGCCCACAGTCACAGCCTGTGCCTGTACAGCCTGACTCTCCTTGATGGTCCCTGCAGCTGACATCAGCACCGTGATCGTGGATAAACCTCAGAAGGCTGTGCTTCTGCTAGAGCACGTGGAGAGAAAGGAGACTCCAGGGCTCAAGCTGATCATCCTCATGGAACCGTTCGAGGAAGCTCTGAAAGACAGAGGGCAGGAGTGTGGGGTGGTCATTAAGTCCATGCAGACTATAGAGGTGAGGGTCTGCTTCTGGGATGTTTGCTGGGCCACTGCTGGTTGGCCACTGAGCCAGAGCTGCTGGTTATCTGCCCTTTTCATGCCCTAGGATGAAAAGGTGGATGTCAGGGTTGAGACAGGGCAGCTTCACAAGGGCTGGTGGTGGGTGGTAGGTTTGGTGCCCATAGGCATCCTCTAGGCGACAGGCTCAGTTGGCTGGCAGAGTTAATGACAAAGGCACCAAGAGGTAGACGGGATGCCAATCCGCCCCAGAGCTACTCACATAGCCTCTGGAGCCTCCTCATTTCCAGCTAGCTGTCAGCCTGTCTGAGACTGAAGACTGTAGACGTGAGTGCCAGGAGTCTTGGAGAGGTTCGTACAAATGTGTCCCAGACCCCCAGCAGCCAGCAGAACCAGTTTTTCTGTGTGTGGTCTCCTCAAAGACATTAGGTTGGTGGCAGCCTGTGCCCTGCTGGATTAAGACAGGACAGTGTGGTCTCCAGGGCCTTAGGCCCTGGTCAGTAGCAGCTGAGCCCCACTATGCCCTACTGGATCTAGGTCCCTGGGGCGTCCAGTTCTCCTCCTGCTTTCCTGTCTGCTCCTAACTGTACCCATAATGCCTGTGCACTTGCACTCCACCATGGCTTTAGGGTCACACCTACACTAGCAACTTCTGTTGCCCCTCCAGCCCTGACCATTTATCTGGAAGCACAGACCACTCAGTCACTCTGTCCTGAGTATTTGTTCAGATGTACCATGGTCACCTCAAGCCATCTCCCCCGTTGTGCATGTGCACAGTGCCTAGCCTCTCTGTGGGCCTCAGGCCCCCGTCTGCAATGTCTATGGTGGCCTAGGCCTGGATGTGTATCTGAGGAGAGGCCACTGAGACAGTGTCGCCACATGAGCCATGTCTGGGCAGGGAATCCTGAATTCTGGGCTTGGCACAGGGGCAAAGTATACTGTGCTGAGTTTTTTGGTTTTGTTTTTTGATTGATGAGAACTTTTGAATATTTGAAAACAGTATTTTCCTCTTCCAGGACTGCGGCCAACGGAATCATCGTGTCCCTGTGGTAAGCTCGTCTGCCAGCGGGTCTTTATTGAGCAAGGTAGTGTGCAAGGCCCGTCCTCACAGACCCCCTCACTGTGTGCAGGGGCTCAGTAGAGAGGCCAGAGCAGCACCCCATGTTAATGAACAAGTCAAGAAGTGTCCACTTGGGGTAGCCAGGATTTCTGTGGCACCTGGACCTGGAGAGGACCTGGAACAGGAATCAGATGTTTGGGAGGGAGGAAAAGGGGCAGCCTATCCTGGCTACCCTTGGTTATCCAGTAACTTTTTCTTTGGGAAATTTTATTTTCTCCCTTTGAATGTAGTGAAGTCTCCAGAGGATGAAATGGACAGAACCAGAAGTGGACTCCAGGGCCAAGTGGGCTTGTGGCATCTGCTATCTTTGTTCGTCTTTGCTTTGTGAACCTGTCTGTGTGTCATCCCCAAGTGATACTGCCTGGGGTCAAGTTATCAGTGAGGGTCACTACCCCCTGAGGGGGACATGTGGGGATTTTCAGCTTCCTAACAAGGCCTCTGACCTCCAGCCCTCCCTCCAGCTCCACCCTTCCCACTCCCCTCACCACCCCCATGGCTTTCTCATACACGGGCCCGAGCAATCTCATCCCTGATTCCCAGGGCCCTTCATGGGTAACCCCTTGTGTGTGCCCACTTCCCACACATTGTGCCCCAGCCTTAGAGAACTGCTGTTTGATCCCTCAGCACACCCTTCTCTCTTGTCCCTCTGCCTGTTCCTGGGCTAATTCCTCTCCTAGAATACCCACCCTCACTTCATCTGGAGAGATCTTGCTTGTCCTTCAATCTCAACTCGTGTCACTTCCCCTGGGAAGCCATCTTTTACATGCAAGTGGACATGGTGCATTCCTCCCAGTGACTTGAAGACTATGTGCTCAGTGCCAGGACAAGGGCCTGATGCACAACAGAACAATCTTGGTGACACAGTTAGGCAGCTCATTTTCTGGGCTATGTGTTCTGTTCCTAAGCCTAGCCCCAGACATTTGAAAGAAAGTGGGAAAGAAGGAGAGAACTAGGTCACATCTACTAGAAAGGTGAGGTCTTTGCTAGAGGCCTAGATGTGGCCACTGCAGCACAATCCTGTCTAGAATTTAACTCACCCTCCAGTGGGGGAGGCAGCAGGACCAAGTGTGAGGTTGGTGGGACAGATTGATGTCCCTGCCCCCGTTAGATTTCCTCAGCTTCTTTTCCCCTTTCCTGGGGACTTGCCTGCCCACCTTGCTGACTACAGCAAGGGCATACACAAATGCTGACACATACTCACACCCACATACAGCACACACACACAGTGGGAGTGCACAGAGGGGCTGGCTGGTGGAGGGGTCCAGGGATCTTGGGGCCTGGCTGGCCACACTGGGTCTCTTTAACACACGCCTCTTCTCACCTCTGCAGCCCCCAAAGCCCAGTGACCTCTCCATTGTGTGTTTCACAAGCGGTACGACAGGTAAGCAGAGGCACCCCACTCACCAGCCAGGGCCACCTGCACTGGTCACTGGCAACCTTGGCGAGGTGACTGCAGAGGTCTCTAGTGCCCTCTGTGGGATGGGCTGAGCCTTGTCCTGTGCTTGGCTCCAGATGTTGGGTCCCTCCTGCTGTTCCCAGTGCCTAGAATGAGGCAGCATGGGGTGGCTGGATGCAGATGGACAGTGTGGACTGGGAGGTCCAGAGTCGGGGTTTGACACTTCCTGGAGCTGGGGCCAGAGGTGGGCTGGGCAGCTGGGTCCTGTTGTTCCTTTATGAAAAGTTACTCTTACCCCTCTGCTTTCTGCCCCTGCCTGGCCTTTGGGCACTGGAGGCACTTTGGGCCTTTGGGCCTCAGGGACTGGAGAAGGAGTGTGGGGTTTGGTGGCTGAGAGCCTGGATTTGAATCCCACCTCTACCACTTGCTGTGAGGCTACAAGCCAGTCACCTAACCTTCTACCGCCACTGTCCCAGATTTCTCACCTGTGGTGAGGGTGGTTAAAGATGCCAAGTAGGAGAAGGGGTGGAGTGTGAAAGAGCAGCACAGATGCTCTGCTGGCTGGGGCTGGTATGTCATGGGCAAGGCTGTCAGGAAGAGAATAAGCAGAAATGATGCACCCCGTGCCTGGTACTGACAGAGGTGCACATGCATCAGCATCAGTGTGAGCAGCCAAGGAAGCCTTCCTGGGGGAGGCAGAATACACATGAGGACCATAGCCACGGGCACAGGACTTCAGTCTGCAGTGCCTTGTTCATCCTGTCACTGCTCTGCAGTGGCCTCAGCACAGCTGGTAAGGCAAGCAGGCGTGGGAACTGTCCAAGGGGACACCACCAGCAAGTGGAGGCAGAGGACTTTGCCCTGCTCTCCCAATTCCCAGCCCAGTGCTCTTCTCATTGCTGCTCTCCATCTCATCTGATGACTTGAGACATCACTTGCCTTTGCCCTGAATGGGCAAGAACTTTCTAGCCTCCTTTTTCTAGACCAAGGACTGGCCCACCTTAATGATAGCTCTTGATGGGCTGTGAACTTGGGCTCCCCACGCCTTCCACAGATGCAGCCTCTAAGGCATTTGGCAGATGCTTGACCAGCCCCACAGGAAGGACTATTCATGTGGGTGGATCATGATAAACATGGCTTTATTGAATTGAGATGGATTTTTGCCGTTAACTCAAGTGGGTTTGAGAATTTCCACCACATTCTGCTAAACCCTGTCAGAAAAGAAATAACACAGCCCTCGCTCTCCAGGAGCTGCCATCCAGAGCCAACCTAGAATTCAAAAATGCCCTTCAAGTTGATGTTAGTTTTTGTCATGAGTTTCACAACGTGAAATTTTGGTGACATGTCCCTCCACACTGGGTTGGGGAGCAGGTCACTGCTGTGGCCTTTAGCTTTGGACCCTTGCCATCCAAGAGTGCCTTCAAGCTTTTAACGGGTCACTTGGTCACAGATGCTGACCCTATATCTGGAAAAGAATTTCACAATGCAGAAATGTACTGTTGCCCAGCTGGAGAGGGCAGGCCTCATATCCAATGCTTTTCCAGACCATGTAATCACAGTCGAAAGCTGAGCCATCTGCCGAAGCTCTGTGTGGTGGAAGCGGGATGAATGGAGCCTGGGAAACAGGTTGTGATTTAGTGTCCAAGCCTCCCACCCCAAAAGTGTGGCCGGTGCCAGAGCAGAGCTGGGGGAGTGAGTAGGCCTCTTGCTGAATGCTTGGGTTTCCCTGGTGTTAGCCTGGGTGTGTGCTGTGCCCCTGATAGTCAGCCTCTTGTCAAGCCTATCAGCCATGTATGTCCTCACCATCAGCCCCAGATACAGCTTCCCTTCTGCACTGACTGTCCTGGCTCCCAGCTTCATCAAGAGCCATGTTGTTCTTTCAGGGAGGAAAGACGGAAAATATGATCTGAACCTGACATTTGGCTTATGATTCTGGCAGAATCATTCTGGGAAGATTTTCTTTTTGGCATGTGATGGGAACATATGTGGAGATTCCCAGAATAAGCCAGTGCTTCAGAGCCCCTGGTCAAGCCAAGAAGGCCCAGGAGTAGGTGAAAACTTGGAGTTTAGCTGTACTCAGGGATGGCTAATGGGCGGGTGTATGATTGGCTATTCATTTCACAATAACTATTAGCTAAACTGGAAACTGAACCTCACCCAAAAAAAGATAATTTAGGGGTGTAACATAGTCCAATTTGGGAAATTTGGCCCCATGAATGACAGTTAAGATGTTCCCTATGAGTTCATGTACCTTATCTTCCCAGAGGAGAAAATACAGTGGTTTTTTAAAACATATCCTGTTCAGTCTATGTGTTTTTAGTATTCTTTTTCTAATTTATGTAGATTCATTCATTTAGCTCATTTATTGAGCATCCACTATGCATCAGACCTAGTGTTGGGGGCTGAGGACACAGGGATGGACGAGACACAGCCCTACCCTTGTGAGCTCACAGCTCATGTCATCAGGCATTTCAATACAATGCAGTCACTGCCTCGAGGGTCTGCATCCCAGGATGCATGCAGTACTTGGCCACCTAGAGGTCAGAACAGCAGGGAAGAAAGGGTTCCCAGAGGAAGTCGATCGAAGCAGAGTCCCGAAGGATCAGCAGCTGAAGGAAAAGAGGGGGAAGGACATTCTCCACAGAGGGAACAGCATGTGCAGAGGACTGGTGGCAGAAACGAAAATGTCACTTTGAGGCAGAGTTGAGTGAGGAAAAGAGAGGTCTGGGAGCAGGGCCTGGGAACACTGGTGGGAGGAGAATGATAGGGGTAAGAGTTTCAAATGGAGGCTGAGCAGGAGCAGCCAGAGAGGCTAGAGAAGAATAGAATCTGTCAGCATTGTCTAGTGACTAAGTTGTACCCATAGCATGCTGCCACAAAACGCCTGCTGGTGCTCTTGGCAAAGGCTAATCATGGGCTGGGGACTGGAAACAGAAGCTGATTGTGGTGGACTGAGGAGTGAATGGGAGGTGAGGATGTCAGTTCAGCAAGTGTGAACAATTCTTTCAAGAAGTTTGGCCATGACACCAAAAGGCATGCTCCATAGTGTTTATAGCAACAGTATTTGAATAGTCAGAGTCTGGAAATAACTCAAATACCCGTCAGCAATAGAATGATATGCCTACAAGTATTATACCTCAATGTTGTGTGAAAGAAACTAGGCACAAAAGATTGTACAATTTCTTTAATGTAAAATGACAAAACACAACAAACTATTCTATGGTTTTGGAAGTCAGGATAACGGGGCTCTGGAATGCTGGTGATGTTCTATTTCTTGATCTGGGTGCTGGTGGCACAGGTAAGTTCAATTTGAAAAACAATCTATTGAGCTGTACACTTATGTGGACACTTTTCCATATGTATGTTATGCTGCAAGAAAAAGTTTACTTAAAAAAAATCAGCTGTGTAGGAATGACAGGGAGCAAGGGTGGCAGCTGGTGGAAGCCATGGGGTTGAGGGAGGGTGGGGTTTTTGTTGTTTTCCTGGAGATACTTGAAAGTGTATTTCTTATAGTTGAGAAGGAGCCACTAGGGATAGAGGAGAGGGAGGTGATGCTCAGCAGAGCAAGGGGGAAGAAGGGAGAAAGAGAGGATTCTGGGAGGCCAAGAAGATGTGGGGAGCCCTCCTCTGTGGAGTAGGAGTCAGGGGTCCTGGCCTGAGGGTGAGAGGAGTCATGAACAGATCAGAGTCGAAAGGGGCACAGTGTGAAAGTTTTGTGAAGAGAACCCTTCTGGACTGGAGGCCGTGAGCCTCAGGGGCCACATTGTGGGAGGGGTGGAAAAGATGGGCAGCTGGGTTGGCTTGGTGGCATTATCAGACTAGGGTGTTCTAGAGGAAGCCTGGGAGCTGAAGCACTTGGCAGGAGAGAGTGGCTAAAGTGAGGGACACCAGAGTCCAGCCTGGGAGGGAGAGATGAGAGGAAAGATAGGTTGGGGAGGATCACATGTCTGGAGTTCTATGAAAGGGTCTCAGCATGAGGGAGCTGGCCGGGTCAGTTCTTAGCGGTGGCAGTAGGGGTAGGAGTCTGAGGAGGATGTGGAGGCCACTGGAATGGGGCATCTTTTCTATTCCAGTTGAGGGTGCCCAGGAAAGCCCAGTCATCTGCAGTCATTTAGCTGAGCATGTACATACCCATCAGCCCTACAGCTAGGGCTGCTTAGAGGCAGGCTCTCTGGAGAAAATACTCACCTTGACCTATTCATTTTGCACCGTTCGGTTCAAGACTTTTGTGATCACAGGCATAAAACTATCTCCACACTCCTGCTGGATGGTTTTAGGAGAATTTCTTAACCTTTCTTAAGCCTCAGTTTCCTTAGATATTAAATGAATACATCTAATACCTGTATCATAGGGTTGTTTCAAGAAATAACTGAACTACCGTGTATGAAATACCTAGCACAGTGCCCACACTAGTGGGTGTTCAGTGATTGGCTGCTACTATAGTTATTATCTGTATTCCTACTGGCCCTCAAGTCTGATTTGTAAAAAATTGGTAGATATGAGATTGATGAACGTAAGACTCAATCCTAAAGAATGTTTAGAAGCCTCTAGCAGAGAGACGAACACTGTGTTTGCCTTGTAAAATTTCCAGAGCACTTATGTCACCCATATCTTTTGTAACCCACCTTTGACTGTGTGAAAGTGGAGACAAGCAGCCAGAAGAGCCCCCAGCCAGAGGGCCCAGCACTGCTCCCAACCTGGACTCCTGCCCCTGCGAGAGAGACCTGGAGCTTAGCTTCACCCCACAGCTGCTCTCACTTGGAGTGCATGTCCATCTAGGGCAGATCTTCACTGATCTGCACATACCTTTCTGCTATCAGCCGTGGGTGGGCCGCCCAGGAACCCCAGCTGAAGTCAAAATGCCATTTGCAAAACCTGAAACTAAGAGAGTTATTGCTGTCCGCAGCTGGAGAGAAGTGAAATGCAAGGATGGCCAACTTATGCTTAGAAGGTGGGAAATGGACAGTAGGTCTCATACTGCTAAGATGTTGGGGCCTGGGTGGCATCACCTCCCACTGATGTGGCACCAGAAAAGGAGAGAACCAGAGGAAACGTTGATTTTGCAACTTTATGCATAGGTCTAGCTAAGAATGCTTTGCCTTTTCCCCCATGTGAGCAACTTGGAATATTTTCCATATCATGTGTAAAAGAATTGCTGCCAGAGGTATGTAGTTGTCCTGAATCAGAGACACAAGCACAGCTTTTCCAAAGGCTCACCTCTGACCTCCCAACTTAGACCTTGCAGTCTTCTCCCAGGATTTGTTGTCAACATTCACTTCTCCTTTATCCTTTGGGACCGCATCTAGACATGACTTGAGGAAATAATTTGAACATTTCTGGGAATATTTAAAAATTCTATAACTCAGAAGTTTATAAAATTTTGTTCATATACACAAGAAAACATTTGTTTCTAAAAGGTATAAACTTTTCTCGTCATGTTGGAGAGGAAGAGGGCTTGTCTAAGTAAGCAGAATTGAATAACTACTACCAATGTATGTGTTCGGGCCTGAACTCAGTGGAGGCTTTAGATACTTTTCATGAATGAAGACAACTTTTTCATCAATGAATACAACCCTGAGGTTGTATTAGGCATAAGCAAGTCAGCCAATCTCGCAAATCTAAAGCTCTGTAGCGCAGGACCATATTTTGTGACAATTCTGATTTCATATTTAGTATTTTGGGGATGTCCCTTAGAAAATTCCAAAACTTGAGAATCCACAGGTGAAAATTTCCAGGTGACACTGTCCAATAGTTTCTGGGCACAGGGACTCAGGGCAATTTCTTAATATGGGCCTGGGTTTGAGGAAAGATGCTGGGATGAAAGAAGGACCAGCAGAGGTAACACAGATCCCATGGATCTTATTGTTTTCAAAAGGAAGATATTTTAACGTCTACCTATTACAAAATGTGACTTTAAAAATCCTGTAACCTTCTGTGTCCCCCAAAGTCATCTATGTGATTTGCAATACAGATGTAAGTGCCAGAGCACCTGTTGAAACCCCGCCCACCACACATCTTGGTTAGACAGAGATGGGGCCATTACTGATGCTCTATGTCTCTGACAAATGGGTTACCAGTAAGTTGAGCAAACAGGCCTCATGGGATATAATCATGAGAGTAATTTTATTTTTGTCTCCATCTGTTCCTTTAAACTTGCTTAGTGGGGGTAGTTCTTTTTCTGCCCCAGGATAAAAACATAGGCATCTCATGCCTTTTCTGGTCACTCTCAGGTAATAAAAACCTCCATGGTCATTGTAAGTCACAAACACGGTCTTAATTCAGAGTTGCAAGTGTCAGTCCAAAATGAGTCAGTCCACTTCATTGTGCCTTCTCCCGTGCCCAGCTCGGCTGGCTGCAGGCTTGGTGGGGAAGGTGTGGTCTGCCTTTTCTGTTTTCGCTGGTGTTTCTCCTCCTCCTCTAGCTGCTAATGAAGGTTTCTGCCCTCTCCCAACAGGTGGAAGTTGGGAGGGAAAATAAGAAAGTGGGAAAGGGAAGTTGGGAGATAATTTGGGGCAAACGTTTAAAACTCACTCTTTAGACACTTTCAGGAATTTTCTTGACATAGGCTGAGCGCTTCCTTTGGTTTTCTGTTCTCTAATCCACTTCAGCTTCTGCCTCTGCTGTGCATTTTATTGCTTCCCCGTAATAGGGGGGTGGTGTGGGGAGGGGGCGGGACGTCCCTTTGCCCCGGCAAACTGGCCTTGTGGACAAGACTCCTTTTTAACTCACCATTCCCACCACCACTCCCTCAGACTGATGTGCCTTGTGCAGACTCCATATCCAGTTCCTGGGATTTATTATTTTTTGGCAGCTGAAGCCTTCTTTACCTTTCTCATTGGGTCCCTCAGCTTTAGGGAACACAGTCAGTGTCTGAAGCAATCCCATTTGGGTCTAGATTAGTTTGGGTTTCAGGTTGGGGTTGGGAGAGAGGCCTTCTCATTCCTCCCCTTTGATGGGCTGTAGAAATTGGTGTAGCTCTCTCTAAAGAGATCCTTCTCACAAATTCTCAATCTCTCTCTCTCTCTGTCTTATTGAGGTGAAATTCACATGGCATAAAATTAACCATTTTAAAGTGAATAATTCAGTGGAATTTAGTACAATACTCTCTTAATCTCCTCTCACTTAGCCCTTTTATTGCCTCTTTCTGGGTGAGGGTTGCAAAGTTAACATATTGGTTTATTTGATGTTTCCTGGGTAAATTCTGCATAGTGGTCTGGCCTCTCACTTTTGGTGTTTCACAGCTATTGTATCTGCTGCCTCAGCGGAAACTTAAAATTAACATCTTTTCTACATGAATTATATCCTTAGACCATATAGATGCCCTATGAGGTGGGTATCATCGTCCCTGTTTTATAGGTAAGGAAATAGAGAGGAGAAATGGCTTGCCCATGTTATGCTAGCTGTGAGAGGCACGGTCAGGATTTGAGCCCAGTCAGATCTGCCCAGCAGCAGCAGCAGGGTTGTGTCCACCCTGACATGGAATAGTGGCCGAGCTGGCCTCCCTTTCCACCCGGCCTCTGAGTTGTCCTGGCAGCCCCAGGCTTCCTCACAAGCAGCAGTGAAAGGTAGTGCCTGGACATCTGTGTCCCATCTCTGCTGATGAGCAGGCAGGAGGGGCTGCTTCAACCCTCTGTACCTCCAGCCTGGCCTGAGCCTGGGGCCTTCCCAGGTTCCAGATGCAGCAAAGAAGTCCTCTGCCAGCAGAGTTGGCTACTAGATTCTGGAGACTAGACCTGCTCAGGCCCAGAGAACAGCATAGGGCACTGGGTGTATGTGAGGACCCAAGAGCCTGTGCTCCCTGAGGGAGGCAGGAGAGGGTAAGGGGCAGGCCACAGGTAGCCAACGCCTCAGGCCTTGAGGCACCCCACCTGTGCAGCTGTGTTACCTGCCATCTGGTCCCAAGATGGTGGGCTTTGAATGTCTACAGGATGAAGGTCCAGCCAGAGCTCGGCTGGAGAGCCCTGGGTGTTTGGGACTGCCGACTCGGGCAGTGTTCTCAAGGAGTGGCGCTTGAGCTTCCAACTAATTTGCCTTCTTGCTTTCTCTTTTCAGGGAACCCCAAAGGTGCAATGCTCACCCATGGGAACGTGGTGGCTGACTTCTCAGGCTTTCTGAAAGTGACAGAGGTGAATAAAGTAGACTCGCTAATGCGGGTGTCTCTTGAGGACACCCTCAAGCCTCAGAGGCTTTTTGTGTTTGTTTTCTTTTTGTTTTCCTGATATAATCTGAACTGCCTTTCACAAGCAGGAGTTTCTGTTCTCATTAGAGCAACCCCTTTCTTGCAGACACTTTTAACTGCAAACACTGAAATGATCTATACCTGAAAAATATTCAGTTTATTTCTAAGTGCTAAGATCCCAGGAAAAAAAACCATTTTTTTTCATTTTTAACTTCAAAAATTGAGATACCTGTGGTTTTGTGTGTACCTTTATTTAGAAAGTAATCCCTAATAACTTACTTGTTTTTCAAGTAGGTCAGGGTTTAATTCAGTCGTTTTGTGTTTAAGGACTACTAGAGTCTGGGAAACAGCGGCAACTGCTAATTTCTAAGGCTGTACTTAAAAAGGTAAATCAAAAATCAGAAAAGCCTGATATCTCGGCCTGAAAAAAGCATGTTAGCATTTTATAACCAGCTAGGAAAGAAGGACCTTTTCCCACAAGTGGTGAGTATCCGAATGTCCTACAGTTTCCTTAAGGAGAAAGGAATGTATCTTTTCATATAAGTTAGGCTTTTTCTTTGCTGTGGAGAGATCACTATCCACATTCGTGCCAGATGGTGTTATGGAGCATATGCCCCAAACAGTTATATATTTTGGTCAAAAAAGGTGAAAGAGGTGAAAGACTGCTGGTGAGCCCAGGTCAGGAGCCGTGAGCCAGGTCCCCAGGGCTTGTCCAAACACATCCAAAAGCCAGCCCAGGAGAATGAAGGCCTCTGCAAAAAGGCAGAGAGCAGGGAAGTCCAGCAAAGGAGAGCTCCCAAAGGCACGTCCTGTCCTGTCCTTGAGCCCAGGCCTTGTGCAGGTCCCCCTGGCTGTCGCAGCCCCTGCCCTGAGGTCAGTCCCATCTGTGAGAAGAGGGCTAGGGTGCACAGCAGGCCTGCCTCTCAGCCATGGCTCGTGAGGCCTGGTTCAGCTGTCTGGGGCCTGACCTTGCCCCCAACTCTGTCCCCGGCTCGTATCTTAGCCACAGTTGGTGTAGATTTAGGGTTCTCTGGGCCCGTTTCTCTGAAAGAAGGACTAGGAAGTGCTGACAAGCCGAGACCCTCTGAATCCCAGCCGACTGCCTGCAGTGAGGCGCAGGCCCTCCCCAGAGGAGACTCGCTGCGGAGCTGGGCTCTGCTGGTTTGTGTGTGCTTCATTTGGCTCTTTGCTTCTGCAGATAACCTAGACCCACTGGCGCTGCGACCTAACACTCCGCTTCCTACGCTGCCTGTCTCTCTGTCTCTCTTTTCTTCCTGCACCTTCTTCCTCTCACTCTTTCTCTCTCATTTTTTTCTCTCTCTCATCTCACCTCTCTCTCTGTCTCCCTCCCCCCTTCCCCAGTTCCCTACCCCCTCTTCCTGTTTGCCCCTCCAGGACCATTTTCTCTTTATTGTTTTATGACTCTCTTGTCGTCTTCCTGTCAGTGTTTTCTTTCCTTTCTGTCTCCCATGCCCGGCACCTGCAGAAAGTGATCTTTCCGAGACAGGACGATGTGCTCATCTCCTTCCTGCCTCTGGCTCACATGTTTGAGAGAGTAATCCAGGTAAGACGCCCGCCCTACTGACCGGGCCTTGCCTGGGCTCCTTCTGTTCTCTTACAGAGTCAGTGGGCTCCCACTCGTGCGGATGTGCACGTTTCCTATTTGCCTTTAGCACACATGTTTGAGCGAATGGTGCAGGTAAGGCCCTGGCTCCAGGGAGGCACAGTCTGTGCCCAGAACCCAGAACCCCAGCAGGCTGTCACTTGTCACTGGTGGTGTGAAGTAGCACTAAACTGCCCTGTCCTCAGAAGGTACCTTAGGGGTCAGAGGACCTTGGCCACCCCACCTGTCCCTCTCGAGAGCATTGCTCCAGGGAAGACCCCAGGCCAGCCCTGTCTTACCTGTGGACACACCTCAGCTGAGAGACACCCCAGCTGATGCATCTACTCAGAGCATCACAACTTTGCAGAAGTGCTCTACCGTTCTAGCTCTCGGCTGTGTGGCTCTATATATGGCCAAATGCTTATATTCCATAACTTCCATAACTCACCAATTCCTAACAAAGAAAACAAGATGCTAAAGTTGGGCAATCAGACAGTCATGGCCCCTCAGGCTGTCAATGGGACTAGCATTATGAATGGCCCTGAGACAGGCCTTATGGGATTGCAGAGGGGACGCGGGCGGGGTCCACATGAGGTTCTGAGGACAAAGAATTCTCCATGTATGTCACTCAAGGAATCAACCTGTGAATAAACTGTGTCTTCTAAGCCTCTCCCATTTTGCCTTGGGGGAGATCTGGTATAATAGGGCATGCTTTCCAGCTTTCCAGACCTGGATTAGAATGCCAGCAATTACTGTGAACTGGTTTTGTGACTGGGCAAGTCCCTTTACCTCTCCGACCTTTGCGTTCCTCACCTATAAAATGGATATTAGAAATACTGGCTCTCCTATAGGGTTGCTATGAGCATTAAAGAAAGGAGGATTATATTAAGCCTCTGGCATACTCTTAGTCCCTTTAGCAACCAGCCAGGTCCCCCTTAGCCTCCCACAGCCAACATTAGCAGCATCTCCTGTACTCATGGGTACCACAAACCCTTCAGAGTTGGTGAGGTGTTCCTGGGGAAATCCGCAGACGCTCTGAGAGCTGGAGCAGACCCATTGATAGGATGTAGTATGGCTCAGAGAGCTAAGGCCCCTGTCCAGAGTTTAGGAGTGAACATGAAGGGGCAGGCACCAGTGAGACTGGCTGCTCTGGCATCTCCCAGAGGCTCAGCATTCCACTCTGTCTCCTGCTGCTTCTCTCTGTGCCTGAGTGGAACTTAGTAGGGAGGTGGGGAGGTGGCAGGGAGTTTGTCACCTCAGATAGCATTCTTCAATGTCCCATGGCAGCAGCCAGAGCTGGGTTAAGGGGTCATGGGCGCCCTCCATGTAGGGCAGAACTTTAGACAGCTCTGGACTGTAGCCAAGACTGACCAGCCTGAGGGACTCCTCCCTTCCTGTCCTTTTCCTCCAGTCTGTTGTCTACTGCCACGGAGGGCGCGTCGGCTTCTTCCAGGGAGACATCCGTCTCCTCTCGGATGATATGAAGGCTCTTTGCCCCACCATCTTCCCTGTGGTCCCACGACTGCTGAACCGGATGTACGACAAGGTGAGCCCTCCAGGGAGTCTCTGCCCAGGCTGAAAAGCTGCTTATCTGCTGTATGGACAGGGTCTGGAACCCCATGCAGGCTTTCCACACCTCCACCCTCAGGTTCTAGAAGTTGCCTCTTCTCTTGAATGCCCTAACTCTCATCCTTGCTATTCTCCAAAACCCTGGTTGTGGTTGGGGAGATTTTTTCAGGAATTGCTATCCCCACAACATGCCCAGACCTTGGTAGCATTAACCTTTAGCTGGATGTCACACATTCAGTGACCTCCTACAGGGGTGAAATAGAGCATGGCTTCTCTGCTGGCCAGTCTGGGCCTTCTTCCTGGGGGGTGTGTCTAGAGGTGGCACATGCAGCCCCAACAGCTGTTTCCAACTTCTGTTCCCTAGATCTTCTGCCAAGCAGACACACCAGTAAAGCGTTGGTTCCTGGAGTTTGCAGCAAAGCGTAAACAGGCTGAGGTCCGGAGTGGAATCATCAGGAATGACAGTATCTGGGATGAATTATTCTTTAATAAGATTCAGGTAAGAAAATGAACAAGTGATTGTAGAGTGACACCCAAGTGTCCAATGGTTGACCTTACAGAAGAATTAAAGAAGTTCATCCCAGTGGCCTGTAATCTTATAAAATAATAAAACTCATTTGCTAATGAAATCAAAGCTTAAGCTACCATTGAAATCTAAAAGGGCTCATTTCTGTTCTTTAGAGATGTGTTATATTTGCCAAAAGGCAACCAGCAAGAAGGGCTCCTGAAAAGTAGGTTGCTTGACCTCCACAGGCATCAGAGCAACTCTGCCCTTCATGGGTCACGTCCACCAAGGGGGCTTGAAGATTCTCTTGCCCCTCCCTGTAGCCCTGGCCATGGTGGTTTTCCAGCAGCTCTAGGTTCTAGCCAGATGACCAAGAATCTTCCTTTCCCTTTGTGTTTCCTATCCCTTCAACCTCTCCCAAACCAGGCCAGTCATAAGTTACTCATTTGTGTCTCCCCACTAGAGTTTTCAAGCTATGCATTACTCAAGGAATTTGTAGTTAATTAGTAGCATTACTCATTTTTTTCTTACTATTCTATTTTTAGATATGAAAATTAATATTTAAAATCTCTTGGCTCAACTTAGAAAGACAAAGCGTTTAAAGAATTCTTTGTCCTCTGCAGTGCATAGTAAATAGAGCATTGTATTGATTTATAAATGAAAAAAGCCTATGCCATTGAGACGGAAGTGGGAAGAAATTGTCTTAAGTATTTGTTTTGGATGCTAGCAAATGATGGGAGAGTGAGGGAATGGCTATGTATTTTAAGGAAGAGAGAATGAGAATTACAGAATACCATACAGGTTAGTGGCACTTATCTCAAAATACATAAAAGAATTGACGATATCATGGGTTGAGTTGCAAAGCTGATTGGACTGATTCATTTGGAAGGAGAAGGGACTTCCTCAGCTCATGTGTTATACAGCCTCAAGCCTTCTCTCTGATCCCTATCCTATGGTCCAGGTAGGGGACAGTTGTTGAAGGTTGAACAGATGAGGCCCAGATGGGCTAGACGCCACTCTGGCAGCACAAACATTGGCAGGTTCTTCTCTCTTCCCACAGGCCAGTCTTGGTGGGTGTGTGCGGATGATTGTTACTGGAGCAGCCCCCGCATCACCAACAGTCTTGGGATTCCTCCGGGCGGCTCTGGGGTGCCAGGTATTGCCATTATGTGTCCTTCCCTGGGAGCAATGGGATGTGTGTTAGGGCAGGAAACCCACTATACTGTCTACTGAACGGAAAAAGATCCTGGGAGCAAGCTTTTAGTGGAATAAAAGCTCCCTCCTCTGAGGATGTAAGAAGCCTGAGTCAATGAATGCCAGGATGAACTTGTGACAGTCTTGAAAGCCCAGGTGTTTCCACTCTGCGAAAAAGGATCAGATAAACTATGTATGAATCATCAATGTGCTGGAGAACCTGTACCAAACCTGTAGCAGCATCTCTGCGTTCTCCAGCCTGCAAAATATCTCCCAACCCAGAAAAGGAGCACAAGGGAGGAGGATGAAAGTCCACTTGTGTGTTTTTATTTGATTCAATAGGTTTTGTTATCTCTAAAAAGCCCACTCCTTACATTTATCCATTCGATTAATATTTAAGTTCCTACATATGCGGGGTATAGTAACATAGTTGTGACTGATGGGTTTGAACTAAAGTAAGCACATCTATTTCATAAATGTACATGCTTAAATTTTTTTACTTTGGAAGCTCTGGGCTTCTTACACTGTCCTCCTGTTCTACACCAACATGGCCTGACCACTCCTAAAGGCAGACTCTCCTACATGGTGTATTCCTGCAAGCATATGGGGCTCTGGAGGGGAATATCTTTCAAAGACAAAATAAAACATATAGTAGATTTTAAAATATTTGTCTTTAATACATATTCTGCAAATGAAAAATAGTTAGTGGCTGAAAATAGGCCAGAAATCTTTACCCCAAACCACATAACCTTATCTAACTGTCTATGGTAAAAATAGCAAAGTAGCCACACCTGTGGTCTGTGTTCAGCTTCACCTGGAATTACCTACCTCCAGAGCACCTCCCCTCTCACCATCCCCAGCACGGAGCAGCCTGATGCTCAGTGGGAGGTTAGCTGCCTGAAAAAGGCAGCCCGTCAGCTGCAGGAGGGTGTGTGCCTGCATTGTGGTCTCCGTGTTTTGCTTGAAGGTTTATGAAGGTTATGGCCAAACTGAGTGCACAGCTGGATGTACGTTCACCACACCCGGGGACTGGACCTCAGGTAGGATGGACTGGAGATGAGGGAATGGTTCACAGGGCACTGCTGAGTTCAGGCAGCAGGCTCTAAAGCTTCCTAATGGAAAGTAAATTTACATGGGCACTTAGGAAAAAAGCAACAGAAATAGAAGAAAAACACTAATGGTGGTTATGGCATTATTCGTTGTGGCATTATGGATCTATTGTTCTCTTTGTTACATATTTTTGTATTTTCCTACTTTTTTGTATTTTTCTATTTCTTTTGTAGATAAATAGAAGTCATGTTTAAAAAAATAATAAAAAGTAGTAGATCACAAAATAAGGCTCCAGGTGGAAAAATGCTTATAATATCAGTAAAAATCAGTATATTGGATTTTATAGATCCTAATACCACATAGCCTTGCTTACAGTCATTTTAGAATGAAAGAAGCAGGCCATGAATTGAATATGATTTGGGAAGGAGAGGCAAGTTCATGGTGGCCAGAGCACTATTTCTTAAAGGGCCACTTCTGAGGCCCTTGGGGAACTGCGGTCTCCTGTGGTGTTAATGTCTAGAGGGCAGCAGCAATCTCAGGAAGGAGGGGCTCCTATCCATGTCCTCATTCTGAAGAGCCTCATCTTTCAGGGCAAGGAGGAAGCGGTGGGTAGCCCATGTACCATCTATCACCAAATTTAGACCAGACACTGGAATAATCTGAAAAACGTTCAGCAAAAGAATTCTTGAGGATACCCACTTCCTCTGTGAGCCTGGGGTCACTCTTCATGCTTAAGTTTGCTCAACTACCAACTGGAAAACTTGAGATGATGTGCATGCAAAAGAAATATGCTCAGTAATGCAATACTATTTTCAGAGTACCTTGAGGTAGTCAGCAGAAACACGATAGGTGCATGCTAAATTGAAATCATATTTTGCCAAGTCAAGTACAGAAGCCTTTTTTCCTGAGCTTTATTTCTTTAAACTCTAGCTGAATAAAGCCTATTTTGTAACATTCTTTGATCTCTCTACCACTCGCAAACCTACTACAAAGATTGTCTTTTGAGGTCTTATTTCACTAACTTTTTTCTTATCGCCACCATTGTATTTACTGATCACGCTCACATGTTCCCTTCCTGTTGGACCCTTTCTTCCCTCTTACGTCATCTGAGTTCTCCTATGTAAGGCTTTTGAGGTTTTGCCTTTTTAATTAATCCCCTTACCATAAAAACTTTCAAGGGCTATTGAGTATTAGAGGATAGATATCTTTGTACAATACTGTAAAGGATTTGGCAGCCTCTCATTTAAAAGAGAACCAAAGAGTCACAGCCTCATTTTTCATTTACATGGTTGTTTTTTTCAGGACCTTGGCCAGCACCTAATTAAAAATCCTCTGCCTTGCCAGTTAATTCTGCAACAACCACAAAAAATTATTAGAAAATGACTTAGATATAATTTTGTGGTTGGAGTATATAAGACCAAGAAAAGTCTTATTTTTCAGGGACAAGTTACCTTGTCTTTGCTTTCCATTCCTTTGTTGCTCAAAGTGTAGTGTGTGGACCAGAAGCCTCACCATCACCTGGGTGCCTGTAAGAAATGGAGAATCTCAGGCCTCATCCCAGACCTACTGAATCCGAATCTACATTTTAACTAGATTTGTAGATGATTGCCATGCACATTAAACAACTGTCTGGTGACTGGAGGAGAAGCGATGATGACTACATTGAATGATCCCAAACCAAGACGTGTGATCTGACCATGGGAAAAATGTTTTAATATGGGCATTATTGTAAAAAAAAAAATCCTGCCTGTATGGTTGGTGTGGGTATGAGCCCCACCATGGACCCTGTGCAGGTTAGTGCTGGGCCAGGTGTGCCTGGCTAGCTCTTAAGAATCAAATGTAAAACAAAGGCCCAGCAGAGGTTGGCCTCTCCTTTCCAGAATTTTGTTTCACTATCAGCACTGGCCTGTGACAAATGCCGATCTTAAAGCATATTGCTTTCCATTCATAATTCCCCAGTATGACCACTTGGGGCTTTTTACATGGCATGGAGCATCTTCATTGCTGAAATTGATCTGAACACTGACAAATACCATATTACTCTAATGTTCTAGGGCATGTCGGGGCGCCTCTGCCCTGCAATCATATCAAGCTCGTCGATATCGAAGAACTGAACTATTGGACCTGCAAAGGAGAGGGAGAGGTAAACTTACGCATTTAGCCATTCGTGTCTGTGATGCTACATGTAGTGAGTAAAAGAAAAAAAACATGAAAATGGAATTATTTTCCTTTTACCCTATGTGTAAAGTCACTTTAAATTACTGATTAATTTGAATTCAATTGAATTCAGCATTTCCTCTCCTGTTTATGAAGCAATCAACCCCCAAGGCTGGGACCGGGATGGTCTAAATGAAGATTTGGAATTCCTAAACTTTAAAAAAATCTCTTTTATTCCCCCTAACTGGCATGGCCTGCTGCTGTCTATCTGTCCCAGCAGAAACATGACCGTTTGCAAATAGGTCAGATAGTGTAGATAGAGCTGGCCTGTACTTGTTCATTCTGTGGGAGTGGATGGGAAAGCTGAGCTTGCTCATGAAGTAGGGGGCTCAAGCATCGCCAGTAGAACCAGCCAGCCATCAATATCTGATGAGACCCCATCTAGTCTCACAAAGCAGCAAATGCTGAAGGCCAGGGGGTTCCTGAGGAAGGAAAGATGGCAGAAGGAGGCCTGGGGTAGCCAGGGCAGAGGGAAAAGATGGAAAGGATGCTGCTTGAGAGAAGGCAGGAGACGGTTCCTGTCCTTTATTTCCATCACTGCAATTTCCACAGTGGATTTCCTGAGGGATTGCATACATTATTCTACACATGCCTGGTGACAGCCTCACATTAAGATTCATTATGCTGTGGGCTGAGAGAAAATGCTGTTTGTCCCTACAGATATGTGTGAAAGGACCAAATGTGTTCAAAGGTTATTTGAAAGATCCTGACAGGACAAAGGAGGCTCTGGACAGCGACGGCTGGCTTCACACTGGAGACATTGGGAAATGGCTGCCGGTGCGTATGTTTGGAACCATGGAGCACCAAACATTTTGGTGGTAGTAGGGTGTATAATCTGACTCACTCCTGAGGCAGGAGTCTTCTCTATATCTTCCCTGACAATTAGTTCAGAAACACCTCCAGGGATCTGGAGGTTCTTCTTTGCCACATTCTTGAAGCTTCATCCTCCGTGTTCCTGATGAAGGTGATAGGGATCTTTGTGGGAGGGTACAGCTGGAGTTTGAGACCCACTCTATTCTTGATGGTTTCCAGAAAGAGATCTGACAGTGCTGTGGAGTTTGATGGGTGGAGTAGAAGGAGCAGGGGGTTCATAGATCTGGGAGATCTGAGAAAGGCAGGGCCTGGGAGCCCACGGACTCTGGCTTCCAGCTGAGAGGTGGCACTGAGCAGTGAGAAAAGCTTGGAGCTGAGCAGGAGGATGCGTGAGTTCCTCTGGCTCTGCCAGCAGTTGCTCTTGTGACCTTGAGCAAAGCCTCATCCCCTCTGGGTCTCCAGATTGACTCACTTGTAGAATAAGAGTGCAAGGCTATGTGGCATTCGTTGGCTCTGGCCCCCAACTTTTAGCCAAAACCAGTTATTGTGCCTCATTCTGTCATTTGTAAAATGGGGACCATAACATTGCTTACCTCTGTGGTTACTGTTGTGAGGAATATAATCTCATTTATTCCTCACAATAGTTAGCACAAAGCCTGGCCCAGAGGAGATGCTTAGGTGAAAGCTATGACCAGAAAAAGGCTCTGTCACTGAAACTGAGAGCCCTCCCCTGAAGCAGCCCACCCCAGGGACCTCTCCATGTCTCTGGGAAGTTGCTCAGGTTTTGAGTGGATGTTCTGAGATGCTTTGTTTGTCGGGCATGTGAATGATGTCGAGCCCTCCAGGAGTCCTCTGGACTGGCGAGCTGATTTGCCCCTGCTTGAATCAGTGTGCTTCCCTTTGAGGACGCTCTTTCCTGCAGCAGACAATGATGTATCCCTGGTGTGTGCCCTGGGCCAAGGGCTCTGCTCAGGGGAGAGATGTGCCTTTCGACGGTTCCCAACCCAATGTGATGGGCATGAGCCGAGGGCCGCTGTTACCTGGAGAGAGGCAGAGGAGGACAGGCGGCTACTGGATCTGAGTCTCAGGATATGAGTCATGTTCTGAGGGGAGAGGAGAGAGTAGGAAAGAGAGTCAGGGCGGGAGTCATAGAACAGCACGTGCTAAGTGAGAGACAGTAGAGGTGTGAGGCAAGCAATTCCAACTGGGGGCCCACAGGTGTGGAGAAGGGAGGCTGGAGAAGCAGCAGGGCCCTGGATACCGGCAGAGGGTGGGTTGTCCCGTCAGCTAAGGAAGTTGAGGCTTCAGGGCCCCTCACTTGTATGGACTCCTTCTAAGGAACTTCCTTTTGTATTATTTTCCTTAAAGAGGGCCCTCAAAATGGGAAAAAAGTTAAAGCTCCACAAAACCTTGAATCTGCTGCTGATGCCCTATAACTTGGATGAAACCACTCACCTTTCAGGGTGTTGTGAGAAGCAAGTACATTAATTCATGTGAAGCACACCTAGTGTAGTCCTTGAACTCAGAGCCCAAGAGAGCAGGCAGGCAGTCTTTGGGAGGCAATTTCTTTTAATTATTATTATTTTGAAATAGTATTAGATAGATCACAGAAAAGGTATAAGCTTCTGATCCAGAAAGACCTGATTCAAATCCTGGTTCCCCTCCCTCCTGGCTGTGTGGCTTTGGAGGAGTTACTAACCTCTCTGATTCTCACTTTTATCATCTATGAAATGGAGGTGATGATACCCAGCTTATGGGGTGCCATGAGGACCAAAGAAGCCAGTGTAGGGAAAGCATGTGATGTCCAGCCTGGGTTTTGAGCAAAATGGGGCCTGCTTGTTTTTCTCTTCTAGAGAAATTGTCCTGGTTCTGGTGGATCAAGCAGATGGGGCAGGAACAGAGTGGTTTTGATGGGAGGAGGCGGTGGATATGAGAGGCATTTATGACTGAGGACAGATGAGCCTGACTGCTGGAAGTCCCAGGAGAGGCAAACGGCAAGGCCATCTCCAGATTTGGGGCTCGGCGACTGGGACAGTCTTGAGGAGCACAGTGATGAGCTGCTTTGGGGGCATGTTGCATCCTGCAGGCCTGGTTTCTGAAGCATTCTGAGGATAATTAGGTTCTGGGTCTGGAGCTCAGTGAAGAGGTCTGGCTGGAAGCTCAGACAGATGTGGGAGTGGCCAGTGAAGAGGTAAATGGTGTTTATCTCAAGCAGCATTGTCAGAGGAGGTAAGAAAAGTGCAACATTCAAGGGTTGAGCCAAAGGAGAGAGACTCACCTAATCATCTCAGAAACTCAAATAGGTCAAGGGGAGTCAGGGAGGTAAGTGGAGGTCCTGGACGCCAGACTCACAAGCACTCACTGCCCAAGGGAGGGCCTGCCTGCTCTAGGGGTGAGGACTCCTAATGCCGTCTAGCTCATTACGTAGGCATCATGGGAAGCCTCTGCCAGAGCTGTGCTATCTGCTGGAGGATAGAGAGACCACTTTTTGGAGTGGTTACAATAGTTAAAGTGAGAGGCCTAAGCATGATTTAAGGAGCAAAACTGAAGATGCTGGTGAGAAAAGGGACAGCTGGAGCAAGGGCCTGGGCAAGAAGGGAGCCCTGATGGGAAAGTAGGTGGGCCTTCTGAGGAGGAGGACACCTGTTGCTGGGCACTAGGGTGGCAGGAGTGGGAGGGGGGTGTGGCTTGGGTCAATGCTGAGGGGAAAGCACAGTGGGTACTCAGGGCCCAGTAAAGCTTGGGAACCATTAACCTGTGGTACATGATGGCTCTCTCCAGCCACTCAGTGGCTTCATAAGAGCAGAGACAGCAGATGGAGGAGCAGATCCGGGGAAGTCTGCAGGGTAGGACAGGGCAGGAGTGAGGGGCTGTGGCACTAAGGAGTAGGGGTTCAGGCTTGGGAATGCTGTCTTTTTATGAAGCTGTTTGTCTAACTCCACAGGCAGGAACTCTTAAAATTATTGATCGGAAAAAGCACATATTTAAACTCGCTCAGGGAGAATATGTTGCACCCGAGAAGATTGAGAACATCTATATCCGGAGTGAGCCTGTGGCGCAAATCTATGTTCATGGGGACAGCTTAAAGGTGACTCCTCTATTCTTCAGCCCTCCCAAGCATACTAGGCCTGCTGAAAAATCTAGAGTTATCTTGGCATAATTTCCAAAGTATTTGATATTTGATTAAAGTGGTATACACTAATTTCCAATCAGACACCAGTATTCTCCTGCATATTAGATCATGAGAGAAAATTCCTTTTTTAAAGAGAAATCTTAATTGCTTATAGTTTGGTAAATTGCAATTAGGTAAATAAGTTGCTTGAAGTGGTAGTAATGAACATTCCCACTACTTTTAACTTATGCTCTACCTACTTCCGAGAGGAATTTTGAGGTAAGATGCAAGATTCAGGGTTTCTGCTGTTTTGATTTTAAACTATGCAAATGAACATGACAAATAAATGGATACAGTATTGCAAGTAATGGTATTGGTGATAATATAGTTTCTTAGGATTAAATTATTTGGAGAGAATTTATATTTATTTTTTCAACATCATTTAGATTTGAAGTCAGAAAGGTCACTGTGAATATATTCTATGCTGTCATTGGAATTATAATTAAATATTATTAAATTATTTTTGAAAAAATCCTTTAAAAAATTAAAATAGAGTTCTTTGTGAATGAGGACCATAATGAAACAATTTCAAAATGGTCTGGAAATCCTGAGAAACATATGTGTTTTGGATCATAGAGTTGTTTGATTAGCATCCTAAAAAGGTACTTAAGAGTGGCATGAGAATCAAAGGTACATATCGGTCTAACTTTACTGATTCTTAATCTCCTTAAGCTTATTCTTTATTACTTTTTAAAATATAGTTAGGGGAATATATCAGAAAATAAGCACTCAAGAATGTATGATACATTAATAGAATGTTTCATAACATATAAGCATATACTTATTTTTAGAAAAGGGTGGAGTCTGAGAATACCAAGAGATTATTTTTAATGCTGGACCACAAATAACCACTTTAAAGGATCTGTCATTCATGATTGTGTTTTTGTTTGATGGGAAATGCAGGCCTTTTTGGTGGGCATTGTTGTGCCCGACCCTGAAGTCATGCCGTCCTGGGCCCAGAAGAGAGGAATCGAAGGGACGTATGTAGAGCTCTGCACAAATAGGGTCAGTACCTTGGGGGTGTTCCCTAAAAACTCGCTGGGCCTTGTATGATACTGCATAATGAGAGGAGAGAAAAACAGTAGACCAGCGAAATTTGAACAGGTAGAGGAATTTGTAACATTATTTTATAGATGGTGGGACTCCTAAACCAGAGCTTTGTCTTTTTCTTAATTGTTGAAGGAGCTTATATTTCTTCTTAGAATGTTTGATAAACTATTGAATTTTAGAGCCAGGAGACATAATAGAAAGCTTAGCCAGCCCTGTTGTTTTACAGCTTGGAGGCTAGTCCAGAGAAAGAGGTGGTTTGCCCAAGGCCACACAACAGGTTAGCAGCAGTGTCAGATGTGAGCACAGACCTTCTGACTCATTGACCATGCTCTTTACAAATGTGAAGTGGATTTTGTATCTACTGGACTTAGACAGTCTTTGAATTGAACAAGTAACACAATTTTTCCTGCTTAGAGCATTAGTTACTTGCACCTTCCAGAAACCTTCTCAGGGCACATGTAGGGTCCTCTGGAGGAGAATCTCTGTGCTCTGGCTCAACATCAGCTCCTTCCAATGGGTGGTCCATTCTCAGCAGCAGCCGTGGACCCTAGCACTCCCAGTGGACTTGGGCTCTTCTGAGGGTGACAGGACTCCTAGGACTCACCAGGCTGACCTGAGGCCCACTTAAAAAAATCGAGTGGTCCCTTAGCCTATTCATGGTCACTTCTTTAGCCATGGCCAACATGTACTTGCCTGATGAGAGGTAGTGATTGGCATGCTGCCAGGCAGTGTCAACCCCATTTGCGGGGCAGGAGGATGTGTTGGCACAATTGCCAGTTGCACTTTGCTCAAAACTCATTATTTCCTCTACTTCCATTTCAAAATGTGTTTTTGCCTTGTCATTTTGCCTCTATGGTTCATTGCAGGAGCTGAAGAAAGCCATTTTGGAAGATATGGTGAGCTTGGGAAAAGAAGGTGGACTCCATTCTTTTGAACAGGTAACTATTATCTTCCCATACTTGTTACAGCCCTTTTTGCAGTGATGAAAATTAAATTAACCCACAGTGACTCTGACCTAGATTCCCCATCCTCCGTGCTATGGCCCACAGGCAGGCTGTGTATGCACAGACCCCTGAAGGCCTGTTCCAAGATGACTTTGCAACAGCCTGCATCCTGAACTAAAATAGGTCGTATGTCGAGTGAGACTGCACTCATTGTCCTCATAATCACAAGCGTTCATGAAGCTGAAATAGTACCCTAGCCATCACTAGTACATCATGTGTACATGGTCTGTATCCAAGCTGCCTGCAATACTCAAGACCAGAGTCCTGTCCTATTTTTATTTTTACGGGAACTGTCTTCTTGGGTGCAGAAGGCAAGCTGACTTGCTAGGACATGGGAAAGATTGGGCTCCTCGAGCCAGTGATCTGTCAGCCCAGCATGCCCTCTACAAAGAGGAGGAAACAAAGAACATGTTGGGAGAGGGGACACAGCAGTCCTCTAAGACTTTTATCTTTGCAAGGTTGGGGTTCTCATTGAAGTGAGTTTATAAGCATACTTGTTCCTACCTACATATGCTGTTTATACATCTTCTTTAGTCAAAAATTCAAAAAGAGGGGCTGGCCCTGTGATGTAGTGGTTAAGTTTAGCACAGTTTACTTCAGTGGCCCGGGTTTGTGGGTTTTGATCCCAGGCACAGACCTGCACCACTTGTAGCCATGCTATGGCAGCGAACCCCATATAAAGTGGAGGAAGGTTGGCACAGGTGTTAGCTCAAGGCTAGTCTTCCTCAGCAAAAAAAAAAGAAAGAAAAAAATTCTTCAAGCGAAAAAAATACTGATTTTTCCAGTTTCCTTGTATGTATTTAATATAAAGGTTTTTGATAAAATTGTGTTTCTCCAGTAGGGTCCCCAGATACAATATTAGGGATCTGCAGGTTGATGAGAATTTTGAATTTTATATGTTCATTTTGATGATAACCTAAAAACATTTTAAACTAGTTTTAAATATAAATTTCTTGCAGCAATTAAAAAACATTTCTACAGATTAAGACTTTTCTTAAGTTTCAAACTGAAGAAATCTAAACATAGTTTCAGGGTCTGAGAAAGCTGTTTTTCTTTTGAAATAGATCTTTACATTAATCCAGTTTGAGAAACACTGCTTTACCCTCATCTGTCAGCATGTTTTAGGACAAAGAAGGCCTAGATAAATACATTCTTATTTCAAAAAATTATAAAGGCATTCTGAGGCATTCAGGCAGTTTATCGTTATGAAAGAAAGGTCAATTCTGGCATGATAATTATTTAAATTTCTGAATTTCCTGGAACTGACTTCATTGCCTTTCCATTAAGAGGAGCTGTGTGGGTCATATGTGATCATGTAGAGCAGGGGCCACAAACGGGTGGTTGGAGACCTGATCGATCTGGCTTACATGCTGGTCAGAATGGCTCGCAGTAAGGGTGCTGTGCTTGCATGGGCCTGGAGGCGCCATTGCCTAAGCCAGGAAGTTTCTTTGTGCATTCCCAAGGCCTGCACGCCCCCTGCTGGTGTTGGGATGCATAACCTGCAGTGCCCCACAGGGCATGTGGAGAAACAGACCATCTGATTCCTCTTCATGGAAAAGACTACCAACTCTTAAGATTATGCTTTTGGGGGCCAGCCCAGTGGCTTAGTGGTTGAGTTTGTACCCTCAGCTTTGGCAGCCCAGGGTTCACCGGTTTGGATCCCAGGCATGGACCTGCACACCGTTCATCAAGCCATGCTGTGGCAGCATCCCACATACCAAATAGAGACAGATTGGCAACAGATGTTAGCCCAGGGCACATCTGCCTCACCAAAAAAAAAAAGAAAGAAAGAAAGAAAAGGGACATAAGTTTCCAGTGTTAACCACTGCTCTAGTTAGAGCTTTTACTGAGAGGAAATGTGTTCTTGACTTTCCACATGCCTTAAGCAGAGTTTCTGCTCTAATAATCTGCCCTCACCATGGTAACCTCAAATACAGAGAAGTCATGTGGCATCCCAGAGGCCTGAGTTTTATTGCCAAGACTGTCACCTCTTCATTTTCTCTGTTCTCATTTTCCTCTTTATTAGTCTGTGGCATCCTCCCCATCACAGCCAGTGTGTGCCCTCAGCTGACCAGAGAGCAAAAACCAGTCCTCATGCATGGGGAGGGTGTGCTCCCAGCTGTGTTCCAAAGCTCAACATAAATTATTTGCATTAATCCATAATCCAATGTCAGCTTGTCCTTTCCCCTTTTCTTCAAAATTAAATAATCAATTAAGGCTTAACTCTAATTTTTAAAAAACCACACCCCCACAAATAGATCTCCAAGCCCAGGGCCTGAATCATTCAACAAAAGATTTAGGAGTTCAGACTTACTGGGCTGGGTTGATCTGAATGAAACTTTGAATTACAATTTGACGTAATTTAATTTCCAGAAACAGACAATTCCTAGAACTATTATTAGTTTGTAGAAATCTTTGGAAGATATATTTTAATGAGTAGATGGGAAGCATTTAAAATAACTGTGTCAATAATTAAAACACGTAAGTACCTGGGAAGTATTTGAACATACTTAACTGTGATTTAAATATTTTCTTGACATTTGTATGCCTCATTAATTTGCATAGGCAATACAAAGTAAACTTTGACACTTGATAGATTTTTTCACATTCTGACTAGTCAAGCCCTCAATAAAAATATTTTATTGTATTTCCTGTCATTGAAATGAATACTAACCAATTTGCTTTTAAAGCAGAAATGAATTGAGAATTTCCCTAATTAATTTAGATTTTTTTTACTTTCTCTCTTCTGTCCTAAATTATTCATTCTGTTTATTATCTACAAGCAATATTGTGTGTCACAGTGTTTTATTGAGTAATACCATTGAAAAACTTAAAATACTATGTTACTTGAAAATTATGAAAAGTTCTGTGCTTTAATGAGTTGGCATAAATTGACACTTTTGAGGTATTTTATTCCAATACAATATTTAAATGTTATAGTATTTCTAAATTTAAAAAAAACCCATAAAATAATTTTTTAGTGGCAAGAGTGTATTTTCTGGAAAGGAAGCTAACATTATGCATCTCCTTCCTTCTTCCCTCAACAAAAACCTTGCTTATTAACATTGGAAAACAAATTTCATGGTGTGTTGGGTATAAAGGGGGAACAAAGATTCTCATTCCTTTTTCTTTACAATTTGACAGTTTGGTTTTATGAGAAAATATATGATTATTTCTAGAAAATGAAAATTGGTTTTATCATTGGTTCACTTCTGAAAAAAACTATGGGTTTGGGACCCACAGTTAAGGTCAGTTTTAGTTAAACATGTGGTTTAACCCATTTTTTTTCCACTTACTGACTAGACTTTTAGTCACTCCAGCAGTTTGTATAGGTATTTTCATGGAGGAATTTAAATAGACCCAAGGCTGTAGGTCAGACTGGAGCAGGGACTGGCAGCCCGGTGGCAGTGCCACTCTGATCTGCTCATCAATGGGCTGAAAGGTGAGCCAAGCGTCATATTGCTTGGCTTCCTGCAGGGCTGTATTTAACGATGTTTCCTCTCCTCAGGCAGAGGCTATTTTGTAGAGAGCCACACTGAACTACAGATGTCCCTGCCAGCCCTTTGGGTGTGCTGCAAGTAGCTGGGGATGTAGTCCTTTCTTCCTAAGATCATAATGTTTTCTTTCACGTTCTACTTACCATCTAAATAGCATTATGTAGCTCTTCCTATGAAATTCATCTTCCCTGTACTATATTGTTTTTAGCTTCTGCTTGTCACTGGTGGATTTTCAAAGGTGTTCACCCCAAGTCCCTGTACTGAACATAGACTCTTGTGGCAAGTAGATGATGTTCTCCACATGCTGTTAGGAACACAGATGAGCTGAAACCCAGGCTGCAAGACACTGTAGAAATTATATCTTGGCATTTGCATCTCCTTTTAAAAATCATATTATCAGTTTCATTTACAAAAGAAGGTGGATAGATGGTTTGTACTTACTAAAAGTCTTTATGTGATACTGTTTCTATCAGAAGAGAACTTTGTGAAAAAAAAAAAGTTAAGGCTATCAGCCTTGTCAGTTTTTCATTTTATGACAGTAAACATGAGTTGCTGAGTTAAATCTCTGTACCTGGGATTAAGTTTGATTTACACTGTGTTCATGTTCTTCAAGCTAACTAGTTTTGTTGTCAAATGGTGATTTCCAAGCTTGTTTAAGCAGCAGAACTTAAGTGACATCTTATATGAAAGTTGATCATGCGCAAAACATAAGAGCAGTGCTGCTCCTCTGGGTTTGGGGCTTGAGCCCGAGCCTCTCCTCCACCCCACCCTCCTTCCCCCATCAACCAACCCCCACACCTCTGCCTCTCCCCCACCTTATCCCACCCCTACCTATCCACACCCCACCTCTGCACTGTCTCCACCTCCACACCACCCCCAGCAGTGGTCTCTGCAGAACTCCTAGTTCTCAGTACACGAGGGTCTGAAAATGTCTCCCTTGGGACCTGTTTCGAGTGAATTTTGGAGTCCCTAGGATGGTTTATGTTTGATAAACACAAATTAGGAAAAAACTATATTCCAGGGGGTACAAAAAACGGCAGCCCTATTCCTTACCAAATCCTTGCTTCTTTGAATATCAAGAATACTGAGAGAGTTTTCAAACAAAACACTTTTTATAAGAACCTTAACTAATTTTGAAACATTTGATAATACCCCATTTTAGCTAAGATCCTCAGATTTCCAGCTATTTATATTAGATGTCCAAATAGAAATCCTTTCAATATGTGAACTAAAGTTGACATAGCTACCTATAATGCTAGCTCTAGTTTTAGCCTAAAATTCCCTCCTCCCCTCTCCCCCACATGAATCCTTTAAAATGCTTTTTTTTTTTTTTTTTTTTGAGGAAGATTAGCCCTGAGCTAACATCTGCCACCAATCCTCCTCTTTTTGCTGAGGAAGCCTGGCCCTGAGCTAACATCTGTGGCCATCTTCCTCTATTTTATGTGTGGGACGCCTGCCACAGCATGGCTTGACAAGCGGTGCATAGGTCTGCACCCGGGATCCAAACTGGCAAACCCCGGGCTGCTGAAGCAGAACGTGTGAACTTAACCACTGCGCCAGCAGGCTGGCCCCTAAAATGCTATTCTTTTTATAGCAAAAGTGAATCCTTAATCGAACAAATTTCTAAGAGACAAAGATAAATCTGATTTATTAATGCTGTGCTCATTTGAAAACTTTCACGTTTTTAAATTACAAGCATAGGTTTTAAAATGCTAGAATTTGTTAGAATTGTTCTTAAAAGCTTAAGAAGTTGGAAGTATAGCTGCTTTAGGGGTCTTCTTTGTCTGTTGAGTTTCGGATCTTAAAAATCAGTGAATGTAATGGAGAGTTTTCTGAGCAAAGAATTCTTTGCTATCTCAAAATACCTACCTGCCAGGACACTAGACTGTTAGCATCAGAGATTTTGAAAACAATCGTTGACATATTGAATTTTTGCAACTATTTGCATACATTGATTTTTTTCTAACTTTTTTTTATTGTGGTAAAATACATATAACATAAAATTTACCATCTTAACCATGTTTAAGTGTTCAGTTGAGTGGTATTAGATACATTTGTAATGTTGAACAACCATCACCACCATCCATCTCCATAACTCTGTCCATCTCCATAACTCTCTTCATCTTGTACAACTGAAACTCTGTACCCATTAAACAATAACTCCCAATTTCTCCCCTCCCCCCAGCCTCTGGCAACCACCATTTTACTTTCTGTCTATGACTTGACTAAGTCTTGCATATAAGTGGAATCATACAGTATTTGTCTTTTTGTGAGTGGCTTATTTCACTTAGCATAATGTCCTCAAGGTTCATCCATGTTGTAGCATGCGTCAGAATTTCCTTCCTCTTTAAGGCTGAATAATATTCCGTTGTGTATATATATATATATATATATATATATATATATATACCACATTCTGTTTATCCATTCATCTGTCAATGGACATTTGAGTTACTTCCATGTTTTAGCTATTGTAAATAATGCTGCTGTAAACATGGGCAAATATCTATTTGAGATCCTGCTTTCAATTCTTTTGGGCATATACTCAGAAGTGGAATTGCTGGGTCATATGGTAATTCTACTTTTAGTCTTTGAGGAACTGCTATACTGTTTTCCACAGTGGCTGCACCATTTTACATTCCCACCAACAGTGCACAAGGGTTCCAATTTCTCTTATATCCTTACCAACACTTGTTATTTTCTGGTTTTTGATTAATAGTCATCCTAATGGTTGTGAGGTAATACACACACTGATTTTTGAAATAAGTCATTTTCTGATTGTGTCCATTGATTTTATTGACAGTTCTCATATGACAGTAGCATCTGACACAGTGACCTCTCACTCTTGTTATCCTGGCTTTTGTAACCCATACTCCAGTTCCTTTCTGCTCCTCAAGTCACTCCTTCTGTGTCTCAAGCCCACGCTGCAGCTCTGTCCTGGATGAAACACTTGGGTGTTTCAGAAGCATTTCAAACTTAACATGAATACTTGGTCTTCCCACCTCCAAAGATCTTTCTGTTCCTTCTCCAGTTTTTCTGCTCAAGCAGAAAGCTTGTTAACTTATTGTCTCTTTTTCTTTACCATTTACCCAAACCAATTGTGAGTCCTGTCCTTTCTATCCCCAAAATCTATTTCCAGCTCCACAGCCAACTTTATAGCCCAAATCACCATCAATCTTGCATCTTGGCTAGTCTTCCAGCTTCGACTTTTACTCACTTCAATCCATTATTAACAGAGTAATCTGTCCAAAGAGCCATTCTCGTTCTGTCTCTCACTGCTTAAATTGTTTAAAGAATCATGTCCAAACTCCCTGCCTTGGCATATTCATCCTTTATAATTTGGTCTATCTCTCCAGCCCCATCTCTTTCTTCTTCTTTTGTACCATATGGTTCAGCCTACACTTGTAATGCCCCAAATGTGCTTTGGCACATGTAGCCTCTGCCTAGAGCACCCGTTTCTCCTCAGGCCGTATAACAGCCACAGTCCCTTCCCCTTGCTATCTTCGTCTGGCTAAAGCCTGCTTATTCCTCAGAGTTCAACTGGGCATCCCTTTTCAATGAACCCTGCCCAAGACTGGGCTATGTGCTATCTCAGAAATGCATTCAGCTCTAACAGAAAACCTACAGTGTCTTAAACACGTTGGGTGTGTTTTGTGTTTTTTCTCACATGAGAATTCCAAAGATATGCAGTCCAAGGCAGGTACAGGTCCTCAAAGATGTAGGCTCTGCCTATCTTTCCACTCTCCATTCTTAGTATGTTAGCTTATCACCTACCTAATGATCACAAGGTAGGTGCTACAGCTTTGGACATTGTCCATATTCAAGGAAAGAAAAAAGGAGATTGAGTAGAGATCACTATGTCTGAACCTTTTGTTAGGAAAGCAAAAACTTACCCTTCTCACTAGCCAAAAATGGATCTCACAGCTACCTCTTAGTTGCAAAATCAGGAAACAGGATTGTCATGATTGGCATAGACTGGCATAGACTGTTTTGGCACCCAAACAAACCAGGGTTCTGTTTGGAAGGAGTAGGAAGAAGTTGGTGGTGGGTACTGGGAAAGCAACTGACTCTGCCCCCCAAAAGTGACCCACTCTGTGCGCTTGTCCCTATAGTAGCAGTATCATACTGCAACATCTCTTATTAGATTGTAAGTTCCATGTGGACAGGGACTGTCTTGTTCTTCTTTGTATCCCTGGTGCCTAACACAATTTCTGACACATAGTAGTTAGTCAATAAATATCAATTACACAAAACAACAAATGAATGTATATGTGTATTTAACACATATTTTGAATTAATTTTTAAAAGTCTATATTATAGCAATTCTATTTTTTATATATCTAATGTATATATATATTACACCAAAAAATCTATATGCAGCAATTATAACCCTGTTTGCTATTTAATGATATGGGTCTACTATCCCAACAAAATCACTGAATTTAGACCCAGTTGTTAGGATACAATTTCTTGGAGACAGTGTCACTCCAGGATTCAGCTTAAGTCCAGATCATAAAATTCTCATAGAACTGACAATGACCCTTTCAGCTGGAGCCCCACATGGGAAGAGTCTACCCAGGCCCTCCTAGAATAGTTCATATATCTCTCTGGCTCCCCATTCAGCTTTGCAAAGAGACTTTGTATGAGGAGGCCTGGTATCTGCCTCATGAAAATAGGCAATGTGAACACTAAGTTTGATCCCTCCATGCCTCCTTCGAATAGGTGTGATAAAATTCCATCGCAGAACATTTTTTTTTAATGTAGACTCATCATGTCCCCCCTAGACTTTATGTTCCTCCTATGATTGGTACCCCCATCCATGCAGCCATCCAAGCCAGAAACCTAAGAATCCTTGAGGCTGCCTCCCTCTTTCCTACATCTTGCCCATTTATCTCTGAATCGTTCTTAGAACAGCTTGCTTGTCTCTGTCTCTGCCACTGTCCTAAGTGTAGGCCCTTATCTTCTCCCTCATGGACTGGCCAGATCCTTCTGATTAGTTTCCCTGCTTCTAATATTAATGTTCTTAAAAAACATTTTCAGATTTCTCTTGGAAAGATCTTTCTAAAATGTGTATTCAGCCATGTCATTGCTCTGTATAAAAACCTTCAGTGTCTTCCTATTGTCTTCAGCATAAAGTTTAAGCTCCTTTGTAAACTGTCCCATCTAACACTTCAGCTTCATCTCTCACACCCGTTACCTCCTACTTTATGTAACTACAACAAGAAACCACATGGATTTCCTTTCTCACACTGCCATTTCTCACTCCCATAGCTTTGTTTTTGGAGTTGCCTCTCCCTAGAATGCCCTTTTCCACCCACCTCTCCTCCTTTGCTGGTTAACTCTTACTCATTCTGAAAAACACTCACCTGATTGGGGAAGTCTTCTCTGACTACTCCTCCCTCTCCCCTACCATAACTGAGTTAGGTGACCTTTATCCTGTGCATACCATACTAATAACTGCCCAGTGTGTCTGTTCTACCGGATGCGAATGTGCACTCCCTAAGGGCGAAGGCACTCATGATTCCTGTTAGTATCCTTAATGTCTAGAGTAAGCAACCAATCTATTTCTGTTGACTGGCTAAAGGAAGTAGTAGAAAGGAAAAAAGGTGGCAATAGGCTGAAATGTTATTAACATAATTTTGACTTTTAAATAATTTAAGTGTAGTGTTTTTATATCAATATATCTATTTCCATATGCACATTTATTTTTATCATGTATGCTATAAATGCTGTGTTATATTCCTGATAAAGATGTATTCTTCATTTGGTTTTTAGGTTAAAGCCATTCACATCCACTCTGATATGTTCTCAGTTCAAAACGGCTTGCTGACACCAACACTAAAGGCTAAGAGACCTGAGCTGAGAGAATACTTCAAAAAACAAATAGAAGACCTTTATTCAATCTCCATGTGAAGTTCAAGGAAAGTTCTTCTCAGTACAATGGACTGTGTAGCAATATGATAGTTATTCTTGAAAGTAATGAGTCAGAATGATGCAAATGAAAATGAATAAGCTTGTGACTTTATGACTGAGCCTTTTTCTGTTCCAAGAGGTCTTTAACAATATTTTCTCTGTCATCACTGAGTACACTTTATTTTTATTAAAATGATATTGTAGCAAGCTGCTAAAAATATCACAAATGGCAATGTGAAAATCAAGACTTTTCTCAAGAACCGTGTACCACTAAAAGTAATTATTCTCAATGTTCACGGAACTCCTATTAAAACATAAAGGAAAACATAACTGATACATTGTACTTAATTATTTTTGAATAGTAACCATATACAGCAAATATCTAGGCAATGTGGACTACCTCATTCAATAACTGATGTCAAAAAATCACTATTAAATCAGACTTAAAAAAATCAAAACTAGGTGTATAGAATCATGCTAAAACAAAACATGATAACTCACATTCTACATAACTTCAGATTCTTTAAACATGACAATCCTTATTGATGTGAAAAGTTTTCTCTTGAATTTTTACATTTGTCCATGAAAAATTCAAAATCAGATATTCTTAAAACAAATGTTATATTTATGTAACATTTTACAAAGATCTTTCAATTCATTTTCTCACTTATTAAACTCATTAAAATATTCAGGAACTACAAGAAATATAATGTAAAACTACTTCAAGGATAGTATGTATAGATTCATGGACTTCTTACCATAATGAATTCTATGAGATGTCTGTTGACTCTACAATGGATGGACCTTTGGGGAAGACTTGGGAGAAGAAACCCAGAATTATTTCTCAGGGTGGCAGCCATTAATGTACTTAATTTTCCTTGCTGGGTTCTTCCAGTCTTCCGTTTTCAATATGTCCGTCCTAGGCCTGGGAAACCAAATATGGCTATAATTCTGAACAATTTCACTTTTGTTCAGTTAGACAGGATGTGGGAAGGTGAGGATGTTATTTCCAAATGAAATAATTTTTCATCAACATAATTTTGAAGAACCTCTTCAAAATGCCCCTAGAAAACTTTTTAAGTCCATCATAGATAAATATCTCCTTAGGGCATAATTCCATTCATAAAATTTTTAGATGCTTCTAGGCTTAACCACAAAAACCTCCTCTCTTGCATTATATTTAGATCTTTCTTACACCTGGGTGCCAATAATTTGATATAATTAAAGCCCAGCTTAGACAGCAATTAAGTTCCAAGCTACAGACGGTGCATCTGAAGAAGCAACTTCTTCTAATAGAGACAGGACTCCAAAAAGCAGAGATGGGGGCAGTGTTCACAGTTCAGAAGCTCCTTTCCCCTGGAGCAAATCCAAACTGTAAATAAATGCTATTGGATAAAAACTGCATAATCACACAGGCCTACTGGATGAATCTGCATCAGTGATTGTGCATTTATATTTCAGTCTTGGCAAAAGTCGCCCACAGCTCATTTGATGTATTTATCCAATCTTTTACATATTCTTTTGGTGTATTTTCTCTGCAGACTCACTATTTGCACTTATAAATTTGACTTTTACTAAATGAGCTAGTTCTATGCACATTAATTTTTAAAGGCATTTCTGAATAAACAAATAACTAAAAATGTCCAAGGCCACATCTATATGGCATTACTTTTTTATATTCAATATATATTTGACTAATTAAAAGAGAAAATCATCACCTGAATTGGATATTCATACTATTTTAAAGACAAGCAGCTTCACATCTAAAAGAAAATGAAGCTGTTTCCCTTTGTCTTCCCACTCAACTAAAATTTCATAGTTGGCTTTGTTTCCAAAAGGATTTTGGACAATGTAATATAAGCAAATAATTTAAAACTTATTTTGATTCTATTTATACCTCATAGTAGTTAGATATAACTGATTGTGGACAACTTAAGATTTCTTTTTCTCACTTTAAAGATCTTATGTTTCTACTAGCCTTCCTTATCTGTGTGAACATCATCACATTTGGGTCAAAAGACAGGTTATTGCAGATGTGCTGAGGAAAGTTAGGGCCCTAAACATACTGGATGTATATTTATCTATTCTTCTGTTTAATTTCACTGAATTTTTTAATAAAGGAGAAATGAAACAATATGTGTTAGAAAAATCCTTCTTCCTCCAGATTTCCCAACTTTATTTTGGGGGGAAAAAGTCTGCATTTCTCTTTAACCAATACAGAAAAAGGCTATGTACTTAAGACCTTCACATTCATAGAGGACATCAGATACGATTTAAGTCTGGAGGCATAAGAGAGGTCAATTCCTTAAGCATAAAGATGTTCTTAAATGTTTGGCCTTTTATCTGTTTCTCATTCCAATGTGTTCGTAATTCTCACATTTTACAAACTAATCTTGTTGTGTATATTATAAAATAGAATAGACACCAATTTTTTTTTTCCTTTGCCATAAAAGACGTCTTTATACTGTATCGTGATTCCTCTCCAGGTGAGAGGAAACTCTGACAAGGTGCGGCATTAGGCCTAGCTCCATGTATTAGGAACTCACAGACTCAGAAGTCCAAGGTATAAACATACCATGTCTCCCTCACGTGAGCAAGTCAACCTCTCATTCTGAATTTAGGTAAACCTGCAAGCATGAGAAAAATAGAACTTTCTATTGCACTTTTTATAGTCAGGTAGTGTTTTAGCAACTTGAAGTCAGCCAGCACTTAATTTGATTGTATGAGCCATCAAAGAACCAATAATCTTTTATTTTTCTGCGGAAAAGAAAATGAATTATTCTTTATTTTACAAATGTATAAAGCACAAATGTGATAGTTATTTAGAATACAAAATACTATAAAATGAATGTAAAGAATGGGAAAATATATTTTTGCATGAAAACAGACTACTTACAAACTTGCTTAATATCTCAGGAACAGAAAGAATGAATAATCATACATAAAACTGATAACTATATGTTGAGCTAAGTTGCTATATCTTCTTGCCTGTTTTTATTTTAAGGAAGCATATACATGAAAAGAAAAAAAAGATCCCGGTAGCCTGAATTTTCTCTCAAGTACGCTGCACAGTCCTGTCTGTGAATCTACAATTAAGTACAGTAAGAATGGGAATTAGCATTCAAGTGAGGACAAAGCCCTAAGTGAGAAACTCTCAGTTAGCACACTGGAATGGTTATAACCCAGAGGCAATAGACAAAAACCTGGAATACAAGCATTTCTAAACGTAGTCCCAAACTGAAAAGATTTTTGTGAGGTGACAAACATTCATGAGACTGGTTATTTTAATTTTCCTTGTTAAGTCATTGCAAGAATTGCATGGGGAAGAAATGGATATTTTTTGAAGAATTGCTTATTCTACTTTCAATTTTTAAAAATTGAGAAGATTAAAATATTACTTTTTAAATATGCATAAAATAACTGTAATTATATTTTTAGTTGCTTTGTTATAATAGCATGCATATCAAATATAAAATGCATTTATGAAAACTTTTGTAAAAAATAAAGATTTTTCATTTCTCAAAGTTGCTTGTAATTGCTATTTTATATGTTTATATAGCATAATCCCCTGATGTTAGTATATTTGGTAATCATCAATCATAGTGCTTATGGTAAACATGGTATCACGCTATATCACTAGTCAGCATACTCCACATTCTCTGTAAGGGTTCCAAAACTCCAAAGACTTATGGACCCCCCCCCCCCCCCCCCACCAGAGAGGCTCTCCTTTGCTTGACACATTTGTTGTTACCAAATGTGTCCTGGACTTAAATGTGTCCTGGATTTAAATAATTTTTAAACTTTTAAAAGAACAAATAACTGTATTCAAATCTTCCATCATGATGGGCCTTAAACAGTATTTCCATAATGTCTTTTACCCATGTACAAGTTAACAGGTACACTTTCTTAAAATGGTACATTCTGCCAAGTCTAAGTTATGCAGATTCTGCCTTCTCTTCATGTTTGCTATTGTCCACTCCTCTATTCTCACAGCTGTTAGTGTAGTTGGGGCTGCTCTCATCTCTTGTCTGGAATATTACAGTGCTTTCTTAATTAGTCTTCCTGTTTCCACTCCAGCTCCCTCAAATTTCACCATCCACACTTCAGTCAGGGCGATCTTTCTAAATTGAAAATCTGGTCATGCCACTCTCCTGCTTAATATTCCTTTGATGAAATCCCATAGTTTCCAGGATAAAGTTCAGGCTCCCCGGTTCAGCACACAAGGCCTAGCATCTCTTCTCCTGCCCTTCCTCCATGGAGCCTTGGCTCCAATCATACGAACTTCTTTTTGTAGTGCCCTAAAAGCACATGCTTTTCTGTGCCTTCATGTATTATATACAGTCCTCTTTTCATAGAATGCCCTTTCCTTTAATCACCCTAATTCCTACCACTCATCTCTTAAAACTCAGTTCAACTATCCTTTTCTCTGAGCAGTTTCCCACATGGTTGACTGGTTGATTGTCCCTCTGCCCCCTTCTACTCAGACTGTGAGTTGCTTGGGGTTGTAACTGCAGTGGATGCTCAAGAAATATCTATTGAATGAAAATCCCCTTGGCCCTTTTTCATATGTTGCATAGCATTAAGACTGCTATACCTGAAGGTACATTTCATCTATCACTGTGATTTTTTCCATTCTTGTCAACTAAGCAAAAATAAACGGGTTTTCTGTTGGATCCTAAAGCCGATGGATGGTACCACAAATGAAGCTGCTCAGTGGGTCACTCCATAAGAAAATATTGTTCAGAAAGATTTCTGGGCTCCAGGGAATATTAAACTCACGGACTGGTGGTTTTCCAAAAGCTTTCTTCAGAAATCTCTTTGAAATTTGCAATTTGTTTTCCCATGGAAGTTAGCATCTCCATGATAGTTCCAAACCTAGGCATACCCATCACCTGACTGAACTGAAACATTGATAGCAGAATTCTGAGTCTAGATATGGGAGCAGTACAACAGAGAAATGGAAGAAGTTCCATTTAACACTCATGGCTGAATGCTTACTCTGGCGTTTGTGTATTTGGGGATGGAATCTGGGGAGACAGATGACTGAATTGAGATGTCTCTGCCCTACTTCATCCTTTTGTAGGGGACACATTTCCCTCCCCTGTTACAGGCTGGCTCTAGGTAAGGCTTTAAACAGACCTGTCTGTAGTCCCTTCCCCTACTTTGCTACCAAGGGCTTCAAGTTCACTTCCCGGCTACTCCTATTCTTTTCCCAGGCATGTATTAGGATGAATGAGAGCATGACAAGCACACTAGCCAAATGCCACCTATGCCAACTGTCATAATGAGCCTCCCTAGGCTGTGGTTTCCTCTGCTGCAAAATGTGGGGGCAAGTAGATCATCTCTAAGGAATTTTTTGGCTCAAGAAACCATACCAAAGGTTATTTCCAGTTTTGAAACCCTGTGCACTAACTCCCATAAATCTTTACTTGATGGCACTTCAGTGAATGTAATTCAGTACAGTGAGACAGAGTTCTAGGGAATAGGACCACTAAAAGGCAGATCAGCTTTTGCTTTAAGCTGTTTTCCTTTTTCAGTGTTTCTTCCATTTCTAGGCCTATGGCCTCCTAGAACCCAGACTTCCCAAAGGTCATTTAAGAACTCCCAAGTTTTTTCACAACAGCTCCCAAAGGGAGAGAAGGAGCCTGGAGTCCTGGCTTGTAAACTAGAGACTGCCTGCCTGCATGTTATGGATGTGACTAAAAAAATGATGTTGAAATATGATAACTGCTTTATACTGCAACAAAATTGCGAGCTTCGACTGAAGGACTGTTTCTAACTCACCTCTGTATCCCTAGCATCTATCACAATGCCTAACACAGAGTAAGGGGCTAAGTATAGATTCAGTGACTCAAAGCATTATATCTAATTAGCTAAGAATGCCTACCCTCTGCTCTTTACAAAGTTAAGTTTTAACGATTAGTTATATAAATAAATTAAATAAATGATTAATTATATATTAAATTATATATTAATTATGTTTTAAATCCCTTACCAAAGGAGGTCAATCCTATGTCCCTCCAATTGGGTAGAGCAAAAGAGCTGAGCCCCAGGGCCCTAGCTGAGGAGCCCCTGTGGAATTCTCTACTTTGACCGCAGCGCTGCCCAGATGTCAAGGAGGTGACTGCTGGGCAGGGGCTAAGGGACTCTGCTTGTTGGTGAGAAGAAACCTCCTGGAAGTCAAGATCTTCGAATGCTTGGTTAGTCTCTCAAGTACCATGACCCCCCAGCAAATAGGTGCCCCCAAGGACTGAAATTGATTGCTCAGGAGGATACTCCCTGTCGCTTTAATGTGCTTTCGTTCCTCTCTGACCTTCCTGTACTGAGCCAGGTTGACCCCCAGCTAGATTCCCTGTGCTCAGAGACCTAAAACTGCATTACCACGGCCTTCCTGCAGTCTTGATAGGGAGACCAGCCCAGCCGAGGCATCAGTAGCACATGTTGCGCCCATCAGACTAATGAGAAAATGAAAAGCAAGGAGTACCTCCTGGACAAGGAAAAGGCCTTTTCCAATAAGCTTCCTTTGAGAACGGTGAAAGACCCTGTGCCAGGTGCCCAGAAGCCACCAGGCCCCCGCCAAACACCAGAGCGCCGTGCCTCCAGGAGGGCGGGGCCGCAGCCACGTTACTCCGTCTTCCCAGAAGCCATCGCGCGACTTGACTGAGATAAAAAGGCGGGAGCGGCTTCGCTCCAGCGTCGAGGTGGGCGCTCAGGCCTGGTGGTGGTGTTTCTTCGCCTCAGTCTTCTCAGGCTGCTGCGCAGGCCGCCGCTGGACGCTGACTCCCGCCGACTGTAGCTCAGTTAGTCAGGAAGGCGACGAGACAGGCCGTCAAGGGCCGAGAGGCCGCTGAGGCCTGGGAGTGGGGTGACAATGTGGCCGCTACGAGTCTATACCCGCAAGAAGCGGGCCGACCAGAGACTCAACCTAACCCCGACGCCGGACCTAGCGGAGCCTCCCCCAGGCCCGGGCCGAAGGCTCGCTGCCCGCTGTAAGCCCCGCCGGGCTGGCCTGCGGGGCGGGGCCCGGGGTGGGGAGCGTGGGGCGCGGGGGCTGGGGCGGCTGGGCCTCGGCCCGGGGACGCCTGAGACCGGCGGGCGGGCCTCCAGGGCTTTTGCCCTGAAACGTGTCGCCCTCTCTCAGGCCTGAAAGGAAATGACAAAGCACACGGTTTGCCGAAGATTGCGGAGAAAGCGGAGCGCAGTGCGCAGGGAGCTGGCTGCTCTGGGCTGCCGAGGTGCGTAGCCCCGAGCAACAGCCCCGGGCCTTCTGGCCGCCTCAAACCTTCAGTCCTGATCTTCTGCTAATAAGAGCTGCTTAGTCTAGGAATCAACGAAGAAAATAGATAGAATACTCTAATTTCGCTCTTCTCAAAACATACACCCACAAATTTGACTTCAGAAAGATTTAATTAAAAAACAAAAAAAGAAATCTCGTCAAGTCCCCTGAAAGCAAGCGAGATCGAACTTCCGAGAAAGCATTCGTAGCTTTCGTTGGGTATCGGTACAATTCTCCCCCTCTGGTCCTTCCTTTTTCCTAATGATGTCCCCAGAGAGCCTTTCAGATTCTGAACAGCGTGAGCAGTGAACAGACACGTGGAGAGCCCAGCCCAGACCGGGCCAACTAATTGTGCTGTTTGTTTGTTAGCACTCAGTTAAGAGTTACAGGAGAGAAAAACCTGCAAGAAAGTAGCACTAGTGAAGAGCTCCGGGACGAGAAGATGGCTCCGCTGAGCGTATGTATGTTTCTCCTATGGTCTTACGCTTGGTGTAGAAACCAGCGGTACCTGATGTCCCTCCAGATGAAAGGATAATACGGTCTTTGTTACATAGAGACCACACAGCTTTCTAGTGTTTTTGTAGACATTGATGCTGTGTCTTTAGTCAGGGCCTTGAATTTCTGATTCTGGTAGTTTCATAGCCAGGCATTTTCATTTTTTCCTTCCTGCGACAAAAATTTGAGAAATATCTGTTACTGGCTAATTTTCTGTGTGACTGCTGCAAAGCGTTTCTTGGTAACTCTCATGTTTGGTACCAGTGAAACATTTTAAAGCCATTTGCATGTTTTCTCATTTGACTTTCCGTTAACAACTAGAGACAGAGGGTTCATTATCATTAGAATATTATGTAACTTCTTGATCGACTCTATTTAATATGAATTCTGTGTAATATTTTAAAGATGTATAGCAATAGTTTGGAGAAACTCAGATTTTTAAAAATTGCTGTGACTCATCTGACATTAGCATTAAATTTGATAGTCATGTTTCAGTGTTTTAACTTAGATGTTTCTCTATAGCATGCTTTTTGGGGAGAGGGCAGTTTGAACAAAAGGCATTTTTTGAAAAGGCTTTTTCCCTAGATTTTAGCAGTGTTAAGTGTTCCTTGTAGATGATTCAGACTATTTGAAAAAATTATTTAAACAGTTTCTTCTAATTTTTGTATATTTCTTTCCATTACTTTTTTCTGTGCCTTTTTAAAATTTTACAATTACCTTATTGTGTATTCCTCTAACATTAGTCTTCAGAAATATGATGTTCAGTATAGTGCTTTGTCTTATAGATAGATATACCATGGTTTATATAACTGGTTCCCTGTGGTTGGAGGAATGAGGTTGTTTCCAAGGTTTTGCTGTTTAGATATCAGTGGACGTCCCACTATGGAAGTTTTTGTGTACCTCAAATTGTTATCCTGAGACAAATACTTTGCAGTGGGTCAAAGGTTGGAACATGTTTAAAATTTTTGATTCATATTGGCAAATTTCCACCATCTTACCTGAAACTTAAAAAATATACATATTTATTATTTGATAGATGAAATGTGGCATGTTGTTTCATTTTCCATTTTTTGAATGCTAGGAAAGGTAATACTTTTTTCCCCTCATTTTATTGACCATGTTGTTTCTTTTTGTGTGAAATACTTACATATATTGAAGATAGTTATACTTTTACACATACGTATATAACAAATATTTTCATGTTTGTTTGCCTTTAATTTTATTTCTGGTATTTAGACTTATCTTCAATCTTTTCTTTTGATTCATTTTCCTTTCATATTTAGAGAGAAGAAAACCCTTCCTACCTAGGGGATCAGAAAAATATTCACCTTTATCTTGTAGTTACTGGTTTATCTCACAGTAGTTAGTTGACTAGTGTATTGTTGATTCTCTAGATATGTCCACAATATTATATTTTAATATTTATTTTTAGATTTAATATTAAATATGAGATTACATCTGTGATCAATAAACTGAAAGAATTTATTATATATATGAAACTGATATGCATAGTTGACCTTAGTGTTTCATTTTCAAAATAACCAAATCAGTGTGATATGATATTATAATATAAAAATATTCAATCTCCTAATTTGTGCTATATCTTTAATTATTATTTCACATAGGAGTCAGTCCCTGATGACCTCCAGATTGACAGTAGTTCATCAAATAGTGAACTGTTATCAGGTAAGACTGTTAGGTATGAACTCCTTCAGTTTTCTTTCTTACAAACATGAGCATCCGTTTGTGTCTCTGCCCCATCTTCCCAACTCAATCTTTCTCCTAGTCCAAGGTGAATCCTTCTGCCTGTTCTCTGGACCTCATCCTCAAAGCCTTCAAGCACATACCAGTAAACTACAATTGTGATAAATGCTACAAAAAAGAGATCGACTTGAGTGCAACTAATTGAATTTAGTTGGAGAGATTAGGGAAGTCTTCCACAAAGGAATGGCAGTTTAATTGAGATCCAAAAACAGTGCAAATTAGCTATGCAAAGAGATGAGTAACAAGCAAGCCAGGTAGAGGAACAGCATGTGCAAAGAACAGCAAAGTAGGACCGACCGTTATGTGTTCATGAACTGAAAAAAGGCCAGTATGGCTGTAGTACAGAGAAGAAGAGAAAATGCGATAATAAGACAAGATTGAACAGACAGAGGCCTTGCATAGCCTTGTAGGCCATGTCAAAGATATTGATGTTTATCTTTGGAGCAGCAAGAAGTCACTGAAGTCTTTAAATAGGAAATGATGGGATCACTTTAGCTACAGTATGGAAAGAAGCAGGAGTGGATACAAACAGACTAGTTAGGAGGTTATTTCAGTAGTTTGGGGGAGAAGTGATGGTGGTTTGTACTAAGGGATGGCATTGGAGGTAGAAAGAAGTGGGCCTATCTGATGGCTAGTTTAGGAAGTGAAATTGACAGAATTTGACAAATGAAGAGTGAAGGAGATGGAAGTATTAGAGATGACACCTGTCTCTGGTTTACATAACTGCATATAAGGTGGTATCAGTTGCTGAAAAAATCTTGTTTGAGGGAAAGATCACAAATTTTGTTTTTAATATATTAAGTATGGGTACCTTTCAGGTGACTAAGTAGCAGTGTCAGATAGACAGTTGGTTATGAACAACTGCTGATAGAAATTTGTGAGCCAGTACATATTGGGATACTTGAGGTTACTTTTGAAAACAAGAAAGGATGCCGTCAACACACCAGAAATACTGAAGGAATTCTTAAAAGCAGATGAGATCAGACTGATTAATATATCAAGAGCAGAGAAAAAGCACTGCAGAGGTAAGAATAGTTCTAGAGATAGTTGAAACACTTGGTCAATAAATGCAAAAAACTCTAGTAGAGGGGACCCTAAAGGAATTGTCAAGGTAGTGGATTAAGTACTACTCTCTGGCACTACATGACCTGGCCCCCTTCTCCTTATCCCCTTCTTATACTGGGAACACTGGCAGTTACCAGTGCCTGCTGCCAGTTTAAAACCCTGGGAATTACTCTCAAGCAAGGTGAACTAAGGGGTTGGCTCCTAAGGTTCAGTGTTGGGGCTTCAGTGAGAAGCAGAGGAGAGTGTGAAGTAACTCCAAATTGCCACAGGATAGCAGAGGGAGAAAAAACTAAAAGATACACATTATGCTTATGCTTGTTAACTATATAATATAGATATAGTATGGCTCTCTGAAGTGTGAATTCTAATACAGGAGACTTCCAGTGTACACACCAGCCAGATAATTAGGGCAGCACCCCCATGTAACCTACAGTACCCAGAAAATATAGGAGGACATCCCCACCCAGAACATAAGTTCCCCAAATGTCTCATCACTCTTCTAAAATCTCCAGAGGTAGGGTACTGTTTCAGAATTTATACTCATTGCCATACAAACAGAGATTCTCAAATAGAGATATGAACAGACAACCAGAAACAGCCAAATCTTTGAAGAAAACCAGTGACATGGAAGAGAGGCAACAAGTGCAACAAATGGAAGAACTAACACCTGAGGAAAAGGCAGAAAACTTTAAAGTAAATATCCCTTTAGAGACAAGAGGCCATTGAATCCATAATGTAACAGGCTGCTATAAAAAAAAATTATAGTCCCTGGAAACTTAAAAATATCACCAAATTTAAAAACTCAATAAATGTGCCCAATATTGGAATGAATTCAGCTGAAAATCAAATTAGCGAGCTAGAGAATAGAACAGAGGAATATTTCCTAGAATATAGTGCAAAAGAATATGGGAGGTGCTCAACAAATGCTTTTCTCTCCTTCCCTTCCCATCTTTGCCTGGTTAACTTCTACTTTTTATTCAAAAACAAATTCAAGTGCTGTTTCTACTGGGAAGCCTCTCCTGACTGCTCTTCTTTCTTTCTAGATGAGTTTTTCTATCCCGGTAGTTCTGTGGCGCTCTTTGTATACTGTCATAGGACTCAAAACAGCAGTATAATTGTTTTTTGTTCTTCTTGGCTCTATAGCCATTGAGAATAAACACTATCTTTTATCTTTCTTTCCCATACTTGGGACATAATATAGTTTCAAATGCTTGTTGAATAAGTTTTATACTCTATTTAGGGAAAATAAACCATTTAACTATAATCAGTATTTTCTAAAATTGTACTTTAAATATATGGTAAATGTCCTTGATTACTAGGTTTGTCAAGTTGATGTGTAAAAGGTATAGGGAAATAGAAAATAGACTGTCTATTTTACAGACTGGTTGTGTTCTAAGAGTTCATTTGTTGATTGATATTTGAAACCTGGAATACTGTTTCCCATAATAAGATGTAAATGGTTAGGTTTTGAGTAGCCCACAGAATTCTATTTAACATATAATTAATTGTTTTAATTCTGTCTTGGAATCTAGTAATTTTACAACATGATGAAAATTAATTCAGGACTTCATTTTTAATGTGGAAAATTAAATATACACATTTACTTCTCCCTTCTGAAACCTCACTAAGATATCAATAAAGGCATAAAAAAGGCATGAAACCACAAGGTGGAGAAAAAGAGAGAGAAGAGACCTCAGCTGACATAGATAATCAACTAAAGTTTGGAATTTGGAAGGTAGATGAATAAATTATAACTGGCCTAACAGACCAAAAGAAAAAGAATCCCAAAAAACTGAAAGCTAGTTGTCTAGAGTAAGGACAAACCAATAAGCAAACTGACTCAGGCTGTAGGTTCAGGAATTAAGAGGCATCACATATTCCTGAAGGAATGAGTATAGATAGTGTTGAAAATAGGAGGATTTCTGGGAATCTTTAAAAGTACCAGTTAGACACTTTGATCCCTTACCAAACACTGTGTGGCCAGGCAACTACTCTTTTTCCTACCCTGGCAGTCCAGAGACAATTGAAGCAGAGGTTGTAGACTCAGGGATGGTAGGTACTGTTCAGAGCTGGGGTGCTATATTGAAAACTAGTGGGCGGGGTAAGGAGAGGAGGAGGGAAGGGAATTAAGAGAAGTCTGTATACTTAGTGGTAAAACCCTCAGACCCCTTATCCCACTCAGGAAAATACACCTCAACTAGGAGACTGGAGGATTCCTCTTTTGGAAACTTTTCTGTCCAGGAGAGGACCTATATTCTGGCAGTAATGACCTCATTCTTGTCTAAATACCATTCAGAAAATCCCACTACTTCCCAAACCCTCTCACGAATCCAGAGTTTCCAATAGCTACTTTAGTGCCTCATTCTTGAACATTCAAGAATTGCCAGGCATTTAAAGAAAACATTTAAAATAAAAGATAGATACCAAATAAAAAGAAACTTGAAGGACATAGACAATGTAAGAAAACTTTTAAAGACCGTGTTTTCATTATTATCCTCAGGATGATAAGAAAAAAAAATGTGTCCATGAAACAAGTGCAGGCTACTATAGACAGGAGCATTCAGAGAACAAAAACAATTCTTAAAAAATAAAAATATGGAATAAAAAATTCTGTGAAGGATTAGATGAAGAATTTAAGGAGGTAGTCTAAAAGTTGAACAAACGTCAAAGAGAAGATAAAAATAGTGGCAATGGTGACACAACTCTATGAGTATATTAAAAACTTCTGAATCATACACTTTAAAAGGTTGAGATTTATGGAATATGAATTGTATTCCAATAAAGCTGCTATTTAAAAAGGAAAAATAATTAGAAGACGAGTCCAGGCATTCTAACACCTGAAAAATAGTAGTTCCAGACATTATAGAGTAAACAGAAAGGAAATTATTGAACACATAAAACTAGAAATATTTTTAGAATTAAAAATGGTCATGAGTGTGCATATTGAAAGAGATCACCAACTGCCCATCACAATTAATGAAAAAAGACCCACACCAAAGCACAACATTATGTGATTTAAAAATCCTCAGGATAAAGAGAGAAATCCTTCAGTCTTCCAGAGAAAAAAATTGTTGATTGCAATTATGCAATCAAGAGTGTGGATGGCATTAAACTTGTCAAGAACAACTCCAGAAACTAGAACATGGTGGAAAAATGCATTTAAAATTCTGAAGAGAACTGATTTTGCAGAGACAGGATGATTCCCCACCCAAAATTTGGTTTTAAATTTCAAGATTGATGATGCCACCCACATTCCAAAAGGATATGGAAAAGTTTGTTACTCATATAAAATAAGACTTTCTGGAGAAGAGGGCATCTCCCAAGCAGGCCTGAAAATGTCTTGAGAGAGCAGGGAAGGGAGACTGGGTTGGGGGTTTTATGCGGTTAGAGGATGGGGCCAGGATGAGGTTTCCTGTGTATGGTTATAACTTGCCATCATTGCCAAAAGATGGAGCACCGGGGCTATCTTATCAGCCTGCCCAGATGTGGGGCAGAAGAGGAAGAGGGAGCAGTGAGGTTTAAATCTGTCAAACATCAAATATGGGAATCAGGACCGGCCCCGTGGCCAAGTGGTTAAGTTCGCACACTCCGTTTCAGCAGCCCAGGGTTTCGCCGGTTCATATCCTGGGCATGGACATGGCACAGCTCATCAAGCCATGCTTAGGAGGTGTCCCACATGCCACAACTAGAAGGACCCATGACTAAAATGTGCAACTGTGTACTGGGGGGATTTGGGGAGGAAAAAAAGCAGAAAAGAAAATTGGCAACAGTTGTTAGCTCAGGTGCCAATCTTAAAAAAAAAAAAATGGGAATCAGTTTTTTTAAGGTACCAGTTTGGAATTCTATACCCAGCCAAATAATCACTCAAGTATGGAGACAGTATAAAGAAATTTTTAGACAGGTCTTCCATGCATCTTTTCTCAGGAAATGGAGATATTCCAGCAAAACTAGAGAGTAAATCAATAAGAAATCATGGGATCCAGGAATCAAAGGAATACAGGAAATATGCAAAATAATTTCATAGGATATTAATTTCTTAGGTAAAGGGAAATCCCAAGAAGACACCTGTGCAGTATGTCCAGAGGACAAACAGTCCAAATTTGAGTGAGTGTATTGAGATTGCCCATAGCAATACTTCTTAAAAAAAGGAAAAAGAAAAAAGGAAAGAAAGAGAAAGAGGAGAAGAAGGAAGGAAAGAAAAGAAAAGAAAGAAAGGAACTGGTAGATAACCTGGTGTTTTTTAAAGTATTGACAGAAAATTTACATGTTTGACAGAAGTTGGGATGAAATAGTGATAGATACTTAGAAAACTAATTTAAACATTACATAATCAACACAAAGAGAAAATAAAAACTTGTAGCAAAAAGGTGATGAATATAACTCTTAGTACATAGATCATCTGTAAATATATTTGAGCAATCACAATCATTGAATACATTTAATTTAGAAATATGAAGGTGGATATTAAAAGAAAAAATTACTAGAGCTGAAAGTAGTTGTCTCTAGAGTGTAGAAATTATGATGGGGAGGTATGAGACAAGACATTGCAGTTTTTGTTATAAGCCTTGTAGGACTACTTGACTTTTTAAAAAATGTATCGTATAATTTGCTATAAATGTAATTTTAAATGCAATTACATTTCTAAATTGTGACACCAGGAACAACCTTCCACTGATATAGTCTGAACATTTATTTATTCTTTTCTCTACCCAACTACCCAGATGGTGAATACAGGGCTTTCCAAATTTCTGAACCTGGCTTGACTTCTGGGGTTTGGTGGAAAGGATAGCTTTCCTGTGAGTGGTATTTAGGGAATTTTGTGAGATGGAAGGCAAGAGAGATGTAACAACATGTGAGTGGGAAGGATGAAGACAGAGTGAGAAGTGTAAAAAGTAGCAAGGACAAGGACAGGCCACTCCAGGGCAGTTGGAATAGGGGAAGCAAAAGATACTCAGAGGGATAACCCACCTCTGACGTCTGAGGAGGTGAAGAAGGTTGGTAGATTGGGTTGATCAGTTTAAGTGTTGCAATGGTGGCTGGAGGAGGTGGCCAGATAGAAAATAATTGTCAACTTTAAGGAGGTGATTGGAGTGGGAGAGAAAGGTGTGGTGAGGTCAAAGTAGGAAGGACAAAGAATTAGTTGTCTCAGGTAGTTAGTGGCAATGGATCAGAGATAGGCATAAGTCAGCTCCAGGACAGGAAATAATAGGATTTAAGAGCAATGCTCCCTTTTCATTCCTTACCCCCTACCCTGCTGGCTTCTGTTAGTGTTGACCTCTATTTTGTCATGTTGGAAGTGTTTAATGAATGCTGAGACTATAGCAGAGTGTGTTTTCCCTTTTCTTACTAAACCTTCTGGTTCTTAACTTTTAGTACTAGGTTCTATCATTTGTTGGAAAGGTCTTCATGCTAGTCTACTCCCACATGGATGACTTCAAGATCTCTGAGTCTCAGAGATTCTCTTCAAATATTTTGCCTATTTTCTTATTGAGATGTTTGTTTTCTTATGATTGAGTTTTCAGAGTTCTTTATATTCTGGATTCCAGTCCATTTGCAAATGTTTTCTCTTAGTCTGTGGCTTGAAAAAAAGGGCAGAGGATATGAACAGATATTTTTCCAAAGAAGACATACAGATGGCCAACAAGCAGACAAAAAGATGTTCAACATCACTAATTATTGGGGAAGTATAAATCAAAACCACAATGAGATATCACTTCACACCTGTTAGAATGCCTATTACCAAAAAGACAAGAAATAACACGTGCTGGAGAGGATATACAGAAAAGGGAACCCTCATATGCTGTTGATGGGAATGTAAATTAACAGTCTCTTTTGAAGAGAAGTTTTTAAATTTGATGAAGTCCAATTTATCATTGCTATTGCTTTATGAATCGTCACATTAGTGTTATATAAAAGAAATCTTTGCCTAACTCAGTGTCATGAAGACTCTCTCCTCGTTTTTTTTCTAGAAGTATTGTAGTTTTAGGATTAACATTTAGGTCTATGATCCATTTAGAGTTAATTTTTTATATGATGGAAGGTATGAAGTTATTTATTTTGTTTTGCTTTTGCTTATGGATATCCAGTTGTTCCAGGATGATTTGTTAAAAGAATAGCTTTCTCCACTGAATTGCCTTTGCGTCTTGGGCCAAAATCAGTTGCTCATATATGTGTGAGTCTATTTCTGGGCTTTCTGTCCAGTTATTTTGATCTATTTGTCTGTGTTTAGGCTCATTGTTTTTTACATGGCATAACTAGAATCACCTTTTCTTCTCCTCAGTTAGTTAGCTTACAGTTAGTGGGTCACTTATATATAAAACTTGGATTTTTGAGACAAGAATCAAAGTAGGGAGTCAAAGTAGGGAACGAATAAGTTGTGAAAATTTGAAAAACAATGGAAAAGGATTATAATGCATTTTCTCTACATCAAAAACAAGATTCTTTTCTAAGTTTGAAATTCAAGTGGTATACAATAGCATGTGTTTTCAGTTGTATGTGGAAGTAATTTTACAGTCTTAGTGTACAACTAACTGCATGTACATTTCTTTAACCTTGGATTCTTAGGAATTTTAGTCTGTTTACTAATGAAACATTTTACCCTTTTTGTTTGTTTATTCTACAGGGCTAAGTTTGCAGCACGAAATTTCTAGTTCTCTTCTGAGCTATTCAATCACAGACTCTTATACAGAATATAAGAGTTTTGAAGAGAGTTTAAGTAGCTTCCCGTCACCTGAACTCTTCAGAGGATCAGATTGTTTAGGTGAGAAAATAATTTCAACCTTAAGTTGCTCCATATAGAAATTGTTCCTTTGTCCACAAATCCTCCAATGAATAATTTTCTTTTTGAGAAGGCATACTTGTCTTCCTCCCCAAAACCTTTTTCCTCTGCCCACTGTCTACTGTGTTCCATCCTCAATCCTGGGACTATAGATCGAAAGCCCTCAGATCAGGAAAAGATGAAGAGATTAGCATTTACGTGTAATACATATCCAATTATTAAGCAATTTTGCACGTAATGAATGTATACTGTTCTCTTGAACTATGGGCTAGCTTTTATTTCCTGTACTTCTCTTACTTTTCAGTAGATAAGCTAAATGTTAACTAGGCTATTCCCTGCTTGAATTTTCTCTACAAATTAACAGTTATTTACATTTACTATACATGTAATTAAAGGCTTTTGTTAATGATGACAGATTGAACACATGCCTTCCTCCACAACTTTTTGCAGTAGCAAAAAGTGACTTTTTTTAAAGACACAAACACTTAAGGGTAAAGAGCATTGGAAAGAATAAAGCATAAAGTTTGGAAAGCTAGAGAGCAAATGGTCTGATAAAGCAGACTTGAGAAAGCTGAGTCCTAAGTCAACAATGGAAATACACCAGAAACAAGCTGGTTTGTACTATGGTATCCCAGAAAAGCTCACAATTTGGCTGCAGCAAACACTTGTGAAAAGATACGTCTGAGGGGGCCGGCCCGGTGGGACAGCGGTTAAGTTCATGCATTCTGCTTTGGCGGCCTGGGGTTTGCCAGTTTGGATCCCGGGTGCGGACCTACATACTGCTTGGCAAGCCAGGCTGTGGGAGGCATCCCACATATAAAGTACAAGAAGATGGTCGCAGATGTTAGCTCAGGACCAGTCTTCCTCATCAAAAAGGGGAGGATTGGTGGCAGATGTTAGCTCAAGGCTAATCTTCCTCAAAAAAAAAAAAAAGATGCCTCTGAAACATGAAAGATGTGGTAATTACTCCTTTCCTACTCAAACGGAGTCTACAGATTTATTCTTTGGGATGTTTTGAAACGGAAGGACTCTTGACTGGAGTATACTAGGCACTGTTAAGAGCAGGGATATTGTGGTATTTTGAAATCTTGGTCCCAATTACTCATTCCACTGTAGTAATATTATATATCCATGCTCTTGCCATAGCCTCGTAGTGGGTGGAGTATATTCTCTCACCCTTTGGCTTTGGGGTTGGCCATGTAACTTGCTTTGGGCAGTAGGATATCAGTGAATGAAACATATGCAAACCTTTGAAATATGCTTAAATGGTTAGGCTTGTCCTCTTATGCTTTTGCCATCATGAGAAGAATATATCCTAATGAGCTTCTGCCTCTCCTATGGGACCCCACAATGAGAAGTACAGAGCAGAACAGCCCCAGACAACCTGTGCACTGCAGAGAGCTGCACCAGCTGATCAGCAGGCCTCTAATCTGAAGCAGAGCTGCCTGAGCCAACCAGTAAATATGGGAATAAGAAATAAATGCTTTTATTTTATGCCACTGAGATTTTGGAGTTATTTATTATACAGAAAAAGCTGACTGCTTCAGATACTATACTGAATGTAGAAGAGGGGGAATTAAATGAAACTCTGCATTCTGAATTGTGAGACCTGCTCACCCAATGCCTATTCCGATCCTAACCCAACAGCTCATGTCTCTGCTCAGCTTTCAGAATAGTAGTACCCAGACTTGAACTTTCTAGGCAGAAGAATGGAAGATTCTTTCATGAGAAATCTGAGCAACCCTAAAGAAAATATTTAAAGATACTGACCTCAGTAGTTCTTCAATGAAACTGACAAGAACACCCTACAGTGAAGCCAACTATATGACAAGCCCCAACTAGGCCATAGAGATCCACTTAGCCTTTTAGGGACCCCTCTTAAATACGAGCAGAGAACCAAGGATCACCAGACTTCTGAGGAAAGCCTGTAACATAAAACATAGAGATCAAAGCAAAGCAAAATATAGGAGTGATGTAAGCAAGGTGTTAAATAGGAAGCCCTGGCCCCTTCTTCCCCTATTGACATACCAATTCAACAGCAATGCACAGACAATTCCCTTTGTGAGAAATCTAAAAACTAGTTGAGGGGCTCCTGCACCCAAGGGAAGCATGAGACTAACCACTTAAAAGCCAGTAGGAAACATTCAAGACACACTCTCAGCATAATCACTACCCCCCACACAGTGCCATACAAACTCCTAGCTCCCAGGTTCTCTCTGGGGAGGGAAGGAAAGGACTGAACCAGGCATCAAATGTTCTAAATTTCCTGGGAGCTTCCCAAAGGATTGGATACCGTCTTACCTATCTTAGAGTGCTCATGGGACCTGACATACTCTAGAAGCTTGATGGGTGCTAAGAACAAAGATAGCAGTTTGGTCTAGCATGCAAGCATTCACTAGATCCCACGTTCTCTCTAGGGAGAGAAAGAGTTGGATCATGTGTCCAACATTGCAATGTTTCAAGAGGCTGCCCGAGGGGATGGCTTCTGTCTCACCTGTCTCAGAGCACTGATGGGACCTAGTATACTATAGATGCTTGGTAGCCACTAAGAACAAAGGTGGTGATTTGGATTAGCAAGAAGGTTTGAGAGAATCCCAGAATCTCTGGTTGGGCTGATTGGTAGGGTCTTCTGTATGACATCAGTCCATGAAGACTGAGAGAGGTGGCTCTTTGTTCTAATGTGCAGATACCAACACAAAGAATCAAAGAAAAATAAGAAACAAGGAAACATGGTCCAAAAAAAGGAATACGATAAAGCTCCAGAAACTGATCCTAATTAAGTGGAGATGTATGAATAGCCTGACAGAGAATTCAAAATAATTGTCATAAAGATGTTCAAAGAGCTCAGGAGAACAATGCATGAAAAATGTGACATTTTTAAGAAAGATATAGAAAATTTTTTAAAGAACCAAACAGAAATCTTAGAGCTGAGGAGTATAATAACTGAACAGAAAAATTAAGTAAAGGAGTTCAACAGCAGACTAGATCAAGCAGAAGAAGGAATCACTGAACTCAAAGATGGGTCATTTGAAATTATTCAGTCAGGAGCAAAAAGGAAAAAGAATGTAAAAGAGTGAAAAAAGCTTAGAAGACTAATTGGACAAAACCAAACAGATTAATATGTGCATTATGGGAGTTTCAGAAGGAGAAGAAAGAGAGAGAGAAAGGATCAAAAAGCTTATTCACAGAAATAATGGTTGAAAACTTCCCAAATCTGGGGAAGGAAATGTACATCCAGACCTAGAAAGCCCAATGAACCTCAAATAAGATGAACCAAAGAAATCCACACTGGGACACATAATCAAATTGTCAAAGTCAGAGAATTTTGACAGCAGCAATAGAAAAGCAACTTGATACGTACAAGGGAACCCCCATTAGACTGCTAATGGATTTCTCAGCAGAAACCTTGCAGGTTGGAAGGGAGTGGAATGATCTAGTCAAAGCACTAAAAGAAAAAAACTGTTGACCAAAGATACTGTAACCAGAAAATCTGTTCTTAAAAAATGAGGAAGACGGGCCGGCCCCATGGTGCAGCAGTTAAGTGTGCACATTCCACTTCGGCAGCCTGGGGTTCGCCAGTTTGGATCCTGGGTGCGGACATGGCACCACTTGGCAAGCCATGCTGTGGTAGGCATCCCATATATAAAGTAGAGGAAGATGGGCACCGATGTTAGCTCAGGGCCAGCCTTCCTCAGCAAAAAGAGGAGGATTGGCAGCAGTTAGCTCTGGGCTAATCTTCCTCAAAAAGAAAAAATTAGGAAGAGATAAGGACATTCCCAGACAAACAAAAGCTGAAAGAGTTAATCACCACTAAACCTGCCTTAAGAGAAATTCTAAGGGGAGTTCTTCAGGTTGCTCTAAACAGAAACATAAAAGCATATAAAAGTATAAAATTTGTTGATAAGCATATAGACAAATATAATTAATAGTCACTTAATTCTAGTATAAAAGTTAAAAGACAAAAGTATTAAAAATAGCTATAAGAATGTGTTAATGTATGCACTATATAAAAAGATGTAAATTGTAACATCAATAACAAAGTATGTGTGAGAGAAGTAAAAGTGTAGAGTTTTTGTGTATGATTGAAGTTATTATCAACTTAAAATAGACTGTTAAAACTATGCTTTATGTGAGCTCCATGGTAACCACAAAGAAAATACCTATAGAAGATATGCAAAGTAAAAATATGAAGGAATCAAAGTATATCAGTATTTTAAAAATCAGTGAAACAAAGGGAGATGGCAAGAAAGGGAAAGAGGAACAAAAAACTACAAAGCAGAAAACAATTAGCAAAATGGTAATAGTAAGTCCTTCCCTATCAATAATTACTTTAAATATAAATGGATTAAACTCTCCTATCAAAAGACAAAGAGTGGCTGAATGGATTTTAAAAAACCAAGATCCAACTATATGCTATCTACAAAAGACTCACTTTAGATTTAAGAACACACATAGGCTGAAAGTGAAGGGGTGGGACAAGATATTCTATGCAAATGGTGACCAAAAAAGAGCAGAGTGACTGTACTTACATCAGATAACATAGACTTTAAGTCAAAAACTGTCACAAGAGACAAAGAAGGACATTATATAACTATAAGAGGGTCAATTCACCAGGAACATATAAAAATTATAAATAAATATTCACCTAACATCAGAACACCTAACATATAAAGCAAATATGGACAGAACTGAAGGCAGAAATAGGCAACAGTACAATAATAGTAGGAGACTTCAGTACCCCCACTTTCAATAGTGGATAGAACATCCAGACAGGAAACACTTCTTGATTTCAAAATATATTGCAAAGCTTCAGTAATTATAACAGTATGGTACTGGCATAAAGACAGACATATAGAACAATAGAACAGAATAGAGAGCCCAGAAATAAATCCATGCATATATAGTCACCTGATCTTTGACATGAATGCCAAGAATACACAATGGAGAAAGAATAGTTTCTTTAACAAATCATGTTGGGAAAACTGGGTATCCACATACAAAAGAATGATATTGAACCCTTACCTTCCACCATACACAAAAATCAATTCAAAATGGATTTGACTTAAACATAAGACCAGAAACTATAAAACTCCTAGAAGAAAACATTGGGGAAAAGCTTCAGTGACGTTGGTCTTAGCAATGTTTTCTTGGATATAACACCAAAAGCACAGGCAACAAAAGCAAAAAACAGACAAGTGGGACCACATAAAACTAAAAAGCTTCTGCATAATTAACAGAGTGAAAAGGCAACCTATGGAATGGGAGAAAATATTTGCAAGCTACATGTCTGAAAGGGATTAATATGCAAAATCTATAAGAAACTCCTACAACTCAATGGGAAAAAAATATCCAAATAGCCCAACTGAAAAATGGACAAAGGACTTGAATAGACTTTTCCCCAAAGAAAACATACAGATAGCCAACAGGTATATGAAAAGATGCTCAAGATCACTGAGCATGAGGGAAAAGCAAGTCAAAACTACAATGAGATATCACCTCACACCTGTTAGGATTATCATTAAAAAATTTAAAAACATAAGTGTTGGCAAGGATGTGGACAAATTGGAACCCATGTACAATGTTGATGTGAGTATAAAATGGTGCAGCTGCTATGGAAAACGGTATGGAGGTTCCTCAAAAAATTAAAAATAGAACTACCATCAATCCTACTTCTGGGTATTTATGCAAAATAATTGCAATGAGGATCTCAAAGAGATGTTTGCACTCCCATGTTCATTGCAGTATTATTCACAATAGCCAAATGTGGGAACAACCTAAAAGTCCATCAATGGATGAATAGATAAATAAAATATGGTATATATATACAATGGAATGTTATTCAGCCTTAAAACCATAGGAAATTCTGCTATATGCAACAACATGGATGAACCTTGAGGACATTAGGCTAAGTGAAATAAGCCAGAAATACAGAAAGACAAATATTGTATGATTCCACTTATATAAGATATCTAAAATAGTCAAATTCATAGAAGTAGAGCATAGAATGTTGGTTGCCAGGGCCTAGGGAGAGGGGATATGGGGAGTTGCCATTCAACAGATATGAACTTTCAGTTATGCAAGAAGAATAGGTTCTAGAGATCTGCTGTACAACACTGTCCCTATAGTTATCAATGCTCTGTTGTACACTTAGAAATTTAAGAGGGTAGATCTCATGTTAAGTGTTCCTACCACAATAAAATAAAAAATAAAAAAATAAAAGGAACCAAGCAGAAATAGAAACACAAGGAGAGGAAAATATTGAAAAAAAATTCTTCATTGAGCTAAGAAAATATATATTGCATCCATTGAATAGGAATAGGATGCTATAAAAAAGAGAATATTCAGAGAACAAATTAAATTCAATAGCAGAATGGAAAACTGAGTAGGAGAATTAGAAGATAAGGTTAAGGAGATTTCCCAGAAAAAAAGAGGAAAAAAGATTGCAATTTGGAGGAAAAAAAGATGTTGGAGGAAAAGAATGTGAAATTTAATATCAAATGAGAGGAGTTCCAGAAAAAGATAATGAAATAAACAGGAGGATGAAAATTATCAGAGAGATGATTCAAGAGAATTTTCTAGAGCTAACGAATATGATTTGGGGGTTAAAAGGGTCACAATGTGCCTAGCACAATAGTTGAAAAACACCAAGATAAAGCATTATCAAACTTCAGAACACCAGAGAAGGGAATAAACAGAATGGATTTATACAATTTGGTAGAGTTTGGGATTAAATAGATGAAAAATACTGAGAAAACTAAAGAAACAAACAAAAAAGACTTTTGTTGACTCCAGGATAAACAAAAGGTGGTCATAGTATAACGCAAGAGTCAATAGCACTTTTATAGTAATTTATCATCAGAATGTCTGCACTGAGTATTGATCTAACCAAACATGTAATATAATAATATGAGGACAATGGCAAGTGTGGGAAAAGTGGGGACAGGGGATATAAGAGAGAATAGCCTAATTTTTCCATAGTGGGAAGTCGGTGGAAAACTTAAAACTGATGTCAAGTAATAGCAGTGCGCTATTTAGTGATATGATAGTTAATGGGACATAGATATAACTCATGCATAAAATATGAGAGGCAGCTCCCACGTATGCCATCTGTCCCTAAGATCAATAATCTTTATGAGGCAAAAATCTATGAAAGAAATTCGATTAGAGCACTGGAATAGGCCAAAGATTATTTACTGTACTCATGTCATCAATCCTTCTCATTTTTCTCTGTCTCACTCAAAACCGTCTTCAATTACCACAGCTTGTAGGGGGACCTGGGTTGAGGGGAGAAGGTAACCTGCCATTTGTGTGCTGTTGTTCAAAGTTTTGTGCCATTTCTCTCTGCTTTTTTAGATTGGGAACGTCCCAAGTTAGAATACCTGCAATGCAAGAATTCAACTCTTCTGGATACCAGTAAAGCAGTACCGATAGAGAAGGCATCACAGTTTTCAAACCTCTCTGCAATTTTAAGTGAGTTTTCACATTCTTTTTTCTCTTGTCACAGTGGAAAACCCTCGCCTCTGTTGGGAAAGCCAAGTATTTTTTCCTTTGAATGATTTCTAAGCTAAGTTCATCAACTAGGATTACCTTTGGCTACAAGTAACATCTGACTAATAGTAGCTTAAGCACTTATGGGTTTACTTTTTTACTTTTATTTTGAATTAATTTTAGACTTGCAGAAAAGTTGCAAAAATACTACAAAGGGTTCCCATACACCTCTCACCCACCTTTCCCCAGTGTTATCTTGTATAACCTTAGTACAATGATCAGATTCAGGAAATTAACATTGGTATAAACTGTTAACTGAACTACAGATCTTGTTCACATTTCACTAGTTTTTCCACTAATGTCTTTTCTTCTGTTTCAGGATCCTACCCAAGATCCTACATTGCATTTGATTGTTGTTTCTCCCTTAGTCTACTGCAGTCTGTGACAGTTCCGCGGTCTTTCTTTTTCATAATCTTGATACTTTTGAAGATTACTGATCAGTTATTTTGTAGAATGTCCCTCAATTTGAGTTTGTCTAATGTTTTCTCATGATTGAAATGAGGTTATGTGATTTTTTATAAGAACACCACGGAAATGATGTTACACTTTTCTCAGTACATTGTATTAAGGAGTTCTTGATGTCAATATATCTTATTACTGCTGACATTAAACTTCATTACTTGATTAAGGTGGTGTCTGCTGGCTTTCTCCACTGTAAAGTTACTAGTTTCCCTTTGTAGTTAATAAATATCTAAAAAATGATAGTTTGAGGCTCTGTAAATCCTGTTTCTCCTCAAACTTTCATTCACTAATATTACCAGTCATCAGAGAAACTTGACTACAACAGTTATTACTGTGGTGTTCAACTAATGGTGATTTTCTACTTTATTCTTTCCTGCTATATTTATTAATTGGCATTCTACTGCAGAATAACTGTCTCTTCTCTGCCATTTCTTTATTCAATTATTTATATCAGCATGGACTCATGGATATTTACTTGATTTTATGGGTTAAAATCCAATACTTTCATTATTTATTTTCATATTTATTTAATTCTAGTATACACATAAATAAGTTTTAGAATTGTTAAACCAGACCTCTGTGAGAAACACGTTTACTAAATAGATTATAGCGTTTATGTCCAGTTCCTTTTGTCTTTAGCATTACAATATCCAGTCAAAATACTGTTTTCCAAAGTTAGGTAGGTTAGTTCTTTTCTTCCCCTCTCTTTTCAATGCAGTTGTTATTCACTTGTAATATAGTTAGATTCATTTGTCAGTGTTGGATTCAATTTTTGTTTCTCCCATCCTATTTGGTTTCTTTATTTATTCAAGGAGAGGGGACTATGTAAACGTATGTGAAACATTACTATGGCTCTAAGAGTCATAGGTATACAAAAAAAATATTCTCAGAAAAGTTTTGCTTCCTCCTTCTTCCTGCTACCCCAATCCCATTCCCCTTTTCTTTCTACCTCTTTCCTACCCACCCCTGTAAGTACCAACCTCTTCTGTTTATGGTTTATCCCTCTTGTATTTCTTTGCGCAAATGAACAGATACCTATGTATTTTCTTATATCCTCTTGTTTCTTACATGAAGGATAGCATACTTATAGTGTTTTCATTTTGCTTTTTCCACTTAATAGTACGTTCTGGAATTCACTCAATACGGTTTTACAGGGATCTTCCTCATGTTTTTTATAGCTGCATAGTACTCCACTGTATGGATGTACGTTCATTTATTCAACCACTTGCCTATCAATTAGGTATTTAGGGTTTTTTCCCCAATATTTGTCATTAAAAACAATGCTTCAGTGAATAAACTTATGATATATACTTTCGTATTATTGGTGGTATATCTTCAAGGTAGATTTCCAGAAGTAGGATGGCTGGTCAAAAGGTAAGTGGATATAGTTTTATTGAGTATGCCAAACTTTCCTTTACAAGGATTATACTAGTTTTCATTTCCACCAGCAATGTATTAGAGTGCTTGTTTCCCCATATCCTCACCAAGAAAATATATTGTCATATTTTTAAATTATTGCTACTCCAATAGGTGAGAAATGGTATCTCAATGTTATTTTAATTAGCATTTCCCTAATTATATGTGAGTGCAAACATTTTTCATATGTTTGAGGACCATTTTTATTTTGTATGTGTGTGTGAATTTTCTGTTCATGTGTTTTCCTCATTTTTCTATCTGTTTTTTATCCTTTACCCTCAATTTTTAAGAGTTCATTATATATTAATATTATTAGCCTTTTGTCTATGATATATATTGTGAATATTTTCTCCCAGTTTGTTGGGGTTTTTTTGTTTATGGTATTTTTTGTCAGCAAAAAATGTTTATTTATATTGAATTTACTTTTCTTCCCAGGCCAGAGCTAGTGGAGCAGCTCTATACTATCATCAAGATCGTGGACTCTTTCTATCTTTCTACTACCAAGTGTATTTGCTTGTTACTGTATAGGTGTAAAATGGCTGTTAAACCTCCAGGCATTGCACTTGTGTTCCAGGCAGAAAGAATGAGAAAGGGCGGTACCAGCCATGTACATCTCCTTTTATCAGAAGAGCAAAGGCTTTCCAAGAAATTCCCCACCAGACTTCTATATAAGTCTATTGGCCAGAACTGAGTCATCTATCTACTGACTCCTTAGGAGGCTGGGAAACCAAGTATTTTGCTTTCTTAGCCTCTGTAGTGGTAGAAAGCAAAGGAAAATGGAAAAATGGAGAGGAGGAGTAGAAATGGATATTGTCAGCCCACCTATGAGAGCCTGCAGGGGGAATATCAGTCAAAGAATTAGGCATTGGGGTCGGGATCCTTTATGGGAGAGTTGATAGCTGTCTGGATGGCAGTATTTCTAACAGTATTTGAAGGCCTTGTCTTCTGTGTTATGTTAGTTTGGCAACTCCTTTGCTGATGTAAAGTGCCCAAAAAAGTGGCCTGTCTCTTTAGCAAGTATTTCAGTTAGGTTCTTTGTCCACCGCAAATGACAAAAAAAGCCTACCTCAGACTATGTTAGATTAGAAAGGGAATTTATTGCCACATATACCTGAAAAATGCAACAGTAAATCAGATGCAGATACAACTTGATCCAGGGTTTCAAATGATATCAGTAGAACCCAGTTTCTTTCCATCTCTCAGCTCAGGATTCCTCTGTGTCAGTTATGCTCTCATCCAGGGACCCTTCATATAGTAGTCCTTTTAGCTCCAGGTTTATATACTCACAGCCTCAAATGCAGTGAACAAAGTGCTTCTCTTTCCCAGTGATTTGACAAGAAGTCCTGAGCCGTACACATTGGCTTAAATTAGTTTATGTGCCTATCCCTGAACAGTCACTTTGGCCAAGGAGATGCAGGGCTCTTACTGCGTTGAGTCACAGGCCATGTCTGGAGCATCAGAAGAAAAAGCAGGAGACTGTTATCAGCAAAAGCAGAGAATATATGCTGGATGATAAGGGTCTACAGTAGTTCTTTGTGTTGTGGGAACCTTCCTTTCAGGGAAATGCTTTGCAATGATTGGGAGGCACTATTCACTTCACTTTCATTTAACTGTTGGGATTTTTAAATTCTAATTTAACGTAAGCAAATTCAGCAGCTGCTGAGGGTTATAACTTCTTAGAAGACTACTCCTGTGGTTTTTTATATTCCTAGTAATAATATTCTAGTGTACCTAGGCAGTAAAATGTTGACTGGTAGGAATTCTTTTAACTAATCAATCTACTAATATGCATACCTGTGTATTTGGTACTGGACTAAGAACCATGAGTTTAAGTTCTAGGTGTACAGCTAGGTATACAAGTTTCATAACTTGACCAGTTTTTCTTTTCTTATATGTAAAATGGGGATAGTAAATTGGTATATTTGCCTCACAGGATTATTTTTAGAATCAATTAAGGTAATAGACGTAAGAGGACTTCAAAAATTATAAAGAACTATCTAAATACAAGGTGATATATTCTTGCATCTCATAAAATTTTGCAACAATTTTGTTTTATTTTGGTATTTTGAAAATACTTCCACCTAATTTAAGTGGCAGACGTAAACAATATAAAATAATAAAATTATAAAAATAAACTGCACAATCAACATGTATTTTAAAGGAATTATTTCTTTTTACCTAGAGTAATTTTAGCTTCTGGCCTATGTTTGAATTATATTTTTAATAGATTGGAGTTTTTTCCTTTCCTAGGTACCTCTTCAGAAGACTATCAGAAATGCCATAGGAAAATGTAAGAACTACATTTTTTAAATTGTGCTTTTTGAAACTCTGTGTTCTAATAGTTATATAGCAGTATGATTGTTAGCCCACAAATTCACGTATTCGTTTTTTCAATATTTGTTGAGGACTCACTCCATGCCAGAACTGTTGTGATTTCTGGAGATAGATAGTACTAAACGCAATTGATTAAAAACAAAATCCCTGCCCTCATTGAGTCTACATTCTAGTTGCAGGAGATGGACAATAAACAAATAAGCAAGTAAATTTATATTGTGCTATATGGTAATGAATGCTGTGGAGAAAAATAAAGCAAGATAGGGGGCTAGGAAGTTTGGGATGGAGGTTTGCTATTTATTTTAAGTATTATGGTCAGAGATGTTATCATTGAAAAGGTAGCATTTTAGCAGAGACCTAAAGAAGGAGACAGAGCAAGTTGTCTGACTCACTGGAGAAAAGAGCATTCCAGGTAGGGGGAATCGCTGGAGCAAAACCCTGGGTTCCTGGAGTGGAGTGAGGGAGGAGGAAAGAGGTAGGAAATGAAATGAGAGAAGACGCAGGAGGCTAGATCATATAAGGCATTGTAGGTGAATACAAGTGGATTGGGAAGCCTTTGAAGGATTTAGAAGGATGACATGATATGACATTTGTTTTATTTATTTATTTTCTTTTTTTGAGGAAGATTAGCCCAGAGCTAACTGCTGCCAATCCTCCTCTCTTTTTGCTGAGGAAGACTGGCCCTGAGCTAACATCCATGCCCATCTTCCTCTACTTTCTATGTGGGACGCCTACCACAGCATGGTGTGCCTAGCAGTGCCATGTCTGCCCCTGGGATCCGAACCAGTGAACCCGGGCCGCCGAAGAGGAACTTGTGCAGTTAACCGCTGCGCCACCAAGCCGGCCCCGACATTTGTTTTAAAAGAATTGCCCCTGGCTTCTGTGTTAAGACTAGGCTCCTGAGGAGCCAGCCCTGATCGCCTAGCCGTTAAAGTTCCATGTACTCCAGTTCAGCAGCCCCGGTTCAGTTCCCAGGTGCGGAAGCATACCACTCACCTGTCAGTAGTCACACTGTGGCAGCAGCTCACATAGAAGAAGCAGAAGAACTTAGAACTGTGCACAGCTATGTAGTGGGGCTTTGGACGGAGGAAAGGAAGAAAAAAGAAGGGAGATAGACAATAGATGTTAGCTTAGGGTGAATCTTCCCCTGCAATAAAAAAGACTCCTGAGGAAGAGTCTAGAAATTAGGGAGATTATTGTTAGGAGACTGTTGCCCCTAATCTAGGCAAGAAATAATGGAGTATGGACCAGAGTGGTAAGAGTAGAGGTAGTGAGAAGTCAGACTTTGGATATATTTTGAAAGCAGAACTAACAGGATCTATTGATGGACTGAATGGTGGAGTATGAAAGTAGTAAGGCTGACTCCACAGTTTTGGCTTGAGCAACTAGAAGGATGGAGTTGCCATTTATTAAGATGCAGAAGACTGAGGAGAAACGTATGACTGGGGAAGATCAAGAGTTTGGTTTGGGGCATGTAGACTGAAGGATAAGGTGTATGTAAGAGAGACGGTATCCAAGTTCAAGGAGGTGGTCATAGTCTGGCTCATGGATGGTCTTAAGGGCTGGGATTTTTCTTTTATCCTGAATATGATGGGAGCCTCTGAAAGATTTTCAATAGGACTGTAAAATAGAATGAAAATTTGTAACAGCTTAATCTGGAAAGGTTGAAGGATCTTATAAAAAATTTCACACAAGTTTAAAAAGTCGGGAGATATCAATCAAGAGAGTGAAAAGACAGTCCACAGAATGGAAGAAAATATTTGCAAATCATACATCTGATAAGGGACTTGTATCCAGAATATATAAAGAACTCTTACAACTCAACCATAAAAGGACAAATAACCCAATTTAAAAATAGGCAAAGGATCTGAACAGACATTTATCTGTAGAAGATATACAAATGGCCAATAAACACATGAAAAGATGCTTAATATCATTATCCATTAGGGAAATGCAAATCAGTGTTATTGAGATACCACTTCACACTTGCTGGGATGTCTATAATCAGAAAGACAGTAACAAGTGTTGTCTTAGATGTGAGAAGTTGGGACTCTCAGGGCCAGCCCAGTGGTGCAGCGGTTAAGTTCGCACGTTCTGCTTCTCGGCGGCCTGGGGTTCACTGGTTCAGATCCCAGGTGCGGACATGGCACCACTTGGCAAAAGCCATGGTGTGGTAGGCATCCCACGTATAAAGTAGAGGAAGATGGGCATGGATGTTAGCTCAGGGCCAATCTTCCTCAGCAAAAAGAGGAGGATTGGCAGTAGTTAGCTCAGGGCTAATCTTCCTCAAAAAAAGAAAAAAAAGAAGTTGGGACTCTCATACATTGCTGGTGGGAATTTAAAATCGTGCTTTGGAAAATACTTTGACAGTTCCTCAAAAATGTTACATGTGACCCAGCAATCCACTCCTAGGTATGCATACCTAAGAGAAATGAAAGCCTATGTCCATGTGAAAACTTGTACATGAATGTTCACAGCAACGTTATTCATAATAGACAAAAAGTGAAAACAATCCAAGTGTCTATCCACTGATAAATGGATTAAAAAAATGTGGGATATCCATAATGGAATATTATTCAACAATAAAAAGAAATGAAATTCTGATGTATGCTACAACATGGATGAACCCCACAAATATTACGCTAAGTGAAAGACGCAAGTCATACAAGATCACGTATTTTATGGTTGCATTCATATGAGATAGCCAGAATAGACGAATCTGTAGAGACAGAAAGCAGATTAGTGATTGCCTAAGACTGGGAGATTTGGAAAGAAATGGGATTGATTGCTAATGTGTACAGGGTTTCTTTTTAGAGTGATGAAAATGTTCTAAAATTGATTGTGATGGTGATTGTGCAACTCTGTGAATATACTAGAAGCTATTGACTTATACACTTTAAGTGGGTGAATTGTATGGTATGTGAATTATATCAATAAAGCTGTTTAAAAAAACCAAATTTAGAACCAAGGAAATATAATTTGTGTGTGTGTGAGGAGGATTGGCCCTGAGCTGACATCTGTTGTCGATCCTCCTCTTTTTGTTTGAGGAAGATTGTCACTGAGCTAACATCTGTGCCAATCTTCCTCTGTTTTATGTGGGATGCCACCACAACGTGGCTTGACGAGGGGTGCTAGGTCCGCGCCCAGGATCCGAACCTGTGAACCCCAGACTGCCAAAGCACAGCATGTGAAATTAACCACTATGCCACTGGGCTAGCCCTGGAAATACAGTTTTTAATAGGAGGTATTGATAGGAAACAGGATAGAACAAAAATGAATAAGCCATAAGAGTTGAGTCAGATGATTTAATTGAGCCATATTTTGGCTCTCAGCTTCTTGAAATACAAGGAAAAAGTCTGTAGCTTTTTGTAGATTTTGTGTCCTTCAAATAATCCTGTACAACTCTTACTGTCTTATAAATAGGTTTTTTTTTTTTTTCACCAGAATTAAGTGGTAGACTGTACAATGTTGTCTTCTTTGTTGGGGATCTATAGTATAGGTATTCTGTGCTGATGAGTGTGTGAGGGTGAGAATCGGTATATTTTTGAGTGCAGATTTTCTGTAGAACTTTTACATTACTCAACCAAAATTCTTGCCTGTTATCCCACCTCTTCACAGAGATATACATGATCATATTTCTGTCATAGAGCAATCATTCTTGCAGCAAAGAAAAAAGATGGATTAGAGGAAGTGGTTAGATTAAAGGGATGACTATTGTAGCATTCCAAGTGAGACATGATTAGGATCTGAACTTTAGCAGCAAGGACAGCATAAGGAAAAACTTGAGAACAATTCAGGAGGGATAATCAATAGTTTTTAATGATTGGTTTGTTAAGGGAGGAAGATGGAACCCCAGCCCTCTGATTTAGGAAACTGGATGAAGGATGACTCTTTCACTGAGTGAAGGAACTCAAATAGAAAAGCAAGAGTGAGTTGGGGTGACAGATTATTTTAGTTTGGAAAACACTGACATACCCACGGTATTTTGGAGTGGAGATATCTAGCAAGCAGTTGGATATCCCAGCCTGGAGGGCAAGGGAAAAGTTCTGGGCTGAAGACGTTGTTGTCCCCTTGGGAAAGTGCTTAGAGTAAGAGAAGTATAGCATTAGTGTGATAGCCTCCTATAAATATGCTTGTATCTAAATGGTGAGAAATTTCTGAAGAAAATAAAATCGATTACTGTTATTCTTGGGTGAATTATTCTTCTTTGGTAAATAACAGAAAATTCTAAAGATAAATTATTAAGGTCACCAGAGAGAAAGGATGATGGACTCACTTTTTAATCCTTTCCACAATTTGCAATGCAATATATTCTTAAGAAGGAAGGAGTGATGTTTGAAGAATAATGATACCAATTTTGAGCACCTGTTATCTACTAGACATTTTGGCATTCTCTTTAATAAACAGCACATTCACAAAGTTAAAACTGTACAACTTTGACATAATACGAGGTGGGGAAAAGGAGTTTTGTTTATATTGCTGTAAGATCTGTGTAGACCCACTTCAATGACTGTTGCATGAGTATTGAAATGGAGCAAACGTAACATAACGCTTGGTTATGTGTATCTGATCCTATTTCCTGTCTTCCTTAAATGCTGCCCTATCTTTAAAAAATAAAACCTACCACTTGAATGTGCAAAGAAACTATATCTTTATTTCTTATAATAACTGATCTAAACTGCTCATGGGCTCTCATCATCCTTCTACCCTATTTAGCTGGGTAATTATGAGTTAAACTTACTTATTAATGCCATCCAGTTACTTCCAATTAAAAGTCTCTTTTGGATGAATACTGAGTCCTTCAGGTTTTCTCCCCATTCCATATTTCTGAGGATGGCATGTAGGTAGGTGATCATAACTCTTGATTTGCCTGGGACAGTCCCAGTACGTGCCTGTTGTTCTGACATATTTTTAACTGAGCTCCCTTTTATTCTCAGAAAGGTTCCAGTTTGGACAAATAGTCACCCTAAATATGGGTTCATAGGCATAGGGGCAGGCCAGAGGTGGGAAGGGGTGAAGTTGGGGCTTGAGGGTGTCTGGAATCCACGAATTGTCTATGGATTTTTACTAATTTGTGCTGCAGGTCTCAAGACTGGATCTGTACCTGGGATGGACTCCATAGATAAAGTCATTGGTGAAAGGGCCTTATTTAGGGCCAGAGGTCCTCCACTGCTGATTTTTCTTCACCTTAGCTTTTGTTGCTACCCCAAACCCCTTGAGTCTCATTGGAGTCCTCATCCAGACTTTGACTTGGTTGCTTTCTACAATCTTTGTGGTAAAGTCACCTCACCACAGCAGCCCTATGCCAGGTATTTTGGTTCTAAACATGGCCATCTTCTGCATTGCCCTTGGTATGTGGAACCTTGAGAACTTGTTCACAATGTACAGGAATTAAGGGACTCTCAGAAGGGCTAACTGAGGTCCCATCTCTGCTTGAATGTCCCAAGCTCTTACTTTTATGTTGTGTTTCCACCCTGGGTGGATGTCTCCTGCTAGAGTTCTAAATGGAGTTTGGCACACGTTTCCTCTACTTTTGGCTTCCTCTTTCCCTTTTCTAATGTCATCTTCCTACCTGTTACCCCTACCTCCAGATTTTGGGCTTGAGGGAGAGATGTCAGTTCCCGTTGTCTTACTTCTTGTTTCCTAAGCCTCTGTCCTCTTTCTCTTTCGAAGAATCCTCTAGGCTGGAAGGTGCGGAAGGGGGATCTGTCTTTGGTTGCAGCCTGAGTTCTTTCTATATTCTATGGCTAATAGTAAAACTCTGTGGTTTTGTCCACCAAGCCTTAATTTACGTATGTTAATAGGAACTTGAGGAATGTAGCAGGATGTTAAATGTGGCTTTCATGTAGCCTTAGAGTTTGGATAGTGACCTCAATAGATGAAAACAAAATAAAAATGACAATTACCCTTATCCGTATTCTGTATAGGACCATCTATGTAGACTTTGTAAAAGGTAAGGTCAAAACCCAATTCTTCGAGCGTAAGCCCATCATCAATCTCCAAACTACTTAAGAAAAACTAAGAATGCACTGAAAGGGTGAAATGACCAAGAATGTGTATTTCTTTGATAAGAGTTATTGGTGTCATATGCAAGGAGAGAGGGAGACTTCTCTGTCACCTTGATACAAGAGAGGAAGCTCCAGGAGAATCATTTGGAAAGTTTGACATATGTCCCCTGGAATTTGGTTTCTGACTCACACCTGAAAAGTCTAAAGGCAAGAGGGTGTGTTAGATGATTTAGAGTGGCAGAATCAAGAGGAGGCTAGATGTACTTTCAGAGTTTGGCACAACAAAGATTTGTGCATAATGCCCATAGGTCAGACATAGATCCCTCAGAAGGGAGCCGGTTATAGATTATCTTGAAAGGGATCATGCCCAGTGAGACTTCCTGCAAAGGACAAAGTAAACTCAATTGAAAGAGGCTGGAAGTTCTCTCATCGAATGGCAAAAGCTGAGGAGATCATTAATAGCAGCAAGTGAGAGAGCCCCAGGGATAGGGAAATCCTATCACTGAACACTTCAAAATACTTCAAATTTGAAAGAGTCAGCATTTGGTTATCTGTCACACCCAAACGGCACCAATAGTGTATTATAATAGTATCAGTCAAGATCAAGAAAAACCTTTCCTCTCCCTTTCTACAATCCCATCCCCCTACTCCAATGCCAGAAGACCCCAAAGAGTAGTTACCAAATGGGGGAGGAAAAAGAACAAGAAATAAAGAAGAAACCAGCCATGGTTGCTTTCCTCACTGCAGCTTATAAATCTAAATCAGGCCTAAGCTGGGAAAAGAAAGAAATTTAAACTGGATAATAAGAGTTTGGTGTTGGGCTTTTTATTATCCAAAAAATGACTATTTACTACAAGAGAGTGCCACAAAAGCAATGAAATACACCTGAACGTTCATTCAGGGGCAAGAAAAAGTACTATTTTGACAGGATGAATTCAAAGGGGAAATATGAAAGAATAAAATTGTTTTTTGCTTACTGAGTTCAACTTTTCAATAAACCCCTAAAAGGAATTTAGAAAATCATCTTCTCACATTTGATTTTCAACTCCATTGTCTTGCTAGGGACTCAGAAATCCCATTTTGGTGATCACAGGCTGAGTTTTGATCTTTTTATATTCCTCTTGTAATAGCTAATCCTCTCCTACACATTTAGATAGATTTGGAGGTGGTCTTATTTATGAAAGTATAAAAGAGAAAAGGCTATTAATTTTAAGAAAGCTTTATCTGTCATGTTACTTGAGATCCTTACCATAAGAATCCTGAGAAACGAAATTGATATTCCTTTTGCATAAATGAGGTAACCAAGACTCAAGGCAGATTAAGTAACTTTCCCAAGGCTACTCAAGTGCGAGTAGCAGAACTGGGCTTTGAACTCAGGTCTTCTGATGGCCTTGTCCTCTACATATATTGTCTCAAACTGATAAATATATAAATATGTTGCCTTTCATTATTAAACTATTTGTTCATATAGATATGGTAACATTTTTTTCTAACCAGTATTTTCTCTATAGGATAATTGATTGCATATAAGTGTCCTGATTTTAAGTATTATTTGAAGATTCTTGAAGGTTACTGAAAGATTAAGAGTATACCATGAATTTGTTCTTATTATAGAGGGATGCTGTTAGCAGACCAAAACATTCCTCCAAAACCAAAGAATACTTCAAATTCAGAATCAGGTAATAAATAGTGAAACTAATTATTTTCATAATTCTGTTTTTCTTTATTTTTGTCACAATGTAGTGTATATTAAGAAAATTGATAGCAAGGAAACTGAGTACTTTTTAGCTTGTATTTAAGCTATTGTGTTTAAGTATTTAAGAACTGAAGATATGTGAGGATAGAAAGTGGGTCTTAACTATCCCCACAGCACCCGTCCTTAATTAGTTTAATAAATATTTACTGAGTATGTACTCTGTACTAGGCCTTGCTATATACATATACCAGTGGGGAGTGATATACATTCCCTCCCCTTGTAAGTTCCAGTCATAGCAGAGGAAGATAATCAGTAAACAGATATATTGGAGTTAGGTGTGATGATTGAAAGATAAAAGGATCATCAAAGTGCCTTGCATATTAGGCACTCTGTTATTTAGTTTACTATTAGAATAAACTTCGCAAGACATTTACAACCTTACTAACCTCTGCTGTATCTCAAGATTCCTGTTTTCTTTATTTCTGGCAACAAGTTTTATAGTATCTATGTGAGGGTAAACTTGAAGAATTGCTGGTTTTGCTCCTGAGGGGTCTAAATGTCTGTATGAACTTAAAAAAAAAGTTTTCAGTTTAAGAAGTTGTCTTAATGAGCATTTACTAAATGCCAGATATTACATTATGAACTGTGGGTATAAAAATGATTAAGATAGTTTCTGTTCTAAGGAAAATTAGTCTAGTGATACAAACTATACCTGTGAAAGCACACATCCTTGGAAGGAATAGCACCTATTACCCTGGAGGGTGAGCATTAGAAGGAGGATTTGTTTTATAGATCAAAGAGTAAGGGAACTTGTGAACAAGAGAAGAGAGGAGATGACAGGGAAAGTGGTTGGGGTACCAAAAAACAATCTTGATTTCACCTAGGTCTTGCCTAATAGAAAGTTTTGCTTTGGCTGTGGAAAATATTATTTATAAAGCCTGGTAGTAAGGCAGAATAGTGATTCTGGATTTGTGTATGCTTTTGTATTCTTACTTTTATGTGGTTGATCGATGTAAAATTTAAAATTAAATAAATCATGTCTTGCTCTAGAACTACTTTTTACACATTCCTTAATTCAGCAAATCCAACTCTGTTCCAGTTGTGTATCAGGCTCTTTACTAAGTGTTCGAAAACTGAGAAATGGCTGTTTTCCTGTCCTCAAGGATCCAGTAGTCTAGTAATAGAAACAAGTAAACAGGAAATTACTTCTCAGGAAACTCCTGCGTAGTTTCCTTTGCAATCTTATCTACTGCTATTAGCCATTAAATGTGGAGTTCTTCAAGGCTGGTTCCTAGATTTTAACTTCTTTTCAATCTACCCCCTGATATGTACAGGTATCCAGTAAAAAGCAGGCCTTGTAAATTTTCTCTCAGTCTGGAATCTCTTCTGAGTTGAAGACCCTTATATGCGGCTGCCTCTGAACATCTTCTCTTCAGTGTTTCAGAGACACCTCATCTCGCCGTTCATTAATACCATTCATTCAGCAAATATCTATCAAGCACCTGCAGTGTAACACAAACAGTTTTAGTTGCTGGGGAACATGACAAAGTCCTTGTCCTAACAGAACTTATGTTACAGTGGAGGAAGAAAGATAATAAACAGATAAACAAATAAATACATAACAACTTCAGAAATAAGAGTAATGAAGGAAAATAAGGCAGAGTAAAAACAGAGAGTGGGACTAGGGATGCTATTTTAGACAGGGTAATCAGGATAGGCCTCTGAGGAGGTGACATATGTGCAGAGCTTGGATGGAGTGAGAGAGTGGGCCAAAATCTAGGGGCAAAACATGCCAGGCAAAGGGAACAACAAGAGAATAAGCCATGAGATGGGAATGTGCTTGGTGTGTTCGAAGAAGAGGAAAGAGGTTAGTGTGACTGGTGCAAAGAGAGTAAAAAAATAAACGGTTGAAATTGTGGTCAGAGAGCTAGTCAAGTCGTGTATTGTAGAGTCTCGTATGCTGTCGTAAGGAGTAGGGATTTTGTTCTTTTCTTTCTTTTTTTTTTTTGGTCAGGAAGATTCACCCTGAGCTAACATCCATTGCCAATCCTCCTCTTTTTTTTTTTTTTTTCTTGAGGAAGATTAGTCCTGAGCTAGCATCCATGCCAATCTTCCTCTAGTTTGTATGTGAGATGCCTTCATAGCATGGCTGATGAGTGTGGTCGGTCAGCACCCGGGCTCTGAGCACAGGGCCGCCAGAGCAGAGTGCACAGAACTTTAACCACTTGGCCACAGGGCTGGCCCTAGGATTTTATTCTAAATGTGCTAAGAAGGACATTTTAGAGCAGAAGGATGATGTGATCAAAGATATATATTTTTTTAGAATCATCACTCTGGCTACTATGTGGAGATAGACTAAGGAGGCAAGAGTGGAAGCAAGGAGATCTTGTTAAACTATTGCAGTGGTCAGATAATGGTGTATGAGACTAAGGTGCTAGCAGTGGTCTGATATGGAATATATTTTAAAGGCAGATGTGCCAGGATTTTCTGGTTAGGCTAGATATTGGGTAGGAGAGAAAAATAGAAGTCAAGGATGAGTCTTAAATTATTGGTTTGAGCAACTGGATGAATGGTGGTATCATTTCTTAAGACAGGAGCTCTGTAGAGCAGAGCAAGTTGGGAGAATGATTAAGAGAATTTGATTTGGACATGTTAAATTTTATCTGTCAGCTCACGTACATAATGTTACATGAGAGAAGGCAAACACAAACATGTGTATACTGTGTAATTCCATATATATGAAGTCAAGAACAGGCAAGACTATTCTGGTGGATAGAAGTCAGAATAGTGGTAATCTATGGAAAGAGGGAACTCACTGGGAAAGAATATATAGGAAACTTCTGGGGTGTTGGAAATATTTTATATTGTGATCTGTTTGGTGATTCTGTGGATGAATACATATGCATACAATATTTGTGCCATATTAAAACATTGAGAGGCTTATTAGCCTTCAAGTGAAGATATCATGAAAGCAGTTTGTAACACAGGAGTCTGGAGTTCAGGGCAGAAACGGGCTGTAGATAAATATGTAGAGCCAGAGTATAGATGTTTTGAAGCCATAGGATTAGATGAGATCACATAGGAAGTGAAAATAAATAGAAAAGACATATATAAAAAGAATATAAATGGAACACTCCAACATTTAGAAGTAGCTAAAACAAAAGTTACCAAGAGATTAAATAAAATGAGAATTGAGGACTGAGAATTGTCATGACCAAGACCTAATCTGGTCCTCCTCTGGTGTCCTCCATTTCAGTTAGCAAATGTAGCTTAGCAAACCAGAAACATGGGGATCATCCTCAACACCTTCCTCTTTATAATACTTCCTATTTCTGATCTGTTACCAAATTGGTACCAATTTTATCTCTTACAGAACTCTCAAACCTACTCCTTCTCTCTACCTTGGCAGATGAAAATGAGAGGAGTGATCAGCCTCAAAGGTTGCCAGATTTGGCAAATAAAGATACAAAATGCCCAGTTAAATTTGAATTCAGATAGCAGCAAATAATTTTTTAATATAGTCTGGTCATAGATATTGCACATGCTTGTACTGTTACATGGAAAATACTTAAACTAAAAAATTATTCATTGTTTATCTGAAGTTCAAATTTAAGTGGGCATCCTGTATTTTATTTAGCAAACTATTGCCCTCGACAATGAGACTGGGAATATATATACAATACAGGGATCATAAAAACCAGAATTTTGTATGCCAAGTTCAGGAGGTTAAGTTTTAACTTGAGGGCAGTGGAAAGCCTTTGGAGAGTTTTAAGCAAATAGTATTAGATTTGTATTTTAGGTATATAGTGTGAACAATGGACTGCAGAGGGAGGTGAATTGAAAAGCTATTGGAATAATCTAAAGGAAAATATTTTGGTGCCTTAAATCAAGGTACTGGTGTTAAGAATAAAGAACAGCCATTAAGTATATATGATAGGTAAAATTAGCACATAGCAGACACTCACTAAATATTTGTTGCTTTGGATTGAGTCTGGAGAGTGAGGAAGAGAGAAGAGTCAAGATTGAAGATGCCGGAGGGGGGAGATGTTCCTGCCTGTCGTACTGAGGTCCAGTAAGGTGCAACAGGAAATGTTTCTGCTCATATTGATGTGAGCTGAAACTAGATTGCTGTGGGTTTGGGAATAAATAGGAAGAGAGGAAGTTATGTTAGTATACGTGGACAGCTCTTTGAAGAAACTTACCTGTGGATAAGAAGAGAGAGGGGATGTAGCAGGAAGGGGGTTGGGATACAGATAAAGTTTTTGGTAAGATGAAAGAGGCCTGAGCATTTTTAAAATGCTGATAGAAAAGCTGCAGTAGAAAGGGAAAGCCTGAAAATACAGGAAAGTAGAAATGGAAGGATAATTAATGAAGAATTTTAATCACATAGAACTTTTTCTACTAATCGAAAAGTAAATCTTATATAGAGTTTATTTACTCCTGTGAAATCTGGAGCTCTTGAGATAAAGATATTTTAAAGAATACTTTCTCCTATCTGTAGCAAGTCAGATTATTTAACATATATTGTTTTTCTTTGATAACTATTAAAAGGCATAGTCGGTAAAATCTTTTTTGTTTTTTTTTCCAAATTTGAGTTCTCTTTTCTGTACCTATAGTTAATGAGAGGTTAAATAATTAAAATCTAAAGTATGTTTTTATTTATAGATAATGCAGCTTGTGAAGTTTTACTTGCTGAGAAAACTTGTCCTTCAACCCCTGAAAAAACAAAGAAAAAAGCAAGTATTGAAGCAGAATAACTACAAAAACCATACACTTCATTAGTATAGGGCGTACTTTTAACCATCACTTTTATTGGAATTATTTTTCATCTAAGTCAATAATTTAAAACATTTTTGGAGTTTGCAATTAGGTTACATTATTGTTACATGAATATGTAGTCTATATAAGTTTAATGAAAGAGAGTTAAAATTTACAATCTTTCCAACTTCCTTTTGGATAGGTGGATGTCTATTAATCATTAATTTAAGGTAAAAATGAGACATTTGCTGTGTAGCCAGAGCAGTGTTTTATGCTGAGGAACACTTGTGAATTAGTACATTAGACCTGGAATCTGGAGGTCTTTGAGAAGGAATTTGGACTTTATTTTGTTTGTAGCAGGGGCTACTATTTGAGTGGCTACTCAGTGCTAAGCTTTATTCTAAGCACTTTTCATTAATTATGTCTTTTCTTTATAGCATTCCTATCATGTAAGTTTTTTCTTTGTTTTGGTTTTATCTATTTTATAGATGAGAAAAAAGAGGTTTGGATGTTAACTAAGATGTTTGAGCAGCTTGTGGTAGGTCTTTCTGGATCTAAAATCTGTATTCTTTCCGTTATAACCTACTGTCATTCTATACATTAGGGAGCAAATTGAAAGAGGGCGAGAGTGTTGGCAAGAAGACTCATTAGAATGAAATTGCAAAGATTTTTGGTGCAAGATTGTGGAAGTTTTGACTAGGATGTTTTGTAAGGAAGATGGAGAAATATGAATGGATTCAGGATAGTTTTGCCTGTAGAGTTCATTTATTGGATATAGAGGATGAATGAGTGAGAGGTGTCAAGACTTCTAGGTTTCTGTCTTAAGAAGCTTTGGTTAAAGGTGCTATTTAACGTGAAAAGAAAGGCAGGAAGGAAGTCTGAAGGCACATTAATATGAAAATGTTGGAAGGGCCATTGGCTATAAGTCTGCAGGTCAGGAAAATAGAAGAGGAGTGTACAGTATTATAGATATTTTTAAATTCATGAAAATAGATAAAATTACCTGGGAAAGAGTATCTATAGAGTGAGAAAATGATAAGGGTCCAGGATCAATCCTTGGAAAACTCTGTAGTCAAGTAGAAAATGAAGAGTGGACAGAAAGAAGGAGGAAAATAAACACAATATGATATCATAGAAGCCAAGAAGAATGTTTACTCCTAAAAGGGGGAGTGGTCAACAATGTATATATATTACAATAAAAAGAGGACATCTGAGAACTACTTCAAATGCTTCTACAGCAATTGAATACTGTGAAATATATTTCACAATTGTGAATTTGTTTCAGCCTGAAAAAGATCCTGAACCTAGAGATACAAATTTTCAAACAAAGTTAAGCTCTCAGCATCTAAAAATCAAGGTTCCGTCATCTCAGCAGAAGTCTACTCTTGAAAGCAGTGCAGGTAGATCAGTTACCAAAGTTCTGCTGCCTCAGCCCCTGGAAACTGCATTGGTAAGCACTGGCCTTTTATTAACTAATTCTTGAAAAGACTATAAAAAGAAAATGTACTTATTGGGAAGATTTAGATATGCATAATTTCTTAACAAATTTAGGAAAAAATGCAGAGAAGCTATATACTTACAGCTATATACAGGCAGATGTTTTTTAAGTGGACTGTTAGTTGACAGTTGTATCACTTGGAACCACTGGGAAGCAGATAGACTTAAGAGTTCAGGTGGCATATTGGAGGGGCTAATAGCTGAGAAAGTAAACCAGGGAGGAAGCAGGACTGGGCAGGAATAGCCTCAGTCCTCAATGCTCAATGATCTGACAAAAACTCTCCCAGTGGGGACCTCTGGAGCAAAGATTGTCCATTAGAGGAATCTTATGTTGGGCTGCTGTGTTCAGATGTTGGCTAAGGATTGCCTGAGAAGATGGTGGCCTCAGCCGGAAAACTGAAGGAGATTCTAAAGATGTTGCACCTGGGGGCTATCTGCTGACTGCATTCCTTGCAGTGGAACAGTGGGTCCTTTGTTGAAGGAGATCTGAGTAGAGCACCTCCATGGCTGCCACAGTGATAATAATAATAGCTATCATTGAATGTTTCCTACTCTCTGGGCACCATAGATTCTCTTTACATGTACTGTTTGTAATCTTTGCACAGCAATCCCTAGGGTAGAATAATAGCCCTTGTTCAAATGAAGAAATTAAAAGATTATATAACTAATAATTATAGAGCTGACATATTCATTGTAACAAGTAAATATATCCATAAATTTGTGTGTGTGTGTGTGTGTGTGAGGAAGATTGGCCCTGAGCTAATATCTGTATTTTATGTGGGATGCCACCACAGCATGGCTTGACAAGCGGTCCTAGGTCGCACCTGGGATCCGAACCTGAGAACCCCAGGCCACCAAAGTGGAGCCCAAGAACTTAACCACTACACCAATGGGCCAGCCCCCATAAAATATTTTTGATAAAAATTTTCCTGATAAACTATTCCAGATTATGTCTTGAACAAACAACTAGTTTAAGAGATTTTAAGCCAGAAAGAAAGAAAAGAGGAAAGAACGAAAAAGAAACCTAACAGAAACTTTCCTATGATGTTCAAGTTTTAACACTGAGTTTGGGTTCCAGACTTGGCAGCGTATAATAGACACCTATTCAAAGAGATTTATCAGAGAGATGTGGTTGTTGCATGGAATCCAGGAGTTGAAAAGGCCGCAGATTGCTAGAAATAAAACTGCCCATCTTCTCTCTCTTTGACTATCTCTATCACTCTGTTTCTCTCTGCTCTGTGTTTCTGTTTCTTTGTCTTTGCTCTCCCTAGTTTTGTCTCTCAGTCTCAAGCTCTGTCTCTCTCTTCTCCATGTCTCTGTCTTGATCTCTCTCCGTCCTTCTATGTCTCTGACTTGGTTTCTCTGACTGTGAATCTCTTTCTGCTCAGTCTCTGTTGATATCTGTCTTCTCCATCTCTCTTCCCTCCCTCTCTCCTCTCAATCTTCCTGTCTTTTTTCCTTCCTCTGCCTTTTGTCTCCCCATCCTTCCTTTCTTCCCTTCTTTACCCGCTTCCTCCTTCTCCCTGCCTTCCTCTCCCTTCCTTCCTCCCAACTTGTTAATCCGTCCTTCCCCCTCTCTCTTAAACTCTTTAGCTCTCTGATCCTGTCTCTTTCTCTTCTTGCTGTGTCTCTCACTCTTCTTGATTTGTCTGCCTGTCTCTCTTTGTCTGTCTCTTTGCATCTTCAAGAAATAGAAAATGATGGGGCTGGCCCGGTGGTGCAGCGGTTAAGTATGCACGTCCGCTATGGGGGCCCGGGGTTTGCTGGTTTGGATCCTGGGTGCGGACATGGCACCGTTGGCACACCATGCTGTGGTAGGCGTCCCACATATAAAGTAGAGGAAGATGGGCGTGGATGTTAGCTCAGGGCCAGTCTTCCTCTGAAAAAAGAGGAGGATTGGCAGCAGTTAGCTCAGGGCTAATCTTCCTCCAAGGAAAAAAAAGAAATAGAAAATGAGTTTGTATCCTACTTTATAATTTTTTTAACTTCATGTTCCATAAAAAGTATCTATATACATTTAAATGTATGTATTTTAAACCAATTATCTTTGTTCCATATATATTTTAACAGTGTCAGAAATAACTTATAATCCCTTTCCAGAAAAAGTACAATAGTATACTAGAAATTAAACAAATGCTAAATGTAAAATACATTTATTAGCACTTAACAAAGATAATCAAAGCACCGTTTCCTAATTCAAAACTTTATTAGGGGGCCGGCCTGGTGGCGCAGCGATTAAGTTTGCACATTCTGCTTTGGTGGCCCGGGGTTCTCCGGTTTGGATCCAGGGTGCAGACATGGCACCGCTTGGCAAGCCATACTGTGGTAGACGTCCCACATATAAAGTAGAGGAAGATGGGCACAGATGTTAGCTCAGGGCCAGTCTTCCTCTGCAAAAAGAGGAGGATTGGCGGCAGATGTTAGCTCAGGGCTAATCTTCCTCAAAAAACAAAAAAAAAAACTTTAATTAGGTTTCTTCCTAAATTAACAGTTATTTCAACCAAAGTATTCTCATATAGTTGTTGTACCTCATAGAGGTCTCTTGAGAGTTGTTTGACCTAGCTCAAGCTGGAAAATTCTTTAGTTACCTGGCAAGTGATTTAAAATTTAATTAGCAGATTAAAATTTTATTAGTATGACATGTTATGATCTAGTCTACTAATTTTAAATTGTTTTTTTACTGTATTAAAGTAGTTTATTTCTTTCTGCTATTCAATTCCCTATTTCACAAAACATTGATAGAACACAAATTCCAGTACTCCTGATAAGAAAAGCAGAGGCCTGTTAACAAGTACTCCGTCTTCACAAACAGCTGGCTTCGTGGTAAGTATTAGAGTTTGGCACTTGTAGTATCTATTTTCTGGCTCTTTGTCCTCCTCATTAGAATACTGGGGAGTAGAATACTTTTGTCACACCAGGGGAATACTGCAGATAGAGAATAATGTCTGTATTTTTCTGTTGCATTAACACGTTCACTGGATGTACTCTATATATTGCTATACATAGAAGAAAGAAAGATTAGAATACTGCAGCACCGACAAGGTTCTTCTTATTTTGTTTTTCATTTTTTTATTGTAGCAAAATATACGTAAATTTTATCATGGTAATGATAAATTTTATCAATTTTATCAGTCATTTTTTATCAATCATTTTAACCATTTTTAAGTGTACAGATCAAGTACATTCACATTGTTGTGCAACCATCACCCCATCCATATCCAGAACTTTCTTCATCTTGCAAAACTGAGACTCCATACTCATTAAGCAATAATTCCCCATTCCTCCCTCCCCTAGTCCCTGGCAACTACCATTCTACTTTCTGTCTCTATGAATTTGCTCTAGGTACTTCATATAAATGGAATCATATATTATTTGTCCCTTTGTGACTGGATTATTTCACTTAGCATAATGTCTTCAAGGTTCATCCATGTGATAGCATGTTTCAGAATTTTCTTCCTTTTTTAAGGCTGAATAATATTCCATTGTGTGTATATACCACATCTTGCTTATCCATTCAGCTCTCTATGGATATTTGGGTTGTTTCTGTCTTTTGACTATTGTGAATAATTCTGCTATTAATATGGATGTACAAATATTTCTGTGTCCCTGCTTTCAGTTCTTTTGGGTATATACTTGGAGGTGGAATTGCTGGATCATATAATAATTCTCATTTTAACTTTTTGAGGAACTACCATACTGTTTTTCATAGCGGCTGCGCTGTTTTACATTCCCACTAACAATGCACAAGGGTTCCAGTTTCTCTACATCTTTGTCAATATTTGCCATTTTCTGTCTTTTTGAATAATAGCCCTCTTCCCGGGTGTGAGATGGTATCTAACTGTGGTTTTGATCTGTATTTTCCTAATGGCTAGTGATGTTGAGAAGAATCATTTCACATACTTATTGGCCATTTGTGTATCTTTTGAGAAATGACTGTTTAAGTCCTTTGCCTATTTTTAAAATCAGGTTGTTTATTTTTGTTGTTGTTGAGTTGTAGGACTTCTTTATATATTCTGGATATTAAACTCTTATCAGATATATGGTTTGCAAATATTTTGTCCCATTCTGTGGGTTACCTTTTAATTCTGTTGATAGAGTCCTTTGATGCACAAAAATGATTATTTTTTATGTAGTCAAATTTATCTATTTTTTTCCTTTGTTACCTGTGTTTTTGGTGTCATATGCAAGAAATCAGTGTGACACCCAATGTCATGAAGTTTCCCCCCTCTGTTTTCTTCTAAGAGTTTTATAATTTAGCTCAAACCCAACCAGGTTCTTCTTAGGTTCAAGTGAACAACAGGAATACAGCTTGCAAGCAGGTCAGAATCAGGTGTTCCCTTCTGGGGAAGCAGTCCTCATACGAGGCCATGTAGCAGCTTATATAGCAGTCTGGGGACAGCTCAGGTACAAGGAGATGAGATCCAATGTCTTTTTTTTTATTGTTATTAATGTTATGATAGATTACAACCTTGTGAGATTTCAGTTGTACATTATTGTTAGTCATGTTGTGGGTACACCACTTCCCCCTTTGTGCCCTCCCCCCACCCCCCCTTTTCCCTGGTAACCACCAATCAGATCTCCTTTTCAATATATTAACTTCCACCTATGAGTGGAGTCATATAGAGTTCGTCTTTCTCTGACTGGCTTATTTCGCATAACATAATACCCTCAAGGTCCATCCACGTTGCTGCGAATGGGCCAATTTTGTCTTTTTTTATGGCTGAGTAGTATTCCATTGTGTATATATACCATATCTTCTTTATCCAATCATCAGTTTCTGGGCATGTAGTTTGGTTCCACGTCTTGGCTATTGTAAACAATGCTGCTATGAACATAGGGGTGCAAGGGACTCTTGAGATTTCTGATTTCAGGTTCTTAGGATAGATACCCAGTAATGGGATGGCTGGGTCATAGGGTATTTCTATTTTTAACTTTTTGAGAAATCTCCAAACTGTTTTCCATAGTGGCTGTGCCAGTTTGCATTCCCACCAACAGTGTATGAGGGTTCCTTTTTCTCCACAACCTCTCCAACATTTGTTGCTTTTGGTTTTGGATGTTTTTGCCAATCTAACGGGTGTAAGGTGATATCTTAGTGTAGTTTTGATTTGCATTTCCCTGATGATTAGCGATGATGAACATCTTTTCATGTGTCTATTGGCCATATTCATATCTTCTTTTGAGAAATGTCTGTTCATGTCCTCTGCCCATTTTTTGATCGGGTTGCTTGTTTTTTTGTTGTTAAGCCGTGTGAGTTCTTTGTATATTATGGAGATTAACCCTTTGTCAGATAAGTGGCTTGTAAATATTTTTTCCCAATTAGTGAGCTGTTTTTTTGTTTCAATCCTGTTTTCCCTTGCCTTGAAGAAGCTCTTTAGTCTGATGAAGTCCCATTTGTTTATTCTTTCTATTGTTTCCCTCAACTGAGGAGTTATAGTGTCCGAAAAGATTCTTTTGAAACTGATGTCAAAGAGTGTACTGCCTATATTCTCTTCCAGAAGACTTATTGTTTCAGGCCTAATCTTTAGGTCTTTGATCCATTTTGAGTTTACTTTGGTGTGTGGTGAAAAAGAATGGTCAATTTTCAATCTTTTGCATGTGGCTGTCCAGTTTTCCCAGCACCATTTGTTGAAGAGACTTTCTTTTCTCTATTGTAGGCCCTCTGCTCCTTTGTCGAAGATTATCTGTCCATAGATGTGTGGTTTTATCTCTGGGCTTTCAATTCTGTTCCATTGATCTGTGGACCTGTTTTTGTACCAGTACCATGCTGTTTTGATCACTGTAGCTTTGTAGTATGTTCTGAAATCGGGGATTGTGATTCCACCAGCTTTGTTTTTCTTGCTCAGGATTGCTTTAGCAATTCGCGGTCTTTTTTTGACCCATATGAATTTTAGGATTCTTGTTCAATTTCTGTGAAGAATGTTCTTGGGATTCTGATTGGGATAGCATTGAATCTGTAGATTGCTTTAGGTAGTATGGACATTTTAACTATGTTTATTCTTCCAATCCATGTGCATGGAATGTCTTTCCATCTCTTTATGTCGTCGTCAATTTCTTTCAAGAAAGTCTTGTAGTTTTCATTGTATAGATCCTTCACTTCCTTGGTTAAGTTTATCCCAAGGTATTTTATTCTTTTCGTTGCGATTGTGAATGGGATTGAGTTCTTGAGTTCTTTTTCTGTTAGTTCATTGTTAGTGTATAAAAATGCTACTGATTTATGTATGTTGATTTTATACCCTGCTACTTTGCTGTAGTTGTTGATTATTTCTAATAGTTTTTCTATGGATTCTTTGGGGTTTTCTATATATAAGATCATGTCATCTGCAAACAGTGAGAGTTTTACTTCTTCATTACCTATTTGGATTCCTTTTATTTCTTTTTCCTGCCGAATTGCTCTGGCCAACACCTCCAGTACTATGTTGAATAGGAGTGGTGAAAGTGGGCACTCTTGTCTTGTTCCTGTCCTCAGAGGGATGGTTTTCAGTTTTTGTCCATTGAGAGATCCAATGTCTTTTTAATAACACATACATAGCTTCCAAGGCCCCCACAAGGGACATGCCTAATTACAAGAATCAAGGAAACCCAAAGTATGGGGCTTTTTATAGTATTTATTTAGTTATAATGCATTTATCATTTATTTATAGCACATTTATAACTTCTCCCCCTCCAGGTACAATCATCATTTTTACCATAAGCAATGTTGTCTGGTGACACAGTTGACTTTCTTACCTTTATCAGGTTCCTAGTGGAACAGAGCTAGAAAGTTAACCAAAGATAAGTTTTGTTTTGTTTTTTTAAATCTCTGCTCTCCTTGGCTTTCTTTCTTTCTTTCTTTTTTGTGAGGAAGAGTGGCCCTGAGCTAACATCTGTTGTCAATCTTCCTCTTTTTTTTTTTTCCTTCTCCCTAAAACCCCAGTACATAGTTGTGTGTTTTAGTTGCAAGTCATTCTAGTTCCTCCATGTGGGATGCTGCCACAGCATGGCTTGATGAGCGGTGTGTAGGTCCATACCCGGGATCTAAACTGGTGAACCCTGGGCCACTGAAATGGGTCACGTGAACTTAACCACTCGCCCATGGGGCCAGCCCCCAAAGATCCATTTCTCAAGCTAGGTAAAAGTGTTCTGTTAACACTCTGCTCACAGTCTTTTCAGTGTTCTAAAAGTTAGTACTTTTTCCAGAAAATGAGTGTTTCATTTTTTGTGCATTTTTACTTAATATTTGGGGTTAAAATGTATGGAAGGGGAATAAATATTTCAGACTGAGTTTTTTCCCCAGAAAAACTAATTTAGTGACTATTTTATGAATACCAACATCTTTAAACAACTGAGCTATAATCCACATTTTATAAAATCTACCATGCTAGAGTGTGAATTCACTGTTTTTTAGCATATTCATAAGGTTGTGCCACCATCGCTACAATCTAATTGAAGAACATTTTTTACCACTCTATTAGCAGTTACTTACCATTCACCCCCTCTCACCCTCCAGTTCCTAGAAACTACTAATCTACTTTCTGTCTCTGCTTTATTCTGGCTATTTCATATAAATGGAATCATATGATATGTGGCCTTTTGTGTCTGGCTACTTCCACTTAGCATAATGTTTTCAAAGTTCATCCATGTTATAAGATGTATTAGTACTTTGTTATTTATGGCTGAATAATATCACATAATAAGGATATGCCAATTTTATCTACTAAGTCATCAGTTTATGGGCATTTGGATGAATAAGATTGCTATGAGCATACATGTACAAGTTTTTGTGTCAATTATGTTTTCAGTTTTCTTGGGTATATACCTGGAAATGGAAGTAGAATTGCTGGGTCAAATGGTAACTGTATGTTTAATACTTTTTTTGTAGTGGGCTTTTTGAAAACAGCTTTATTGAGATATAATTCGCATACATACAATTCACCTATTTAGAGTGTAAAATTCAGCGGTTGTTTTATATCCACAGAGTTGTGCAGTCATCACCACAGTTACTTTTAGAACATTTTTATCACCTCAAAAGGAAACCCCAGGGGCTATCCCAGTGACATAATGGTTGGGTTTGTGTGCTCTGCTTTGGCGGCCCAAGGATCGCCAGTTCGGATCCTGGGCGCAGACCTGTGCACTGCTCATCAAGTCATGCTGTGGTGGCATCCCACATACAAAATAGAGGAAGGTTGCCACAGATGTTAGCTCAGTGACAACCTTCCTCAAGCAAAAAGAGGAAGATTGGCAATAGATGTTAGCTGAGGGCCAGCCTTCCTCACCAAAAGAAAAAAAAGAGAGAAACCCCATACTCTTTAGCTTTTACTCCCTTATTCCTCCATCCCACTATCTAGCCCTAAGCAACCACTAATATACTTTCCATCTCTATAAATTTCTGGACATTTTATATGAATGGAATCATATAATATGTGGTCTTCTGTGATTGCATTCTTTCATTTAGCATAATGTTTTCAAGGTTCATCCATATTGTAGCATATATAAGTACTTCTTTCCTTTTTGTGGCTGAATAATATTTCATTGTGTTGAAGGCCATTTGGGTTGTTTCCACCTTTTGACTATTATGAATAATGCTTCCATAAACATTCAGCTACAAGCCTTGGTGTGGATATATGTTTTCATTTCTCTTGAGTATGTACCTAGGAGTAAAATTGCTGGGTTATATGGTAGCTCTATGGTTAAGTATTAGAGGAACTGCTGGATGTTTTCCAAGGTAATAAAACCATTTTACACTCCCAGCAGCATCATATATATGCTTTGATTTGTCCATATGCTCACCAACACTTATTATCATCCATCTTTTTAGGTGTGAAGTGGTACCTCATTGTGATTTTGCACTTATTGGCCATTTGTTTATCTTCTTCGAAGAAATGTCTACTTAGATCCTTTGCTTACTTTTAAATTAGCTTATTTGTCTTTTTATTGTTGAGTTGTAAGAGTTCTTTATATATTCTAGATACTAGACCCTTATCAGATATATGGTTTACAAATATTTTCTCCCATTCTGTGGGTAAATTCTAGTATCTTTTGTTTTTTTATTTTTATTTTTTTTTTGAGGAAGATTAGCCCTGAGCTAACATCTGCTGCCAGTCCTCCTCTTTTTGCTGAGGAAGACTGGCCCTGAGCTGACATCCATGCCCATCTTCCTCTACTTTATATGTGGGACGCCTAACACAGCATGGCTTGCCAAGCGGTGCCATGTCCACACCCAGGATCCAAACCGGCAAACCCCGGGCCACCTAAGCTTAATGTGCGAAATTAACCGCTGTGCCACCAGGCTAGTCCCTCTAGTATCTTTTAATAAGTAAAAATACTTTTGAGAACATTTAATGTTCTTGACATTTTAAAGTCTGCATTTTCTTACCGAATGAGTCTGAGACTGAATGCTCTTTGGTTCATTCCACAGCTTGCTCCCACCAAATGAAGCATGTGTATCCCCTTCAATTACAAGCTGTCAGTCCTTGGCTGGCCACCTCTAAATAAGGCTGTTTAACTCCAGAACTTTGGGAGATTTTAATTTTCCTGGGTCTCACTTTAATGTGGCCTTTCTGACACTGTTCTAAGATACAAGTGAATAGGTGAGAAGTTGTTCTGTCCTCCTAAGAGAAAGAGGAGCTAGGCAAGGGTAGACACCTGCCCACTCCCCACCCTGCACAGCTGATAATCCATTTTGAGCACCCATGCATGTGGTCTAGCCTAGGTTCAGGCCAGATTACTCTAGTCAGGTCTAGCTGGTCAACATGGCAGAGCTTCTTGGAGTCCCAACCTAAAGATTATGGATCATGAGTCTGGTTTTAAATATTTTCAGTTCAATATAGAAATATGTGGTGATTTCAGTAACTCGATAGTGATGTGGATATGGTGCTCAAGAAAGAGTTCTTTGCTAGAGCCAGAGATTTTTAAATCTCTGGTGTTCAATTTGTGGGCAAGAATATAGCAAGCGCAGAACACTGGGGAAGGCTGATGTTGAAGGGAAGAGCAGGGGAAATTATTCCAGGAGGTGTGGTTGCTGGGTAGATGAATCTCATTTAGTAAGTGCTTAATAAATATTAATTGGATGAATGAATAGGAAAAAATTACATAATACTGTAACAAACAAAAATTCCTATTTAAAAAAGAACTTTAAAGCTAAAGAGCATTATAATCTTCTTTATAGATTGATTTGTCCCCAAACATGTGTCTTTTGAAGAATTATTTCCAAATATTAGCAATTATATTAATTCAGATAAAATTGTTGGTATGTCAAGCTCACAAGAAAATGCTTCTAATGAGACAGTATTTCAACTTTCCTTTAATTACTTAAAAATAATTGTTTTTGCAACATTTAACTTCTACAAAAGAGTAATATATTCTTTTATAGATTGATTTGTCCTCAGTGCAAAAAGCATCTTTTGAAGAACTATTTCCAAATGTCAGCAAATATGTTAATTCAAATGAAATTGTTTCTGGGTCAAGTTTGCAAGAAAATGCTTCAAATGAGGTAGTATTTTCCATTTTTCCTTTAATTACTAAAAGAAATAATTACTGTTATATGAGATACTTTGTATATGAGATACTTTAAGAAACCTGTAATTCAATTAAGGCTAATATCATCCACATGTGGAGTAAGTATCAGTCACAATTCTAAATAAAGGATATTAGGCTGCCACAGCCAAAACGCTTTGTATCATCAGGACTTGGGGGTATTAAACAACTAGAAGAAACAGTATTATCCTACTTGATCCAAAATTCAATTTTTGTTTGTACATATAAATTGTAGTCACCAACCTCATTATATTAGGATGAATATATGGAAGTGCTATGCTCCATTAATTCAAAAGACATAAAACTCATGACTCTAAGAGCCATCGGGGGTGGGAGTAGAGAGAGGGGATGAGCAGAAAAAGAGAGAAGAACAAAAAAGAGAAGGGAAGAGAGAAAGGGCCAGAAAGAAGGGCAGTAGGGGCAGAAAGACAGAGAGAAAAAAAATAGAGAGGCAGTACTTTAGAGATATGTAGTGGCTCAGGGTAGCTGGACCTTTTCAGTGTGACCTGGGATAAGGGTGGGGATCCAGGTGGTGAGGAGAAAGCTGGAGATGAGATTATAAAGATAAACAAGGGCCAAAATCATAAAAGGTCTCATAATCCATGTGAAAATTTGGATTTTTTCCTGAGGGGTGCCAATAAAGAATTATAAACAGAAGATGATATCAGATATTCTTGTGAAAAGTTTATTCTGGCTCCAGTGGTGGAGAACAGATTGTGAAAGGCTGAGACTAGAGGCAGTTAGAGGGATAATCTCCTGAGAGCGAGAGTGAGAGAGAGAGAGAGAGAGAGAAAATGTAGGATAAGAGGCTTAAGGAAAGTAAAAATAGTTTGAAACAGGAGTTTGGGGGAATGGAAGAGCTAGGGAACACGATTATAGCACGTTGTTGAGAGCCCAGTTGAAAGTGGAAACTATTACTTTTTTAAAAAGAATCTTTACTGAGGTATAATTGACATGCAATAAACTGCATATATTTAAAGTGTAAAATTTGAAAGTCTTCATGTACATATGCACCTTTGAAACCACCCCCATAATCAAGATAGGGAAAATGTAACCGAGCAAGGGCTCGTTCTACACACTGCAATCTTGAAGCCAATCAATTGCAAGATGAGTCTGTGCTTGAGAAAGGAATTTATTCAGTTAGTCAATAAAATTGAAAGACGGTGGACACATGTCCCAAAGACCATCATAAACAAGCACAAAGTTTAAGCAGTTATACAGGGCTAATGGGCTATGAAGGAGAGGTCAGGTATGTTAGCCATCTGGCATGAGTGACCAGAAACACCAAACCAGATCTTTCAGTTATCGATGATGGATACCAGCATAGAAGTTCTTCTCTGAGGAGGTCATCATATTCCTAAGAAACTCAAAAGAACGACGTCATCACCTATCACTACAGGGAGTACATGCATTGGCCAGGATTATAAAATCTACAGAGTGTGCACGTTTCCCAGAATGAAGCTATTTATTTCCTAGGCTATGTGCAAGGTAAAACATATACAGTGTGAGTGAATTAGTCAGAAGTCATTCTGAGTTACAGTATAGCTTCCCTCATGTCAGCTTTATCCTAGACCGGTATCAAAAATATCCATCACCAAAAGTTTCCTCCTCCCATTTTATAATTTCTTTCTTCCTGCCCCTGCCCCACAAACAACTACTGATTTAGTTACTGTCATTATAGATTGGGTTACATTTTCTAGAGTTTGGAGTCATGAGAGACAGACAGAGAGATCTTTTTTGGTCTTTCTTTCACTCAGCATAATTTTTCTGAGATTCATTTATGTTGCTGAGTGTATCAGTAGTTTGTTCCTTTTTATTGCTAAGTAGTATTTCATTGTATGGTACACCAAAATTTGTTTATCCATTCACCTGTTTTTGGACATTTGGGTTGCTTAGTTGCTATTCATGTACAAGTATTTGTATTGACAAGGACTCTCTCCTCGATCAAACTTTAGTTAGCATCCTTTGAGCCCTCTTCTCACCTAGGCGTTAAACTGGGACTTGCTGAGTACAGTTTTAGCAAGAATTCTGTGAAGTCACTTTAGAGAGAATCTTCCATCCCGATATCTTATTACCCTGGCCTGCCTTTAGCACCTTGTCCTATTAGGTCTAATTGGGTTCCTAGACCCAATAACATGTGTGTGTGTAGAGGAGGCAATTTCTCCACACCCCCAACAAGCAATGCTGCAGAGACCAGCTGGGTGTCCTAGAATTCAACTCAATTCTGACACTGTCTACCCAGAGATAGTATCAGATTCCAAAGGTAAAGGGCTCAGTCCCAGAAGACCACCCCTAACTTCAATGACAATCACAAGCCCAGGTTGTTACCTGTGCTTCTGACTGACTGGCTACCGATTGGAGATTCCCATGACCCCCTCCTTCAGTTCCATTAATTTGCTAGAGCGGCTCACAGAACTCAGAGAAACATTTTAATTACTGGATTACCGGTTTATTATAAAAGGATATAATTCAGGAACAGACAGATGGAAGAGATGCATAAGGCAAACTATGGTGAAAGGGCACGGAACTTCCATGCTTTCTCCCAACATTCCACTATCCCCAAATCTCCACATGTTCACCAACCCAGAAGCTCTCCAAACCCTGTCCTTTTGGAGGCTTTTTTAATGGAGGCTTTGTTACATAGGTATGATTGATTAAGTCGTTGACTATTGGCTATTGATTCAGTCTCCAGTCCCTTTTCCCTCCCTGGAGTTCAGAGGTGGGCCTGAAAGTTCCAACCCTCTAATCACATGGTTGGTTCCCTGGGCAACCAGTCCTCATCCTTAGGTGCAGTCCGAAGGTGACTTCATTAACATAGCAAAAGACACCTTCCTTGCTTTCATCCCTTAGGAAATTCCAGAGGTTTTAGGAGCTCTGTGCCAGAAACAGTCATGAAGAACAAATATATATTTCCTGCTATAAATCACAATATCACAGGTCAGTTTAGCAAGAATCCCCTTACCCTTGATGTAATTTCCTAACCACTGATGCCCTTACTCTGCTCATTGGCTATAAATCCCCAACTGCCTTTACTGTATTTGGAATTGAGCCTGGTCTCTCTGCTCTGTTGCAATAGTCTTGAGTAAAGTATTCCTTATTGTTTTAACAAGTATCAGAATAATTTTTTCTTTAACAGTATGAATGTATATTTCCTTTTCTCTTGGGTAAATAGTTAGGAGTGGAAATTGCCACTGTTTTCCAAAGTGATTGTACCATTTTACATTTATACCAACAGTGTTTGAGAGTTGTACTTTCTCTACATTCAACATTTAGTATGGTCAGTCTTTTAATCTTAACCATTCTAATAGGTATGAAGTGATATCTTATTATGGTTTTAATTTGCATTTCCCTAATGACTAATGATATTGATGACATTTTCATTTTTTTTTTTTTTTTTTGCCATTTGTATATCTTCTTTGGTGATGTATCTGTTCGAATCTTTTGCCCATTTTAAAAAATTGCTTGATTTTCTTATTGTAGATTTTGAGTTTTTTATATAATCTGGATGCAAATCCTTTACCAGATATATACTTTGAGAGACATTTTCCCAGTCTGAACCTTGTCTTTTCATCCATTCCACTATCTTTTTAAAAAAATGAAAAAACAAACTTTTTGTGGTATATTTTACAAGTCATAAAATTCACCCATTTCAAGTTTACAATTCAGTGATTTTTAGTAAATTTATGGAGTAGTATAGTTATCACCATATGTTAGTTTTAGAACATTTTCATCTCCCTGTAAGATCCCTCATGCCCACTTACACTTAAGCCCTGTTCTCACCACTGGTCCCAGCCAAATACTAATCTACTTCCTGTCTCTAGAGTTGCCTTTTCTGGGCATTCTGTATAAATGAAATCCTACAATATGTAGTTTCCTGTGAAACTATCATTTGAAAAACATAAGTTTTTAGCTTTGATGAAGTTCAACTTGTCAATTTTTTTTTTAATGGAGAGTGCCTTTGTTTTCATATCTAAGAAATCTTTGCCTAACCCAAGGTCACAAAGATTTTCACCTATGTTTTCTTCTAGAAATTTTATAGTTTAAAGTTTTATACATGTCTGTGAGTTAAGTTTTGTATGTGATGTGAAATATGGATTCAACTTAATTTTTTTGCATATGGACATTTAATTATTCTAGCACCATTTGTTGAAAGACAATTCTTTCTCCACTGTATTGCATTCATACCTTTGTTGAAAAACAGTTATTCATGTGTATATATGTGTGTGTGTGTGTGTGTGTGTGTGTGTGTGTGTATGGGTTTGTGTCTGGATTTTCTATACTGTTCCATTGATCTACTTGTCTCTTTTATGCCAGTATCATACAGTATTGAATAATGTGGCACTGTAATAATTCTTGAAATCAGATAGTGTTAGCTCTCTAACTTTGTTTTTCTTTTTTCAATTGTTTTGGCTATTCCAAGTCCTTTACATTTCTTTTTTTTTTCAATTATTTTATTGAAATCATATTGGTTTATAAGCTTTGTAATTTCAGGTGCATATTATATATCAGTTTCGTATAGACTGCATCATGCTTACCACCAATAGACTCGTTTTTATCTGTCACCATACACATGTGCCCCTTCACCACTTTCGCCCACCCCTCACCCCTTCCCCTCTGGTAACCACTAATCTGTTCTTTTTATCCATGTGTTTGTTTACTTTCCACATATGAGTGAAATCATATGGTGTTTGTCTTTCTCTGTCTGGCTTATTTCACTTAACATCATATGTTCAAGGTCTATCCATGTTGTTGTGAATGGGATGGTTTTGTCTTTTTTATGGCTGAGTAGTATTCCATTGTGTATATATACCACATCTTCTCTATCTAATCATCAGTTCATGGGCACTTGGGTTGCTTCCACGTCTTGGCTATTGTGAATGATGATGCAATGAACATAGGGGTGCATAAATCTCTTTAAATTGTTGATTTCAAGTTATTTGGATAAATATACACAGT